CTTTCTTGAGAAGTATGTGCTTATTTATTCTGTCTGTTGATAAAAAAACCCTTTGTGAGATTGATTTTTTAAGTTGATTCTTAAAAATCAATAAGTGTTATCACTCTTCATGTTTTAAAAGATCTTTCAAGTTTTTAAAATCTTTGCTTGTATGAATGGAGATTCAAACATTTGTAGAATTTATAAAGCTATTTACAAATATATATTTAATTAAACTTTTTTACAATTACTTATATTTTTTATAACATATTATATTATTATAAAGATTGTGTGCAATTGTCATTTTTGATAATTTTCTATAAAAAAGAATATATTAGCTTTAAATTTGAACGATCAATTGGAATAAAATCTTATTTCGATCTTTAATTTCCAGTACATATAATGTTGAAAATTAAATTGAGCGAAAGGAGAAGCTTTCTGACATACAAAATGTTAACTAAAACATTAACTTGTCCTTCAATTTTCATAAAATCTGCGTATAATTTTCGATGAGGGACCGTCCATATAATGATCACGTCAAAATGCGCTTTAATGACCCAGTAAGTGATGTAGACGTAATCAACTTCCATAGTCGTATTTCGTGATATCGCGCAATTATTTGCACAGATTGTCTATATACGTGTATATGCGCGCATAGTCTTAAATAATATGCATTGTTCGAATGCTTTTTTGGCACGAGAGGAGTTTCTCGTTAGCGTCGGAGGGAATTTCCTCATTTTTGGACCGCGACTAGAATACAACAGCTGTCATTTGAAATAATCAAATCATATTAAGTCGAGCGAACTGCTACGTGACTAAACCGGTGAGAACCAAAATCGCCGCTCAGAAATATACACAACGCGCGCTGCAAAAGTAGACGAAGAGTTTGCGATTTCTCGATGGTGACCTCAATAGTTCCGACAATTGTTCGAGCATTCCAGTTGACGGCAAGAAATAAATTTTTCCGTGTAATTAATTTTGACGAATATTAATTATTTTCGCGCATTTTAATTCTACAATAAAATTATATTCTCTTTCAAGAGGACTGAAAAAGCTGCACGATGCCTCGTATGCATTCGTTCAATTTGCTCGTCGATGAAACAGAATTCGGCTTTCGCGAACCACGCCGAAGTTGAGGAATGCAGGGGAATTTGCGCATCCGATGAGATCGATAGCGCGAAGCGGCAATATCTAAGCGAGGTCACCTTGAGGAAAGAGAGAAGCGCACGCACCCCCGCCTCGAAATTCTCGCGCCGCCATATGAAAGCAAGCGAATTTCGCGGGCATTTCTCGTTATTTATCTTCGGCGAAAGAGAAGCCGGTGCTCTTCTGGCGTCCCGCCACGCGAACTATTACGGTCGCGGCGCGACGACTCGATAATAATACGATATAATCGTTTTTGTCACGTGGGAATACGCGGCGAGATTCGTCGCCTCAGTCACGAAAGGGATGCGGCACGAGCCGGTCGGTTTTCTCGTCGCGCGACCACCCTCCTGTGATTATCCGCGTCCGTTGATTTGCTCGTTTACGACACCCGGTATGACAAATTTATCGTTAATATCAAACACATGAAGCTGATTGAAATAGATTCATAAGCGGACTTTTTAACTTCCAACAGATCAGTGAAAAAAATGTTCCACTGTCGTCTCTTTAAAGAATCGTGTATTCGTTAAGTGTATTCGTTATATCATATTTGCCTGATTTAAAAGAAAAAAATATATATGTATATATATTAAAATCTATGTTGAAAATAAAATATCGCAAATACATTTCGTGATATCGATTGTTAATTTAATAAAAAAAATCACGCAATAGAGGACATTAAGTTTTGGCAAGTTAACGAAAATTATTTCCTTCATCTAATATTTTTGATTTAATTGTATATAATTATATTTATAATCTTTTTTACAATTTAAATAAAATGATTTTATTATATAAATATCCTTATAAAACTCGCGTAATAAAATAATCATAATAAAAACTCTGTAGTCATCAGCACAACAAATAATTGCAATAATTCGTATCGTTAATCTCGTAAAAAATTCACATTACGCTAACTAATGGTCCCGGAAAGATCAGAGTCAAAAGTAGTTCTTGCGTTTATGTAAGGAGCGGCGGAATTCAGAATTATTTCGAGCCCGGCGTGTCGCGCGCGAATTATACACGAGGACAAACCACGTGGTCCAAATCCATCTCACTGGGTGACTCTAAACTTAGGAGTCTGCACAAACTGAGAGTAACAAGTTCGGTTCGGTTGTTTTCGTGGCGCTTTCTACTATTACACAATCTTTTTATAATTTCTTACATCTCCCTCTATAAACACGCAAAAATGATGGTCCATGAATAAAAAAATATAGCAATTCGCGCGCAACTCATTAAAATTGTATAAACTTTTCAACTAGAAACGTATTTGTAGGGATTAGCCGAGCATTGATCGGAAAAGTTCAGTGAGTGAAAAAAAATCATGCGATAAATTCCGGTTTTTACTGTCCCAGACTTTATTCAACAGAATAAATTGGCAAAAATTAAAATAAACTAATATGTGTAAGACTAAAATATATTTACGTAACTTTATGCAACAAGATATTTTTGCTTTAATAAATTAATAAATAATAACTAATCATTATAATTTAAAAAATAAAATCAATATAATAAGGTTTTTTTAATTCAAATCAATATGTGAAATTTTTAAAACAATAATTTTGAAGATATAAATATTACTAAATTCTATGTTTTTAATTAAAACTGTAATAATAACAAAATTAAACATTTTTTTATCAATATAAATTTTTTCGCATTTACCTCTCAGAATCTCTTAACAAAATTAATTTATTTGCTATGTTAATTCCTAATCTATTACGGATTTTATTTTAGATAAAATTTAAATTAGAAAATATTTTTAATTAATAAACATCGACAAAAAATTTTTTATTTTAATATTTTTAATAGAAAAGACCAATTTTTGCCAGTTTTTTCTGGAAAATATAGTTTTTACCTTTATACATAGATTTTATCAAAAAAATATGGAATTTTGCCAACTCTGCTGTTGTTCCTATCGAAATTTGAGAAATTTGTTTTTTTGACAAATGAAATTTTCGATCTTAAGCCATCTTAAAACATATTTACGAAGATCTATATAGAATCTAAGCGGAGTCCAATTTTGTAGAATTAGCACTGTTATCAATAGAAATATAATTACAAATTATATAGCAATTGATAAATCTATTAAATATATAAAAGCCAGATAATTAAATTTTGTACTATAAATTCATAGGCATATTATTGTTTTTTTTAATTTTAAAGTTACATAAATTATTTTTTAACAAATGTATACCAGTATGCATGCTTTACACATGTAAAATACACACATACTTTAAATAGAGTTTATAGTCCCCCTAAAAAAATATCCTTGTTTTCAAGTTTTTGAAAATTTCTTGCGTGATATTCTCGTACTTTGAGCGTGGCTCACGTGGATTTGTTTTATTGCGTTCATCGAACTTTCATGTATACGCCTGTCGACCAGCATTATCGATTGCAACTATAAAGCACCAATTGCAACACCCTATCGCAGTGTTTCCCAAATGGCATATTTCATGAAATGCTGGAGTTTCGTTGAATGAAAGTAGTGGTTTCCGCGAACAACCGCACAATGATCTTAGGTAGATAGAATTCATTCAATCAACTCGGTTATTCTGATTCGATCTAATTTTAAAGCTCCGATAAAAGGACATGATTGGGATAGAATTGCTTTGTAGTCGAAATAAATTGCGAAACACTGCTATCTTGAATCGTTCATTCGTCGCATTATGAAAGAGTATGACAAAGTATCATTAATCAGATTGCAGTACATGCTCCAATTTCCCTTACTTACATGTATCGCAGAAAATAGGAAAAGATCGACCATAAATATAAAATATTATTTGAGGAAAAACTTATGGAAATAAATATTGTGTGTTGACATTAATATGTTGTTTAAGATTCTCGTTTATGGAAATTCTTATTCTTCCTCTAATTAGAATCATTTAGAATTTTAGAAAATGAATATGTATCTTTAACCAAATCGTTCTACTGTTTTAGAATTGCTATAAAGTTTATATGACTATAAATAGTCTCTGTGAAGTTTACCACTTTAAAACAAGCAATTGTGATTCGTTATTGTATTAAGAGACAAAAGGGAAAATTTATTGTTAAAATTTTGATAAAATAAAAATATATTATTAAAAGATAACATATCATCCTTATAATATTTTTTCAATATATATATTGCATTTTTTTTTAACATGAAGGAAAATTTAATCAAGCAAAAGTATCTAAAAAAATCAGTAAATGCACCTTGAACGTTAACTAGTTTACTTCAGCAAAGTAGCGTTAATCAAGAAGATAATAAGATTATTTGTCAAAATAATCCTATGAAAATGGAGTTATATATTTCTATCAGAATATAAACAAGGATTAGTGAAGCTTAATCTTGACTCGTTTTAATATATTTTATATATAAACAATTTTAGCTTTGAGAATTATAATTCACTTTAATGAATTGATAAAATGATAAATCGAATTGATAATCATGCACAATAAATCTAATTAATATATATTTTTAGATATACACACTTTCAATTTTTGATAATAATTATATATATCACTGGAAATTAATAAAGTGTACTCTTTGTCAGAAGAACATAAAAAAACTGATGATGATGGTAAAATAGTTATAGTATTCGTGCAAAATAAAATTACACTACTATTTTATTTAAATAGTATACAATGAAAAAATATAATTATTATTTAAATATACTATTAAGTAAAGTATACTATTTAAATAAACTAGTAGTGTAATTTTATTTTGCGCGAATACTATAACTATTTTATCATCATCAATTTTTTTACGTTCTCCTGACAAAGAGTACATTTTATTAATTTCCAGTGATATATTCAGTCGTATTCAATGTATATAAATAACACAGAGAGAGAGAGAGAGAGAAAGAGAATATCAATTATAAAAATTGTATTTTTCTTTCTAGCTACCGTGGGACATGATCCGCAGACGAGCAATGGCAGTCAGCCGCAGCTGCAACAGCAGCAGTTACAATCCGGAGGTTGGCTGGGGGGCGGTGTCGGTGACACTGGCAGCGGACTGGTCTGCCGATCATCGTCAGGCAAATCGATCAACGGCAGCGGCAAGCCGTCGTTATGTCATCATCCTCAACAACAGCAACAGCAACAACAACAAGGCAAATCTGGGGGTGTGGGGGATGACGAAGACGGGGGTGGAGGGAGCGGAGGGCTGGAGGGGACGGACGCAGAGGCGAACGACGCTGTTCACCTCAAGAGACGGGTGGGACTCGTCAGTGGGGTGGCTCTAATCGTCGGCACGATGATCGGCTCCGGGATCTTCGTATCGCCGTCGGGTCTGCTGCTGCGTACTGGCAGCGTCGGCGTCAGTTTTGTCGTGTGGACCGCGTGCGGTCTGCTGAGTCTGTGCGGCGCCCTCGCCTATGCCGAACTGGGTACCATGAACACGAGCAGCGGTGCCGAGTACGCGTACTTCATGGACGCGTTCGGCGCTCCGCCTGCCTTCCTCTTCTCCTGGGTATCCACCCTGGTGCTCAAACCATCGCAAATGGCGATTATCTGCCTGTCATTCGCCCAGTACACTGTCGAAGCATTCACCGTCGATTGCGAACCACCCAGTGAAGTGGTCAAGGTCGTCGCCTTGCTAGCAATCGTCTTGATTCTCTTGATCAATTGCTACAGCGTCAATTTGGCCACTGGAGTACAGAACGCCTTCACCGCCGCCAAATTAATGGCGATACTCGTAGTAATTGTCGGCGGTTCGTACAAATTGATACAGGGTAACACGCAGCATCTGCAAGCGGCATTCGATACTATCGACGGCACCACTATCAATTTTGGCCGCCTCGCCACCGCTTTCTACACCGGCCTTTGGGCCTACGATGGCTGGAACAATCTCAATTATGTAACAGAAGAAATCAAAAATCCTTCCAAGAATCTGCCTAGGTCCATTATGATCGGCATACCACTCGTCACGCTTTGTTATGCGCTGATCAACGTATCTTACCTGGCAGCCATGTCGCCATCGGAAATGATCGAGAGCGAGGCTGTAGCAGTGGTAAGCATTAATGTCGATGAGAAAAGATATTATATTTTTTCGCAATAGAGAAAAAAAATTATCATGAAAAAGCGATAATAAGATAATAGAAACACAGAACATGTTCGCCAATTTTCTTCAATATCACTTTAGAAGTTGAGTCGTAGAGTAATCTAGAGATAGTTTTTCAAATTCGATACATACTAGGATTATTGTTTTCCAATCAATTCATTTTATCCGGCCATTTCTATGGATTAAGATGCTCTGTGTTTTGCAGACGTTCGGCAATCGGGTACTGGGCGTGATGGCGTGGTTGATGCCGCTTTCCGTAGCGATTAGCACATTCGGATCCGCTAATGGCACTCTATTCGCCGCGGGTAGGCTCTGCTTTGCTGCATCACGAGAGGGTCACCTTCTCGACTGCTTGAGCTACGTACACGTGCGACGTTTTACTCCTGCTCCAGGCCTCATCTTCCATTCCCTCGTAGCAGGTATTACACAATGAAAGTCATTATACCCTGATTCTCTCTCAGATTGTGTCTTAGACATATCCTAATTAATTTTTCAATCTTTTGTATCACTTGAGATTTTACTTTATATAACATACGCTGTATTTTTTCAAGGTGAGATTGTCGCTATCGATTATTTTGACTTCAAGGTATCTAGACGCATTAAGCCAAGTCATTGATTTCGCAGGCGCGATGGTTCTCTCTGGCAATATCGACTCGTTGATTGATTTCTTCTCATTCACTGCATGGATATTCTATGGCGGCTCAATGCTCGCTCTACTGGTGATGCGGAAGACCAGACCGAACCATCCGCGACCGTACAAATGCCCGCTAGTGATACCTGTGCTTGTGCTCATCATCTCTGCATATCTCATAGTGGCGCCGATTATCGATAAGCCGCAGATCGAGTACCTGTACGCGGCCGGCTTCATCAGCGCAGGCATGCTCGTCTACCTCCCGTTCGTAAAGTTTGGATATGTGCCCAAATTCATGGGTAAGTATACGCCACTATACAGTGTTAAAATAAGTCCGAGCTGCAGAATTCATAGATGCCCAGACATTTCACAGTGTAGAATAATCGTTATTATCTGATTATAAATTGAAATAAACCTTTAGAAAAAATAGAAATATATTGGATTCTCTCAAAAACATACCTCTAAAAAGCATATTGCATTCCTCATATACAATAAGTCACTCCTGAGTAACATGAATAGAGATAATAATCCAATCATGCAATATGTAAAGCTATAAACGTAATACTCTCTTTCAGCGATACAGAAAGGAAATATCTTCTATGGTCCTGAACTTAACAAAAATGAGAGTAACTCACTAACAAAGCTCCATACAGTCTATTCTTGAGAGATTTCAGCATATATTTGTCAATAATTAAAATTCCAATCTCAAATTTTAGATGTAAAGGTTTAAAATTAAACTTGAAAACATCTAGAGAATTTTTTTTAAAATGTCAGATTATCATTAAAGCTTAAAAATAAATCTCACGCAAAAAGTCTATACGAAAAACTATTAAAGTTTAGAAATTTTGATATATATTGAAATTTAAAAGGAAAGATATTTAAATTTTGAGAAATTGTGCAAAAATTGAAATTCTCTAAAAAAAAAAGTTAAAATTTAATATTTGAAACATCTGTTTTATTCTTCTGCATGCTTTTAAATTTCTTATTGAATACTCGTGTCTGTTTTCTGATTGCAGAAGGTGTCAACGCTTTTCTGCAGATGTTACTAGAAGTGGCTCCGACGGCGGTTGCCTTCGACTGATTTCGAGAGGTACAATTCTCCAAATCAATGTACAGTTCTCTAGGATGCCGAATCATTCCATTATGGCATTGCGTGAACTGTATACACCTGAATAATAATCCTATTTTAAATACAGACAAGAGCATTATATATCCTATATTACAAAGCTCAAGGCTGGCCCAAAAAAAAAACAAATTCATAAAAAAAATATATATTATATAAAAATATATATTATTTTATTACTTGTTATTCTTCGTACATAGTACAACATGCAGAAAAAATGTTATTGTTAGATAATAGATAGTTGATGTTGTAACAAGACAGCAATGAATCAACAGAAAATATTTTAAATGTTTACAGTTACAAATTGACTTCTCTTTTTCTTTATACATCCTTCTTTTCCTTTCCCATATTTTTTAAAAATATTACTTAAATTGTTACATATCATTTTTAACTCCCAAAAAGTTTCAATATATATTATTTAATTTTTACTAATATATATTTTTCAAGAATTAATTTAAATAAAAATACAAATTAATTTAAATAAAGCATCTAATTTTAACAAAGGATAGTTTCGATAATTACAAATCAAGTTTTTAGTCTTCTAATTATCTTTTTTACAAGATACTTTATTTAAATTTGAATAATTTTGGTCAATTTTCAAGAGATGTTTAAAATATTTACCAATAAATTCAGTTCTTCCGTTTGGACAAGGTATCTTTTGGTACCTTTCCATAAATGCTTAAAATACCACTATCTTTCTTTTGCACTTTTTTAGATTTAGGTTTGAGTAAACTGCTTGCAAGTCCAGATGTATATTTTTCTTTTTTGTTCCGTTCTTTCTCTATCATTCGACTCTTCTTTAATGTTTTATAATTTGTTCTTTTATTCTTAGGAGGTTTCGCGCCTAAACTGATGGCAAGTTCGACCTTTGCTCTTTTTGCCTTTGGTTTCTCGAATCCAGACATACCAAATTTAATAATGTCATATCGCAGCCTTTTCATCTCCTTTTCTTGTTGCTCCTTCAGTTCAGCAGGCGTTTGCTTTATTTCAGAATTCTTCTCTTCCTTATCTTTAGGTTTTAGCTTTCTCTTTGGAGCTTCGTAATTTACAGAAATATAATTGCTTGTTGCATTTTTCTTAATTTGGGATCCACGCGTTGGTACAAAGTCCTCCATCTTTCTTGTTTAATCTCTTTTCTTCAATTATAAAAATATATATTATTAAAAATATAAAAATATATATTATTAAAGATATATATATTATTTTAAAAAATATATAAAATGTATTATTAGAGAAAATATATTATTTAAAAAATACATATTATTAGAGAAAATCAGCTTCAATTAATAAGAAATAAGTTAGAAGAATATTATAACCTAAAAATAGTAGTCTTAAAAGAGGTCATAAAATATATTTAAAAAAACATTTTAAACATATCTTTAAAAAAGTAAAAGTTGGCATTATCAATAATTATGGAATTCTAACTTATATCAACTTACAATCATAATTACACACAAAATATTGACACTTTCCTTTCAAGACTGCTCCAATAAAGATTGCGTTCGAACATCTACTCGTCTCTGATTGAGGTCGAAAAGAGTCAGATTTTTTGAAGCACTTGATTGACCAATCGGATTAAAGGAATTTTATTCCTTTTGCCCTGATTGGTTCATCAACTACATTATCCGAATTTTTGAACGCAGTTTCTTTTTTAAAACAAGCCTAGCTTTCTAGCTTTTTGTACAGTCAATGACTAATTTTAACATGACTGCCGTTTATTTCGCGCGTGTTCCGCGTGTTTAAGCACGGTTACATAACCTCAACGAAAAAAAGGAAAAAATACAAATTGATTTAATTTCAAACGTGCGACACGTTCTTGAGAGACAGGGGAGATTACGAAAATCGAATCTTGCTGAATTTTCTATCGCGATGTCACAATATCCGCCTATTGAAGTTCGTCTAGCGGTAAACAGAGTGGATTTTAACTTAATAACAAACGAGGGCATCCAACCGCGACTCTACACACCCGGCGAGGAGATATCCAGTCAACCGGATTTCCTCAGGTAGATTACTTTTCGTTTACGAGAAAATTCGATTGTTAATCTAATATAATTGTCTTCAGAGGTCACGGAACTTACGTTGATGAGGAGAAGACGTTGCGCGCTTCGGTCGCTGGAGTTCTGGAGAAGGTAAACAAACTTATATCCATCAGGCCACTGAAAGCGCGCTATAATGGCGAGATCGGGGATCTCATCGTGGGTAGAATAACAGAGGTGCAACAAAAACGTTGGAAGGTCGATGTAAATTCCAAGCTCGATGCTGTTCTGCTGTTATCCAGCGTTAATCTACCTGGTGGTGAATTGGTAAAAATTATATATATGAATTCTAAGATTATACCGGGTGAGTCAGTTAAAGTGTTATATCTCGGAAACGAAGCGTTTTAGAGAAAAATGTTTCAAACAAAAGTTGTTTGACTCGAAGTGGGACATAAGATGATGCCATTGGTTTGACCTCTGATAATTGTTTGAAGGTCACATGAAGATCACCTTTAATTTTTTAAATGGAACCCCCTATTCTTTATTGCTTATTTTTATAACTTATCTCGAGAGCTTTTTAAAACACTATAATAAAATATTTTTTCATTAAGTTATTAGATGTTTTATGTTATGTAAAATTAAGAAATTATTTCAAGCCTCAATTTGAAAAGTACTTAATGAAAAAATACTTTATTATAGTGTTTTGGAAAGCTGTCAAGATAAGCTATAAGAATGAGTAATAAAAAATAGGGGATTCTGTTTAAAAAATTAAAAGTGATCTTTATGTGATCTTCAAACAATTATTCAAAGTCAAATCAATGACATCAGCTTATATCCTCCTTCGAGTCAAATAACTTTTGTCTGAACATTTTTCTATAAAATACTTCGTTTCTGAGATATAAGTCTGTAATACTTTAACTAACTCACCTGGTATATACATATATATAGATTCTAAGATTATATATTGGTAAAGATTGTATATTAAGATCTATTTTTCTTTTTATTATAAAACATTTATGGGAAAATGTATGAAAATAATCCTTTTTAAGATTTTGAAATTAAAGATTCAGTCTACTCTAATAATAGTATGAAAAGTTAATGAGTTTAGTAATCTTTTTTTTTTCTTTTTAAAAATATTAAAAATTGATTTTCTTTGGCATTTTACACCTGCCTTTATTGATGTTTAAACAGCAAGTCAATATTTTTAATCTATTTTTATCTTGGATATTTATCTTTTTTTTCTTTCTTCAAAAACAAGTCTCTTGTAATGTATTAAAAAATAGTTTGAATGTGACATGCTGCTACTCTTTGTATAATTGTGTAAAGTGAAAAAATTTTGTTTAATTTTATTATTAAATAGTGGAATATATTTTTGATATATTATACCTAATTTCATTAGTAAAAATTCAAAAATAACAAAATAGTGTCATTTTGAAATTAGATATTTCAATTTTGTTGGAAAAATATTAAATGTATGTAATATTATGTAATAGTTTTATATTATATATATATTATATAAAGTGTTCTTAATTTTTACAGAGAAGAAGATCTGCAGAAGATGAACAGACAATGCGTAGGTACCTACAGGAAGGAGATTTAATTTGCGCAGAGGTGCAGTCAATTTTTGCTGATAGTTCCCTCTCCTTGCACACGCGAGTGTTGAAATATGGCAAACTATCACAGGGAATAATGCTGAAAGTACCACCGATGCTCATTCAACGCAAGAAAACGCATTATCATAATCTGGAAAATGGTGCGACTCTAATACTCGGTTACAATGGCTATGTATGGATCGGCGCGAACATTCAGAATGTCGATAAATCCGAGGGCGGCTTCACCGAGGATCTGTCGAGAATCCCGCTGGAAAATCGTGAGGTGTGTGCGCGATTGCGTAACTGTATTTTGATTTTGGCGCAGTGTAACATGCAATTGTCTGACACTTCCGTAACGTATGCTTATGAAGAATCCACCAAGTATAAAGTGCAAGAACTTTTGCAACCTGAAGCGATGGTCGATGTATCGTTAATGACGCATCAAAGACTTGCGCGATCTATTATAACAATCTAATAAATCCAATTCGGTGTTATCACTGAAATAAAGAGATAATAAAGATTATAGATATCATGATAATAAATATAAATCCCTAGAAGAAAATTAAATGTGATAAAAATAGTGATTTTTTTCAGTTATAATTCCGAAATGTAAAATATGGGAAATAAAAGAGAATTTTGTATGTAATATTGTATATGTAGTATTGGCACTTTTAATAATTACATAATAACAAGGACGATATTTGTAGGACATATCATATCAACCTCCCATTTTTTTCTGAGAAAATTAAATGTGTCAGACCAAATTATAACACATTGCAGCAATATCGAAAAGAATTATATATAAGATACTGCAGTATTTTTCATCAATAGATATAGATTTGACCAAGTGGCCTCAGGTGTAAAAGGTAATCACGGAGAAACGCTAATCTGAGTATTGATTAAACAAATAGAGCCTGGAAACAAGTAGTCAGCAAGTAGAGCTGAGAGACATGGACGCATGTTTCAATGCCTTCGATAAAGACGGCGACGGATTGCTATCCATCTCAGAGTTCGATCTCATATGCCGCGCGTTATTTCGAAATGATCGCGGAAAGATCTATGGCCTCGAGGAAGAGCAGCTGCGCGAGGTGTACTCGATATTTGATTTCAAAGACGACGGCATGATCGATAAGGAAGAATTCGAGGTATGTAAGGATGCAACGAAATATATCGATCTTATTATTTGTTTCAGATAATATTTTAAAAATTATTAAAAAAAAAAAAAAAATATATATATATATATATATATATATATATTAATTTTATATAAACTATGAAATATCTTGCAAACTGCTCAACTTTTGGACATCCTATTCTTACAACTTTTTATGCCAAATATTACAAGAAATTGATTTGTATAAAAAAATTAGAGTAATTCCATTTCAAAATCATGTAAATATCAACCTATTTAAAAGAAAAAAATAAGTTGGTCAACATATGATTTTAAAAAATGATTTGTGTAAAAAGATTAGGGTAGTTCCATTAAAAAACAAACTAAGCTCATATTCACATGACCCTGACATGAAAAATATTCTTAGTTAAAATTCGAGATTATTAATTTTTTTTCTCTTTAACTTTATATTAATACTTGTTATATGTTGTACTGCTTTCTTACTGATTTATTTTTCTATTATAGGTTTGCTGGAATCGATGGATCAAAGTATGCACGCGCCCCAAGAGCGCTTTTTTAATCGTAGACGTACAAAATGACTTTATAACGGGTTCTCTAAATATAAAGCATTGCGCTGCACAGCATGACGGATCGGAAGTGATCGAACCGATTAATCGATTGCTAGAAACCGTGCCATTCGACGCGGTATTTTACTCTCTGGACTGGCATCCCGTGGATCACGTGTCTTTTATCGATAATTTGCACCTCAGGTAGTCGCAAAAGGCAACAGAAATTGTAATATAACAATTAATACTGTCTTTAGATTGATTTCTTTTAAATTCTATTTAAAAACACTTTTTTGTTAAATATACAAATATTATATAATAATTTGATATATTTAAAAATATATCAAAATTATTATTTACTAACATAAATTTTGGATCAAAAAGACACTTGAAACTTTGCATCTTTGGAAAAAATCAAGAGATAAATTTTAATTAATTCCTCCTTCATTATTTTTTGCATAAAAATACTGAGACAAGATAATCTATAAAAATGAATATTTTATGAGATATTTCTCGTAGTTTATATAAAATTACGTCAAATTGAAATATGAATTATCTCGTAAGTTATTCAACTTTCAGTCATCCTACTCCTATAACTTTTTAAGTCAAATATTGCGAATCGATTTGTATAAAAAAATTAAAGTAGTTAATATTTAGAGTGATTTAAAAGAAATAGATTGATCTCTATCACTTTAAAAAATGATCTTAGTTAACACATTTAAGATTATAAACTTTATTCTTTCTCTATAAATTTTATCTGAAACATTCGATTTCCATTTGTATTATAAGGGAAGTGGATATCAGCAGCAATATCTCGAAGGAAGCAGCGCGGGTGTACGACACGGTGACATTTCAGGGGCCGCCGTTATTAAAGCAACGTTTGTGGCCGCGTCATTGCGTGCAGGACTCGTGGGGCGCCGAGCTTCACAAGGACTTGAAGATTGTCAACAATGCGATCAAGATCTACAAGGGCACTAACCCAGAAGTGGATTCGTATTCAGTATTTTGGGACAATAAGAAGCTAACCGAGACCACACTGTCATCGCAACTGCAAGAAAAGGGCGCGACTGACATTTACATCTGTGGGCTTGCCTATGACGTATGCGTGGGTGCTACAGCAGTTGATGCGCTTACCAGTGGTTACCGCACTATACTTATCGATGATTGTAGTCGCGGCGTAGATCTCGTCGACATCGAGAAAACCAAAGCCACAGTGATAGCCAGCAATGGCGTAATAGTGAATTCCAGCCAAGTGAAGGCGATGATGGAGGGAAGAGATCGACGACCAGAACTAGGCTACAAGCTCGCTCTGGAAATTAAGCATAAATTGAGATTCGATGATGAATAATTCTAGAGTAAATAGTTCTATAAATCTAAAAGCTTTACATTGGTAGACACTAATATAAAAAATCATAGATACATCTTATTTCAAAATATATTTCTCAGTGCTTTAAAATAGCAAAAAATTAAAAAGTAAATGAAGAGAGAAATATGTAAAAATAAATTATAATGAATATATTTTTTCTTATTGAACGTTAAAGTAGATAAGTATTAAATGTGTCTAGGAAGATGTAAGCATTTAAATTTGTCTTTAGAAAGATTTCTTTAAAAGCGATAAAAGATAAGAGCATATACATGTTAGATTTAAGATTTTAATTAGTGATACTAGCATTTAAATTTTTTCAGCTCTTTAGTGAAGTATAATATTATACTTATTCGATTCGAACATTTTAATGGCTCAAATAGAAAAAGAGAAAATATTGATCTAAACTATATATATATTAATCTATTAAAAAGTATTTATTGAAAGATAAATAAATATATTTTTTGTATTAGCGATAATTATAGATTTAGCTATATGCGTATGTATGTACATACATATATTGTTATTAGAAATAAATATATAACAAAGTTTCCATAATATTCTTTATTGTGTTATATAACAAAAAGATTGAAAATAAAAATTAAAATCCTTAAATGCACTATATATTAAAATGCACAAGTTTAAATTATTGTAATTTTAATCAAATTTAACTAAAATATCATTTGAAAAGAAAGAGAAGAAATATAAGAATAAGAATGATTTCGTCTTACTGCTTTTATAATTTCTATCAATCGTAAAATAAATTTTTAATTAAATAAAAGATTTATGCATAAAATATCTTTTATAAAATTTATTATAAATTACACGAAGACCTACACACAAAATAACTTTTATAAAATTTGAAATAAATTCACATGAACATCTAAAAGCGCATGTTACACATCGCACCTAGTCTTAACTATGCTTACCTAACTTTACAGCTGTTTACATTAACAGCTGTTCTGTGTAGAGAGAAAAATTGAATTATACACTCTGTTATTTTGTGCAAATATCACTGGACTATAAATTTGTATGTAATCAAATCGAAATAGAATTGAGTCTTGATAAATATTTTGTAAAATACTTTATATATTAAATTTCATAATATAACCTCTCACTGGTAATTTCATTGCAATTTTATTTTAAAATTATAATAATGCATACATAATGATAGTCACATCTTGGGACACATCTAACATATGAAATAATATAATTGAAAATAAATAAATTGAGAAGTGTACATAATTTTATATATTATATAAATTAATATTACATAAATTATATTGTGGGATTATATTTTTTCTATTATTTTTATAATTATTATATAATAGTTTAAAAAGATACTTGTTACATACTTATTTGCTTATTTTATTATTTATAATTATATAATAATTATTAAAATTTATTATGTAATTATTTATTTTGTGGAGGACATATTTATTTCTTATTCTCAAATAATTGTATATGATATATATTTACAATGTATACATAAGATATAATAGATCTATAGATCTCTTATTAAAAGATTTCTTAATTTTTTTAGCAGGAAATTTTGAAGATAATGCCTAAATATTAATATTGATATTAAAGTGAAACTGTTATATATTAAATAACAAAAGTGTATGACTCTCAGAAGAAAGATCATCTATCTAATTGAGTAAATTTATTGATGAAATTGCCTTTCATATTTGTAACAAGGCTATATTTCTTTAATAGAATGCCTTACTATGCAGTTGCCAAAGGTCGAAAACCTGGAATTTATGCTACATGGTAATAAAACTATATAACTCAAGGCTAAATTATTGGCGAAAGTTAATTAAATACAAGATTTTTTTATTTTCAAAAGGGATGAATGTAGTACTCAGGTTCTTAAATTCCCTGGATCCATATATAAAAAATTTGCTACGGAAAATGAGGCTAAAAACTTTATAAAAGAACGTTCCTCTTCTGCTGCTGGAACAAGTTTGACCAAGAATCTTGTCTCGTCGAAAATCGTTAAACCTATAGAGTAAATGTCAATAATAATTGTTCTTACTATAAAGCAAGAAAAAATATAAAATTAATAAAACTTGCATTACAAAACAATATTATTTATATATATATATATATATATATATATATATATATATATATCTTATTTGTAGATCAAAAGTTCTACCAAAACAAATGTTTTCACTTGGAGGCAAACAAGCCACAGTGGCTCAGACAAAATCATTATCATCGTATTCAAAAAGAACTTTATCAATAAATAGCAATACCAGTGAACAACCAAGTAAAAAAAGAAAAATTTTATCAAATAATCCAGACTTTACTTCAATTCAAACCTCTGATCAGGTAAGAAGCACCTTAACAGATAAAAAATATAATTTACAAATTAATAAATTGTATTATAAGAATTTTACATACAACTTAATAATTTTGGGATTGTACAGGATAGCAAAGAGGATTTTATTGTGGATGAAGATGACTATGTAAATGTCTTCACTGATGGCGCATGTAGTTCCAATGGATACAAAAATGCACAAGCTGGCATCGGCGTTTGGTTTCGAGATAATCATCCATTGTATAATTTATTTCTTATTCTTATTTCTTCTTTATATTTTTTTAATATTTAATAGATAAGTTAGACAATAGCTATAATTTCCATAGAAATGTATCTCAACCAGTGGTGGGACGACCCACCAATAACATGGCAGAAATCCAAGCTGTCACAGTAGCTGCAAGACAAGCTAAGAAGGCAGGAATAAAAAAGCTTAAGATCAATACCGATTCGAAATTCGTCATCTCCTGCATCACACAATGGATGCCAAGTTGGAAGAAGAGAGGATGGAAGACAATAGAAAACAAGCCAGTTATAAATAAAAAAGAATTGTTGGAAATGGAAAAAGAATTGGAGTCACTGACTGTTGCTTGGGTAAGTAATTGTTAATTGAAAATTTCATTATATAAAATTAAAATTTAATAATCTACATATAAAATAAAGGTTCAATTAATAAATATACTTCACTTTAATAAAAATATTACACAATAAAATTTAACAATTTTTAAACAAATAAATAACGCATGATAAAATTAAACAATTTTTTTTTCTAGAATCATGTGAATGGACATATAGGAATTTATGGTAACGAAATGGCAGACAAGCTGGCAAAAGAGGGCTGCTTGCTGTATAAGTCAGATTAAACAATAAAGATACATATAAAAAAAAATCCTATTTCACATTAGAATATTCCCCTATATATAAGAGAAAATGACATTTGTATTATATTTTATTTTTGTATATATTAACAAAACGTCTATAAAGAATATTATACGGACTTAGATGTTAATTTATGAATTTAATCAAATATATATAAGGGGTTTGTTTTGATAGAGAAGTAAATTGCTTAAGAAATAAAAACTTAATGAAATGTTGCAAAAAAATTGTTTAATTATAGACTACATATAGAGATGCTATATTATATACTTTTATATACATAAATAGATTATAATTCTAATTCTAAAATTTAAGATATTCATTACTAAATTTAATGTATGTAATATCATTTCTTGTCAAACGAAGATAAATAATTAGAGACACAAATGCTTATTTAATTACAATTATAAATCTCTTACACTGCAAATTACTAATAGATCTATGCTACGTAAATAGATTCTTTCTCATGGCACATATAAGAAAAATATTTATTGCTAAAGTTAGCAACTCTTTAATATACAAAGTGCTATTTTTCGGTGGAAATATGCGCACCCTCGTTTATTGTCTGTTGGCTCGATGATCTTGTCGAAATTTGCTTAAGAAGAATGTAAATATCTTCCGGAGACACTTGCAACGCCAACAATTCCAATATGATGCTGAAAGAAAAATTATAATAGGTAAAATCGCATGAAAGAGTTGAAGGAAGTCTTAAACTCTGAAGGGTTATCTCACCGGAAAACGCCAGGAACCGCCGAGATCCCCGTTATTTCAGCCAATTCGATCAATTCTTGCTGATGCGATTGCGGAAATGCCATTTTTCACAGAATAGTTTCGTCTGTTTTCATAGATTTTTGGATTTACCGCGCGAAATTGTGCGTAGATAACTTCGTTGAATTTTATACATAAACTGGAATCAGCTGTCAAAAAGTAGGGGTGGACAACTTTGAAAAAGAAATAGTCCTATCGAAAGATTATATTTTATATTTATCCCTGATTTCCCAATTATTCAGAAAATCCACTTCGGTGAAATCCTTTTCAAAAAATGTTTCGAGATAAAATTCAAGAAAAAGCAATCGAAACATTTTTTGAATTATAATTTTGAGAAGAGTTTTATCAAAGCGAGTTTTCTGCCAAGTTCCTAGCCAATCAGAAAATCACAAAAAGAATAGAGATACCTCATACGATATGATTATCTCTTTCTCTAATGATAGGATGGAATTGACCAATCATTGATCATTTCTCCAAAGACTGTCATGGTTACATTCTTCAAAAGAATGGCTGTGATTGGTCAATAACATTTAGTAACCTACCTCAGAGCAATTAACTCGTATCATTTGAAAATGCCGTAAGATTCATTGGTCACGTGACGAATACGAAGGGAATCACAGGATTCAAAATTTAATCGAATGACGCAATCGATAGTACAAAAAGAACATATGATACATGTGTCTATAATCATGCGTGACTTTCAGCACATTCCAGATCATTGTCTAGATCGAGATACTTCGCAAAATTAAAAAAGAAAAACGCCATTTTGGTGCGAAGATTCCTTTGTTTAAACTCACAGAAGACCGACGCTTTTATCATTAACCTAAGCGATAAATACTAATATTTTAAAAAAAAAGTAAGTTTTGCAACGAACATCTTAAATTCGCTAAAAGAAACGAAAATTAATCTTAAAAATTTTCTGATTTAATCTGGATTCATTGCAATTCTGAAGCTTTGTCAGTTTTTAGACGAACATCTTTTATATATTTTATAATTAATACTAATTATATGTTAGTAAATATAGTTAAATTGCAAAATATTAATTATTTTAAATATTAATCAATATAATAATGCTCGATCAACGTGTCTATTTTTAACGGTTTTTTTTTCCTTCAAGATTTTGAAATGTATTCGTTCAAAATAAGTATTATGTTATAAGTAAAAAATAAGTTAAAAAAGCAAAGGCTTAACAGAAAACTTTTGATTCCATTTAGAATGAAATTTATTAGGAAAAAATTAGAAGAAATGTTAATAATGAATAATAATAACAGATATAATATGATCAAAATTAAAGTTAAAGTTCTTATGTTTATATTTTTTCAATAGAATGCCCTACTACGGCGTAGCTAATGGTCGTAACACTGGAGTTTATGATAATTGGTAAAAAAAATCATTGTACTAAATTATTGTACTCTATAACTATAAACTGCTTATTAGACTAATAGATATATAAACTAATATATTAAATTGAAAATAAATACAAATTTCTTTGTTACAAGGGAGGACTGTAAAGAACAAGTTCATAGATATTCTCATTGCGATTTTAAAAAATTTGATACACCAGATCAAGCTTGGGATTTTGTTGACCAACGTTCTTCATCTTCGAATGGAAACAACTATGTTAATGATGCATATAAATCTAATAATAAAGCCATAGCTTGTAGAAGTGACAATCAAATTGCAAAAAGAGATAATTATCAAGAAGCTAGAGCTTACAAACGAACTGATTACATGGTATAAATAAGAAGAAACTCTTGAATGCAGAGAAATATTTTCTAAATATATTTTACTTCAATAATTTTGTGAAACAATTTCATTAAAAATACTTTTATTTCTTGTATATATATGTATGTGTCAATTCTAAAAAAATACTTTAAATTTTCTATCAGATAAAATGTTATAGTATTTTTAAAGACATTCTTTAGTATTATTTCTCTTTTAAAATCTTATCGTTTTTAAATTGAAGTAATTTCTTTAATTTACAGGAAGGAAGAAACGGTGTCATTGTACGTGAACGAACTTATACAAGTGGTCGACATGGCAATGGTTATTATGTCGAAAAACGTACACGTACTTACTGGGAAAGTTAAATGATATAATATAACAAGATATATAATATGATATAACAAGATATAATAATATAACAAGATATATAATATGATATAACAAGATATAATAATATAACAAGATATTGAGAAAAAACTTATAATAATACTCATAATATAAAGTCAGCATGAGTTATAAATTCAAACAAGTTGATATCGATTAAAGTATGTTAGTTTCAGATTTATGATTATAGAGATAGAGATGTATGCAAGTTTATTGTTATCAGCATGTTTTTTTTTTTTTTTCTTTTCAAGATATTACACATAGGTGTTAACTAAGTTTTACATTTATATGCGAGTTTTATATGTGAAAGCGTATGTTTGAGTAATCTCATTGCAGAAAATATCAACTTATTGCGTACACAATATATGTTTGAATTTATATACATTTTTTCATTTAATAAATAATTTGTAATTATACAAAACCAATTTTTTCTTTAATAAAAATATATATAAATAAATTTTGTTTTTAATTAAATAAATTTTATTTAATTAAGTTTGTTTCTTAGTTTTATAATATGTAATTCTATTATAAATTACTTATAAATATATTAATTATACTAAATAATATATAAATATATGTAAATCAATAATTTTAAATACATTTTTCGGTTTTTTAAATATGATTTAGTGTAAAAAGCTACGATATATAAAAGCAATACATGTTTAAAAGTGGGAGCCATCATTACGTTCAGCAGAGAAAACAGTTTAACAGCAATCGAACGTGATTGGTTTCTACTTTTAGATCCAGCAAATCAACGTCGAATGTTACAAGAATTGACAACAGTTTTCTCTACTGAACGCAGCCAATGAAAATATAAATTCCCTAAAACTCTCCCTATTTCTAATATGGCGTGAGAATGTTTACGGTTGAGATAAAAGTGACCGTCTGGCAGCATGGGCAAACAGTGAAATAGTGTCACAAATTGAAAAAAAAAAAGAAACAAAGGTACAACATGTTTTATCACGTGAGTTAATTTTTGCACCTTCCGAATAATTAATTATTAATTATTTAAATTAAAAAATATTAACTGTTGGTTAATTTTTTTAAATGAACAGATCTCGCTAGAACACGAGATTCTATTGCATCCGCGATATTTTGGGCCCCAATTACTTGATACAGTAAAGCAGAAACTTTATACAGAAGTGGAAGGCACTTGTACAGGAAAGTAAGTATCAAATTCTTAGTATTTTGGTAAATCAAATTTCGATCTTAATCGTATTTTTTTATAGATATGGCTTCGTTGTCGCGGTTACAACGATAGATAACATAGGAGCTGGGATCATACAGCCAGGACAAGGCTTTGTAGTTTATCCAGTCAAATATAAAGCCATTGTGTTTAGACCATTCAAAGGTGAAGTGTTGGACGCAATTGTGACCCAAGTAAATAAGGTATAACTGTTTTTTTGAAAAATATAGATCTACAGTATTGATCAAAAGTATTATATCATTTATAAAAACAGAGAAATTTGTTTTAATGAACATATATATAAATATTATATATAAATATTATTAATTTACATTTTATACTGTTATTTTGTACTTTAATATCATAATTAAAATTTATGTAATTAATAACAGAAATATTAAATATTTGATTCTTCAAAATAGCCTTTCTAATCTTTTCAATTAAATTTAATCTGATAAATTATAATTGAATGTGATAGCGATGTCCAAAAAATGAGACCTTAGAATCAAGAACAGTTGTAAAAATATTTGTAAACATATTAGGATTAAATTAAAAAAAAATTTTTGTCAAAAATATTAAGAATATTCAACAGAATGGAAAACAGACAGAGGCTAGTTTGAAAAAATTTAATATTTCTGTTACTATTTAATATAATTTTAATTTTTTACAATATTAAAACACAAAATAATCGTAATAAAAAATAATTTGATTATATATATATGTGTATATATATATATATATATATATATATATATATATATATATATATGTAAGTGTTGTAATATTTTTGACTACTACTAAATATCGATTGCCTTTCGAAAAGATAATTGTTATAAACAGTTTGTTTCAAATTTTGCTTATAATATTTGCAGGTGGGAATGTTTGCTGAAATAGGTCCACTTTCATGTTTTATATCTCATCATGTAAGTAATTAACAAATATATATGACATATTGAAGATTTCATATTAGAGAAGTATATCTTCAAATTTTTGAAAAATTAGATATCAAGATATCACATTTCTTCAATGAGATAAAAGAGAGATTATTAAAATTGAGTTTTGTATCGAGGTTTATTTAAACTTATTATAAAATCAAAGAAATGTGTATACAATTAAAAATTTTTCTGAAACTAATGTATTACTATTCTGCACTTAGTTCTTATTAGTTCTTATCACAAAATTTTAGAGATTTTTATATCTCACATGAGAATCTTATTAATCTCATAATTATGAAGATATATATTCCTTTATAAATGAGATATTAATATTATGTTTTCTTATCCAGAAATATATATATGAAAATTGCATTCCTACATTTAAAATCCAAAAACGTTTTTATATCATTTCTGTGAAGTGATTTCGGGCTTATACTTCTACAATGAAATCCTCAATATGCAATTATAATAATATATAAACTTACAATATTTGAACAATAATAAAATTATTAATAATTACATATTGATAAGATTTTAATAATTAATAAAACAAATTATTATATTTATAATATAAAATGAAATTTTAAAAATTTAAATAAATTGTTTATAGTCAATCCCAGAAGATATGCAATTTTGCCCAAATGTGAATCCAGCTTGTTATAAATCAAAGGAAGAAGTAAGTTATTCCACAAAGAAATTTCATGTATTTTATAACAAAATTTTTAAGTTTGATAAAAAATAATGTTTGGAATATATTTTTTAGGATGTAGTTATCCAAGCAGATGATGAAATTAGATTAAAAATAGTGGGCACCAGAGTCGATGCTACAGGAATTGTAAGTATTAAACTTAAGGAAAATTGTTTTGTCATATTAAATATTAAATAATTTTTCAGTTTGCCATTGGAACGTTAATGGACGATTACTTAGGTAAAAAGATGACTAATGTTTCCAGTTTTAATGTGTTTAATATATTATATATAGCTTATTTTTATTTTTACAGGACTTGTATGCAATTAATATATCTGGATTCTGACATTTGCAAAAAATGTTCTAAGTTCCAAAACAAAAATATCTGAAAACAATATAAACACTTAAAGAGAATTTCTTGTATTTATATACAATAGGGAATAAATCAATTGAATTTAAAAAAATACAAAAATATAGAAGGTAATAGTGTATAAAAGCTGTCAAATAACAATTGTAATATTAGATATATGTAACTCTGCCTTTTTATACATTTTTAAAGTAATGATAAAAATTATATTTATGAAAAATATATATATAATTAATAAATAATATATGTATAATTAAATATAAATTACATATATTGAAGAAATATTTAATGTCATCTTTATTAACAATCCAAAGTGTAAAGCAAATGAGATATAGTTATATTAACAAAATAGTGCTGCACTAATTTTGCTACATTTTTTTATGTATATTTTTTCTCCAACTATATTACATAATATAATCTATGTTTTTTTAAATATAGAAATATTAGTGCATAATTATTCGGACATTAAAAATAAATATGGGTAATTCATACAAGATACAATTTATATACATGTTTTTAATTCTTATATCTCTCTTATTTACTATCAATCATTGTTATGCAATGATACATTTGTAAATAAACTAATATGCCAGCATACATTTTCAGAATTATCGATTCATGAAAAAAGCATTCTTGATTCGTTGTGACAATTTAAATAAAATTACATAATTCCACGACGATTATTGCCGAGTTATTTATTTGAATTCATATAATTTTAAATCGGAATTCAATTCAATGAAGTTCTTGTTGCATTATCCAGTAGATTTTTGAATAGTGCTAATTTCGGTGCCATGCGTAGATCATCTTTTTTTGCAACTATGTCCTGATCGGGCATCACTTTATCTGCCACATGCTTGTAGACTTTCCCATCGCCATTAATATAATAAGTAGAGAAGCCATCATACCATCTAAAATTATTACGTACATTTATATTTCTTCTTAGATTATTCTCATATATTAAATATTAATTATTTCTCATTAGAGTGCAATTATTAGAATAGATTTTAATTTAATTCCAAAGTTGAAATTCAAATGTCGTGTTTTGCTGAAGACAAAATTAATGAAAAGATTTTAATAGAACTAAAAAGAATTATCATACTTATTTTACTGTTACTATTACACTGATGTGTTTGTACAGTATACTTACATGTCGTGGTAAGCATCTATGGCATCTTGTATTTTCCAAATTTTATATCTCCAAAACATGGAGATTACCTTCCAGCCTGTGACACCTCGTATACGCCAACGAATCTTTATAGTACCATCATCACTATGCGTTGTAAGCTTTAAAATATTGAGCTTGACGTGTGCAAATCTTATATGACCAATGACCCTTAACAATATCAACTGTTTTGCATAATCTGTAATTCCCCTGTAAATACACATATATTTTGTAGAAATTCTTAATAATTCTTATTATAAATTTTCGACTGCTTAAAATATTTAATAGTTTACCTTGTCGTTACTCCTCTAATATTATTAATAAAAATAAAATCCTTGGTGTATATTGAAAAATTCTGAGGTTTTACAAACAGGTTTGGTAACTGCAAACAATATTCTAATCAGAAAATATTTTAAAAATCACTTTATACAAGGTATCAGAATTATTGTACTGTTTTTTCAAGAGCAGATATCTTTACTTTAAAAAAAAGTGCAATAATTCTAGAATATGTTTTCAATTAAATGACATACATCTTTACTAAGAGTATCGACTATGCTTTGCAATTGTTCCTGTGATGGTTTACCCTCATTATCTTGCAATGGTGATGGTTGTGGGCTTGTCTTTAAAATGTTCTTATCATCAGAAGTTAATAAAATATTCCTGTCAATATTTGATTCCCAACTATATAAGTTTTCTAAAGAACTTAATCTATTATTATCTAGAAACGAATTATTTTTATCATTTCCTACAACGTCTTGTCTCTGAAACACAGTAACATTGTTTGATGCAATTCCTATGGGAGTTATGTATTTTCTGTTTTTTGAGAGGGCAACATTGGATCTCTGGGATCTATTATGAAGCCTATGCAAGCTCTGACCCCAATACGTTGTCTCGCTCTTAGTCTTGTCATCAATATATTGTCTGTTTACTTTCTTATTCCATTGATTACAAGTGTCAAGAGATGCAAATGATAAATTTGGATGCAATATACAACTCACATAAGGTATCGATGGTTTGTCTGCAGTATTTGCTCTTAGTGATAATGCTCTTTGTGTACCCAAAAACTGAAAATTTATATATATATATATATATATATATATATATATACAGTTAGCATCGACATAATTATAATATAAGAAGAAACAAAATATATAACAATTAATGTATTCCTATCAATTATAAGTAACAGAAAAATGGCAACTATTAAGTTTAAGTTTACTTTATACTATATTGTTATTTTTCTTCTCATCATATTTATATTATTTATACTTATATTCAAAATTGAATTAATTGACTTCAATTTAATTTGTAATTATTTGTAAATTATTAGATTTTATTAATAATATTTATTATTATAGATTGACAAAAATTATGTTACTTGATAGATTCTTTTGTCAGAGAAAAATTCTGTCCAAACAAATTTATAATAAAAAGAAAGAGATTGATATTATTTTAGAGCATTTTCTATACTATCAACAATTTAACAAAAATTTTATATGTTACAAATCATCGTAAAATCGCAAATTGAAATGCGTTTCGCGTCTCGATGAATTAACCCTAAAGTCCACTTTAAAGCCAGATTGCATACGATTATGTAAGCAGGTTCGAAGATTTGGACAGCAGTTTCCCGATATCGGGATCCGGATTAATTCGCGGAACAAAATTTAAATCGATAGATTTACGACGTACCTGTTTTAGAAAAACGGATGACTCAACGTGTTCGCGAAGCCGGTGACGGTCGAGCCTCGACGACGGTTTCCGTCCGTTGACGAGCGACGACAGTCTACCGGGCAACGAGCGAAAGCACGAAAGGGACATCGTTGACGATCTGTCGTTAGATCAACGTCGACGACATCTTCGACGGCACACAAGCACGATTTTACAAAAGCTGCGCGCGTGCTTCTTAACGTGCATCGACTTGATCGACTGCTTGTGATCTCTGGAATTCCATTTCGTTCCGATAGAGGACGCACTTTTCGTCAGCGCGATCGAGAAATTCTCGATCGATTGTAAATCGAAGTCAGTTAGCGATGTGTTATTTTAATACATGTGTCTTTATGTAGTTGCACATTAACTCATTAAGAAAAGGTCTTTTTATACTTTGAATTATATATGTGACTTTGCTCATGTCTTAGCTATGATTTTGCAAAGAATTCAAAAATCATCTACAAGGTATTAATTTCATTAATTCAATTTTAACACATTTCACTTTATTTAAAATAACTATATAGAATAAATAAATATATATATTTTTTCTTAATTATATATTTAGTTATTATTGCTAAAAGTATTACTTTTATCTAAATGATAAATAATAGTAATTATACAGAAAATTGCAATTCCAAATAACAATTAAATAAAAAAAATAAGTAAAAAATAAGTTAAATTTTTATGACAATTATTATTAGTTTACGAAATTTTGAAATGAAAATCTTTATTAGATATAAAATATAAATATAATAAATAAAATACATATAGATATAAAAACACAGTTTGTGATTTTTAAAAACATTTTACAGATATCACTTTAATATGATAAAAAAAATTAGTTTTTATATTTTTAATTTATTTTTTTGAAAAGAATTTTAATGAATTAATGAGATTTTTGCGATAAACTGATCAAACATAATATAATTCGAATTTTCGAGTTAAATGAATAATAAAATTTGTATGTATTACTGGGAAAATTATCTGAATCATGTCTTGTTTTATGTAATTTGTTGCAAAAATCTCATTAATTTTTTTTAAATTTAATTAAACTACATTAAACTACTTACATTAAACTACTTTAAAAGAAAAATAGATTTAAAAATATAAAAACTGTAGACTTTTTTATCATATTAAAAAAATATTATAAAAAAACCTAATAAAATAAACTAAATTTGATTTTCTTTTTTTAATAAATTTTTAATAAATTTTTTAATAATCATATTCTTTTCTCATTCTTTATTTTTTACTAGAAAAGTAAAACGGTTTTTTATATCTCTAATTTTAAATAATAATGTGTCAACTTTATCGAATATATAATTGTTATTTTCTATAACAAATATCTTTTTATTTTCAGAAGATATAGTAATCTTGTGTCTATTGTATAAAAAAAATTGCACATTCGTCATCTGCATATTTTTATGACACGTACGTAAGTACAATCTATATAAGTTATATTAAAAAATATATAATAAAAAATAAAATATATAAATATAATAAAATATAAATATAATAAAATATAAATATATATATTATATTAACTATACGAAGTACTCAAACATATATAATTTCTGTAATATAATCAGAAATAATTAGATAAAAAATTAAATAATTAGATAAAAAATTAAAATTAATTAAGTAAAAACATATATTTTACATTAATTGTACGAAATAATTATGTATCATTTCTTTATAATGTTGACATAATTAGAAATAATTAGATCAAAAGTTAAAATTAATTAATTTCAATTAAAATTGAAAAAAGCAAGATAAAAAATAATATTTAAATAACATAAAATTTCAATTGTATATTTTGAAAAATTTTTTTTATTGGAAATTTTCATTCAAAAGATTAAATTCACTATTCTTGATAGGAAAAATTAACATGTAAAATATATCAAATATGCGAAAAAATTTTTAATTAAAATAAATAAATATATATGTTTTTACGAAGTATATGTATAAACAAATATTGAAGTTAAATTTAACAAAAATATTATACCTTATTGTTTAATATAATATGCCTTTTTTCAAAAATACAAATATAATATTTTTTTGTTTAATTTATTAATCTTTTACATGTGATTATGTGTATATAAAAGATGAAGAATTTCTTAGAACACATACAATTCAAAAATTCAATTCAAAAAAGCGATTAAGAATCTAAAGATTTTGTTGCTGGATCATCACACGCATAATTTTATATAAGTTATGCATGCGTTTCAATAAGACAGCGTATTTTTCTATGGGAATAGCCCAGGAGAAGTCATAATATGTCAAGAACATTACGGCATGAATATCAATAGATAAACACGGCCGATATCTTTTCGAGGGTCATCCGCGCCTCGTGAATTCGTCGTCCAGGCACGACGATGAACCAGACGTAGTCGCATTTCCCTTATTTGTATTCCGCGGGGGAGAGAAACGCGCGTGTGATGGTGGGCCACAAGGTAGAGAATCACAAAAGAACCGTACAGATAAGGCACGCTCACCTTGGCGCCAAAGGTGACTCGAGAGAGCTGGTCTATAAAAGAGACGGACGCACCTCTCGACCCGAACAAACCGTATCGAAATGTCTCGCCTGATCGTCGTCGCGCTCGCGGTCCTGGCGTTCTTGCAGGCATCGACCTCCACCTCCGTTGACCTGTCCAAGACCAAGAATGTTCTGATCGAGCTCGCCGACGAGGACATCGTACCGAAGACAGCGCTGGTAAGTCGGCTTGGGAGATGATCTTGCGGTTTGTCAAGTCGATCTCGAGATGTAAAATAGAGTCATTTATAAATAATTGTGAAAATGAAGCGATTAAGTTTAATTTCTACCTTTTTAAAAAAAATATATAAAATTATAAAATACAAATTATAAAATGTACGCATGTAAATCGGATTCTTGTTTCTTTTTGGATTTTTGACTTGAATTTGAGGCATCAAGGTCTGAAAAAAAAATTTCCGATAACTTAGCTTCTTGATTATTTAATCCCTTGCAACATTTTTTATTTTTAATTTCAGACAAAAATTGTGAGGTTTCAAAAGTGACATAAAATGGATCAAACGAAATTTTTCTAGATACAGAAGGCATTTCGCAGATTTAGAGAGCAATTTAATTTTTTAAAATAAAACTACTTTAATTTTTAAATAGATATTTCAGTTTTAAATAAATTCCTTGTAACATCTTGATGAAAAGTTATAAAATATCCAAAAATTGAACAGTTTATGAGAAAAGAAAACATATGCAATTTGCAACATGCAATATGCTGTATACTTTTTCTTGAAAACAATTATGCCTTTTCTTTCATTAATTGATTTATCTCATTATTTTATGCATAAAAGTATTATTAGTAAAATCATCGAAATTAAATATTTTATGAAATATTATTTTATATTAAAATATATGTCAGATTAAAATATACATAAAATATCTCATAAGCCATTTAATTTATGGCTATTTTTTAACATTTTATAAAGATGTTGCAAGGAATTTATTTACATAAAAATAAGTTTCATTAAAAAAATTAATTTGCTCTCCAAATCTACGAAATTCTTTATCTAAAAAAATTTCGTTTACTCCATTTTATGTCACTTTTAAAACTTTGCAACTTTTGTTAGAAATAATTTTTTCTGAAATCAAAAACAACAAAATTCTGGAAATAATCAATTAAATGGGATATATAACATATATCAATTAAAATTTTTATTTCCAAAATTATCGGTTATTAAATTTTTTAGCGAGATAATTCAAGAAAGTATTTTCAAACTTAAATTATAAATCTTTTGTCATATATGAGAAAGAAATTATTGTAAAATTTTGCAGAGGAGCAATTATTAAAAAATTTTTTTGATTATTAAAAAAAATATGTGTTTTATCTCGTATCGTTAACTTTACAGAAAAGTTTGGTGCCTGAGACATATGTTGCTGGATTTATTGGAAATCTCGAGATTGGAAGACGATATCCCGATGAAACGATTTTCCGTCGAGTTATCGAATTCAATAATCCAACAACCACCGTTCAATCAAATACTCTAACGTTGACTGTTACTAATGGTAAGAAAATATTAAGCAACAAAAATATTATTGATTCTGTTTTTGATATGAAAACATTAAACACATGTGCCTAAAAATTGAAGAGACATACTAACGAGAAAATATTTATTAAATTATATTATTAAATTATATTATATAAACACATAGCTGCACATTTGATTTATTATTTTTTAACAATCAAGTAATGACTTTGAATATTTTTTACGTGCAGGAATCCTTCATTACATTAGCGTAATAAATGACAGCGGTAGCTACGCAGTTGTATGCGATGAGCCGAACACTCTGGGATCATCCAGAGGCAATATTAACATTCGTGCCTCTCCGAAAACGAAATCCTATCTTACAGTAGTCACGGCAGTGCATTAAACAAGCATATGTAAAAAAATATAATAGCTTGTTATAGCTTGCGCATTAATAACAAAAAAATAAGAAAACATTTGTTTCTTGAAAAGAGATTTATCAACTGTGATAAAAACAATTATGTATCCTTGTGTCTGTATCCTGTATTCTTGTATGCACAAAAATAAAATCCCGATAAGATAATAACAATCATCATTATTCTTACTCTATAATCTGTTCAATCTTACATCGAAAAGATAATTCTTTACATCGAAAAGATAATTTTTATTTTTTAACAATTTATGTACCAATTATTTTATTAATAAAATATAAAGATAATATATAGTAGACACACACACACACACACACAATTGAATTTTCCAATTTCCGCAAAATGCAGATAAAAATAGTTAATAAAGAAGATGAAAAAAGAAGATATAATTATTATAACAAGCGTTACAAGCATTAAAATAAATTCTTCATGCAGCACGCGTATCAGCGCATGAGCATCATTACACATGATGAATGCAAATTTGTCACTATTTGTGTGACGTTATAAATATGTCATAAACATATAAAATATTTATAAAATATTTTATAAAATATTTATCTATATATAAATATTTTTTCGCGAATAAACATGCGATTCACGTGAAGCAATTTTTATTTCAAAAAGTAAATCTATTCGAAATAGATTAGATAGTGTAGTGGGAAACAAATATATGAAACTTCAGGGATACGCCCTATGAGTTGATTTTCTCTAAATAGAAATATTTCTTCCTGTCACATTCTTACTTCTTTTTCTCTTTAAAGAGATATTTGCATCCTGAAAACTTGAGATTTTATATCGATACCAACATATTACACATGTAGGAATTCTTATCCGAAACGAACGGTGTCGTAAAGTTTATTTGTCTCTCTTATTTTATCACCGAGTTCGCATGCAAGCAAATTAAGGACTATAACTAAAGTATCCTGACATTCCACAGAACCAGCATCAATGCGTCATCAAGATTTTCCTCTCGAGCTGTTTTCTTATTTGATCCGCTAAATATGCAAAACAAACACATCTCGTCATGAAACGAATCCTTATTTCTTTTTTTACGACTGATTGTGAGCATTATTTAAGGGCTCAGTATAGAAGTATGAAAAATTAATAATTTTTAGAAATTGTTTAAAATATTACAAATTAATCTTTTTAATATTGTACATCTACTTTTCACTAATGTTTATATAGTCAATATTCTTAAATTTTAAATATTTAGTCTTAAATATGTATATATATATATATATTGATATTTCTATTATTTTTTCCTTTTATTTATATGTTTTGAAAAATCTGTTTAAAGTTTTGCAGGTTTATTTGAAGATACGCGCACTATTCTATTCAAAGTCTTAACTAAGTCTTAACAAAGTCATAACTCTGTCAATTTTGCAAATTTTTCAATAAAGTTCGAAAGACATATTCTTCAGAGACATCACAATTTCAAAAAATGTAAAAAAGAATCCTTTTAACCTTTTAAAGTAGATTCAGCCCCTAAGAATCATTGGTCAATAATTATCTTGAATAATCCTTTCGATTGTAAAAATGAAAAAAGTCAATTTTTTTTCCATAACACATTATCTAATTAATCGTGCTTATAAAGGAAAACCTTATCATTTCACAAGAATAAAATTCGAACTTTAAACATCTTATATTTACAATATTTTGTTATATAAGCTTCATTTATTTATTATAAACATACCTGCACAAAGTTTATGTTCTATAAAAATTCTATATTTCTATATGAATTAGAAATCACGTTACATAACACATTATATGACAAATTATTACCACGTCATCATTATCTTTTTCTCATCACGTTCTCTATACGGTTGTGTTTCGACTGTCTGATGAAGATGATTCCTACAGCTATATGGACTCGTTAATAATGCACTGTGTCTGCAAGTAGTAATTTTCTTTTTAGCAGTGCAAAAAATGAACAAGCTTGTAGGCGTTTCCACATGTTCTTCTTTTGGAATTTTCAACATGGCTCGTTTCATACCACGATCTTGTGGGCGTGAGAAATTTTTGTCCACATGCACGCGGTTATGGCTCTTCATTTAAAAAAGTGTTCAGCAATGAACAAGAAAAAAGAAGAAAATACGAGTCGATGAACTTCGAATAGTCTCGTGTAGGTGCACTTGTCCATTATAATTTATTCATTGAACCCTTTTGTCAGATGAACATGTTCGCACACGAGACGATAACAGTGCATACATGTTCTTCCTCTGGTTATTGCAATATTTACGACAGTGCAATGTACCTTTCGTGTTTCAAGAATTTCGTCGGAGGCATGCGTAATAATAGTGTTTCGAAAGTGGGGATGAAATCGCATTGAGAATCGTGGAAAGACCCCAGTGCCTCTTCGGTCAATGCCATGGATTGTCCAAACGAATATAATGATGACAACATTTATACAGGTGAGTGATTTCGATGAACAGGAATAAAAATGACTCTTCCAAAAAAAGAAGAAAATTGCGTATATTTGAACAATTTTAATATTTTTTAAAATAATATTTGAATGTGGATTTTTAACTCTTATTGACTTTGTCATAATAAAACATTTAGTTTTAGTATTGTCTTGGCAATTAATTAAAAATCTTGCTTTAATCTTGTCTCAAATTTTAAGACAAGACAGTCTTGATATTTCGTACAATCCTAATTCTAATCCATTTTAAGAGTCGAGAATCATTATTATCGATTTTTGCTTAATATTGTTTAGTACTTTTACATAATTATGACTGAAAAGATACTAATAGCGTTGAAACATCCCACATATGATATTCTTTTATACAATCTAAATGGTTGTTTATAAAATTTAACATCTTTTCTTTTCCTTGATTTATCTTATATTCTTCTATACATATTTTTAAATACATGTTTCTTTCATGTCATTAGTTAATCTTTTTCTACATCATAGTAATTGAGTAAATGAGATTAATTTATTCTATTTTAATATTTGTATTTTTCGATAGAGTTTCGAGATTGTCAATTCTTTTATAAAATATATAAAATTTATTAAAATAGACTGTGTGTATACGTGCAAAAGTTAAAGTAAATAATTAATAGTCTAATTAATAGTCTTTTTACCTAATAAATTCTCTACAATATACAGGATGTCCCAGTTATCTTCCGTCATCTTTCAAAGACAGATTCCTGGGATCATCTAAAGACGATTTTTCCTCAACGAAAATATCGAGACACTAATAATTTTCGAATTATAAGTGATTGGAAATAAAGGGGTTTTCGTAAACTAAGCTTTGTAGAAATAAAAGATTAACAAAAACCACACTCTTCGATTAATTTTAAATAGAGTTTACTTTAGTTGAGTTTTAATTTAAGATTTAATTGCAAAGATATATGATGACAAAAATCGGGAACATGCAAAAAATGATGGCCTTCATTGACATTTTTGCTGAGGAAAAATCGTCTTCAAATCCCAGGAATCTGTCTTTGAAAGATGACGGAAGATAACTGGGACATCCTGTATATATACTTTGTCAATCTTATATGTAACATTTATCAATCTTAACTTAACTTTTAATTTATTAACATTTAACTTTTAATAATTAATATTTATATCGAGAAATATTGATATTCGAATAAAATCTTTTATTACATCAAGGTTTCTCATTAATTAATTATAAATAGATATAGAATGGGCAATCGGTCTCAATCGTTGCATGTTGAAAATCGTTGGTCTGTGGCCGCAGAACAGCAAGGACACTCGTGAAGCGTTATTATCAAAACTTCGTTTGCTATTCAACGTCATTACGTTAATTTTTGTACTAACAATACCGGCTCTAGTATCATTGATAAGAGTATGGGGCGACATGATGCTGATGATCGATAATTTGCAATACACTTTACCGTTGTTGATTACGGTATTAAAAATCTCCATCATGTGGTGCAAGAAAAAAGGTACGTATTATATATTCAATAAATATATTATATTATATTATATATAAATATATTATGTTATATATTCAATAAATTATATTTATCTGGATTTCTATTTTTGTCCTCTTTTTTCTTTTTTCACTGTTTTATTCAACTCTTATATATGTGCAAATAAATTCGTTGATTTCCAAATTTCTTTTAGCAAATCTTAAAAAATAAAAAACGAATATCGACAACTATACATCTAAAATTAACTATTACAAATAAATCAAATATTAAAGATACAATTAATAAAATAAAATTGCAAGAGAGAATAATTTCAACAATCAAACTATATTCCATATATTGATATATCTTTAGCTTTTCTTTTGTAGCTCTATCGTCGTTAATCGATATGATCATGAGCGATTGGATTAGAGTGAAGGTAAAAGAAGAGCGAAGAATCATGTTAAGACGTGCTGAAAATACTCGTGTGCTCGCTTTATGCGGAGGTATAATGATACTTTTCGCGGTGCTGATCACGATCCCGACTTTTTTCGGATTGACGGTTAGGCATGTGACAAATTTTACCGATCCTGGCAGACCCTTGTTGATCCAAGCATACTATTTGCATGACGTATCCAAGAGCCCGCAATTTGAACTGACGTTTCTGATACAAGCAATCGCGTTGACCTTATCCGGTCTCTCTTACACCGGAATCGACAACTTTCTCGGACTACTGATCTTACATATATGTGGCCAGATGGAGAATCTACATCTGCGACTACTGAATCTAGGAAATAATTCAGAATTCACAACAACTTTAAAGTTCAACGTCAAAGATCACATCCGCTTGATCAGGTGTTTACAATATTCGTATATAAATAGTTAAGTCGTATTATTGATGAATTAATATCCTGGTAGAAATAATTTTACAATAATTTACATATTTCTATGAAAAAATTTTTAACATTTTCTACAAATTTGTGAAAATTGTGATTTATAAATTGTGATTGAGAAATTTTCATGGCAAGTTGTAGTGAATTGTAAAAAATATTTACAAATTATTACAAGTTTCTATAATTTTTTGCGAACGTTTTTATAAGTGATGCAATAAGTTGTAAAAATTATAATAAATATAGATTATCACAAAATCATAATTCTCTACAACATTCTACTAATTATATTAATATTTTTATAAGCGATAATATCCCAGCAAACATCAAATAATTATAACTTAGTTATAATTCTCATAATTATAATTCTTATAATTTCTCACTCAACAATATATATACATGCTACACACGCGTTATATTGCATTTACATTGTTGAATAGGAAATTATGATTAATAATTATACAACTGTTGCTTGATTTGCTGGTATACATACATACATACATATATATATATATATATATATATATATATATATATATATATGTATATATTTAAAAATATCGTTATATTTTATCTTTACAATAAATGTTGTAGAAGAGGATGTATTTTTCATATAATTTGTATTTTAAATATTTTCTCGATATATTTTACAAACAATACATTACTTATGAGATTACATTGCATTTGTAGATCTGTCCAAGTCATCGATAATACATTCGATTTAATGCTGCTTGGTTTGTTATTTCTTTTTGGTATATTGTTTTGCCTTCATGGATTTTTAATAATTAATGTAAGTAAATAGAATAGCATGATTTAAAGAGAAACATGGTTTAAAATAAATGTTGATATGCAACAAATACATTTTATTTATCAAATATACTTATCAAATATACTTATCAGCATCTCTAAGCATTTTGCTATTTACCAGCATTTTTCATATATAGAATTATTTTTGAATTTAAAACGATAAATTTATAATGTAATACAAATTTAATTTATAATAATTTAGATTGTTAATCAAACGGGTCACTTGTCATTTATACAATTGACTTCATATATTTTGGCGAGTGTATGTGTTTTAATGCATATGTGTCTTTACTGTGCGGTTGGTGAATTTCTCGTGACTCAAGTAAGTAAAATAGTAATAATTTTATAATGATAACATATACATAAGAATAAATTTTTTATAACCTGGTTCTTTCTAATTTTTGCCGCGGACGGAAATTATTAAATAATTATTACGTATATAATTTTTTTAAATTTTAATAATCATATTCATTATTCACGCACGCAAAGTATGTACATCATTCAAATTAGCATAAATTATCAATTTGACAATTCTTTATTTGTAGCAGAAGTGATAAAAGTTACAACTTTTTTAAATTATCAATAAATAAATTTAAATGTATATGTCTTTCTATAAAAAAAAATTGTTATATAAAATTTTTTCAATAATTGATCCGACTAAAAAAAACGATTTTATTTTGTTTTCCATTCAAATTAATTTCAAGGATTAATTAGCATGTAGTAGTATTTTCTCAGTCTGAAAAGATACATCGTGCCACATATGAATATGTGTGGTATAATCTGGAGCCAAAGACAGCGAGAAATTTAATGTTAATCATGCTCCGTACGAAGAAATCACTCTATATTACGGCAGGGAAAATCTTTCCAATGACGATGGCCACATTTTGCAACGTGAGTTACACATAATAATAAAAAAAAAGAATATATATATATATATATATATATATATATACACAGGGTGTCCGGAAAATCGCTCGCAATTCTTCTTGAAGTAATTCTGGAGGTAGATTTCCAGATCTATATTTATATAGCTTTTTCCCCAAAAAGAGAGAAAAAAGCTATATAAACATAGATCTGGAAATAAAGAATGATCTCCCGAAGAACTGCGGGCGATTTTCCGAGCACCCTGTATATACATACAGAATGTTTCATATAGAAAGTGTATTACAAGATGTTATCTTCGAAATTTCGACATCACATGTTTCAACAAAAAATATTTCGAAAAAAATTTATAGGCTTTTGAGAGAAAAAGAAATTAACAATCTTGAACTGTAACTTAATATATAGCTGCTTCCTCGTATTTTTTCTTAAAAACTACTATATGTTTCTTTTCAATATTTTTATAAACAAAATAACAAGAAAAAATTTTTCTTGTTATTTTGTTTATAAAAGCATTGAAGCAAAATAATTGAAAAAATGAATATTTTATAAGATATAATATTTTATAAGATATTTCATCATATGTAAAATAATGTCAAATTAGAAAATAATTAGATCTGTAAATAATTAGATTACAGTCTCATAAACTCAATTCATAAATTCAATTTTGAGCCATCTTATCCTTATAACTTTTAACGCCGAATATTACGAGAAATCAACTAAATATATTTAATATTAAAAAATTGGTTTTATTTCAAAATAGTTCTCTATTTTAAAAAACTAGGTTTACTTTTTTACATAATCTTGAAAAATGATATTAAAATTAAAAAACTTTTCTCTTCCAAAAACCTTATTTATTAAAAACTTCATGGAAAACATTTTTTTATGATGTCAAGTTTTAGAAAAAACACATCATAACATTACTTTATATGAGATATCTTATATATTTTATTTATTATAAATCGCATATTAATATAATTATCTTATTAATATTGTTAAACATATAATTTTTAATGATACATATTTATTCTAAGATATTAAAATAAGTTATTTGTGGAATTATGTATAGTTAATTTAAATAATTCTTATAATTAAATCTTTTTAACCTAACCATTAAAAAATAAAATGTTTCAGTTACTTAAAACATCAGCAGGCTATGTATCTGTATTACTTGCTAATCGAGATTAAGGATAATGAAATTAAAGCACAAGTTAATACATAATCAATAGTTTTGTATGTGTATTATAATGCAAAATTAAACACTAAATTATTTATATAAAAATATAGTATGTAAAAAGAGAAATATATATAAAATATTAGAAATAAAATAAATTTTCTACATATATCATATTTTATTGATCCTTAATCCATCAATTATCGATTATACAAATAAAAAGATACATATATTATATGCAATAACATTTATACAAGTATATTACTATATAAGTATATTAAGATAATATACAAGTATATTATTTTACATTCACGAATTAATTAATTTTTTTTCTAGCTGTTTTTTAAGCAATGCGTTTCCTTTGGGTTTCAATTTACTATCAAGTATTTGTTGTCTTTTTTGTTTCTTTTGTTTCTTCACTTCAGCATGCCTTTCAACAGCATAATCTATCTCCCCTACTAATTTAATAATTCTTGCCTAAAAACAATAAAAATATATAATAAGAATTAATAAAAATTAATAAAAAATTCCCACTATTTTACATACCGCATAATTACGTTGTTTATCCAAACGTGCTTTTTGTCTTACTCCAAGTGGCGTTGGCCTTCCATCTTTAAATGTATAATCTGGTAAATTAGTTAATGGACTAAAAGTATTTGGATTGGCCGTTAATCCATGTCTAAAAATATAAACAAATGTAAATCAATATGTATTAATATCACAAAAATAAAACTGAATAAAGTAATTAAATGGGGATTTGATATAAAAATTTAAAATATATTACATATAAATTAATATTTAAAAAATTTATTTTTTATTTATTAATATTTTTAAATTAGATATATTTTATCTAAATTTAGTAATATATATAATTTTTTTATATTGAATGTTATTCATAGAATAATATATATTTTATAATTTTTCTATATGCTTAAGCAATTTTGAAAAACTCATACTTTTCTCTCCACCTCTGATTCAAATATCGTGTGCAAGATTGGTGAAGTCCATTAACCACATTATAATCTGCAATAAACAATAATATTAAATATAATAATGATGAGATATGCTCATAGAGTATATACTTTTAGCCTATTAACTAATTTACCAAATTATACCCTCAAAGACGGAAGACTAATGTCTCTTGGAATAAGATAAAAAGCATGCTTAAACAATGTAATTTTACATGCTGTACAGTATGTACAGCATGTAAAATTTTGATTAATATTTTATTAATACTTATTGTATATCTTTATTTCTAGGGAAGAATTATCAAATTAGTAGAATATAGATAGATTATATGCTATTGAGAAGCATGCTCAAATATAGGAAAAAGAAAAGGAAGACAACGAATACTTGATAATAAATTGAAATCCAAAGAAAACTTATTAATAAATAATTATATTATAAGAAAATTATTCACAAATATTATATGCTAAAGTGATGAAGAGTAAGTGCACTGATAGTTCGTCAAACGAATGAAAGAAAGAATTATAACATTTATGATTATTTTTTTCCTCTTATAATAATATTAACTCATTATGCTAACATAAATGTCGCTTAACACGAAGTATAGTTCCAATGGTCGTATTCAATGAAAACATTGTATTAATTTGACGATAATACTTAACAATTCTCTATTTCTTATTTAGGTTATTTAGGTTATATCTCAAGCATAAACTTTATTCATATAGTCTGGTCTGAGCATTGCCATAGACAGGCGAGCGCCTGCTGTAGAGAGAGAAGTACTACATGGGAGGCCTATGTCTGTCTCTTTTGCTAGTATCTCATTGGTAATTTTGTTTCCCGCCTCGATGAGCGGGAACCAAAGTTACCAATGAGATACTAGCAAAAGAGACAGACATAGGCCTCCCATGTAGTATCTCTTTCTTTACAGCGGGCGCCTGTCTATCGCTCAGTCCAATGTATATGTCGATGGATTAAGCAAACTGCTACGAACGCCTGATAATTAAATGTGGCCAAAATATGAAGCTCATATTGAGTTTACAAAATGGTATTTAATGATAAATGCATTTATTGAGAAAAAATTATCATTAATATAAAATTAATGTTTACGAAAGAAAAAAAAATTAAAATTGTTACTTAAAAATAAATTAAAAAGAAAATTAGACAACTAATATAGTAACATGTGTGCAGATATTGAATAAATTTATATTAACAAAATAAAAAATTCAATTACATTTAATGGATTATATGTATATGAATATCTGTATAATTTATTTATTACAAAAATTAACAATTATTAGTAGCAATTAAATTCGTTTTAGTTCGCGAACTTCGGAAGGCATCCATGGTTTATAAACATATCCATCAGCTTCCTTGCTGGCCATATATGTGAAGAAGGCTCTCTTAAATGATGTAGAAGGGAATTTTCCAAATTCCATAGTGCTCCACATGGTACGAGCATAAGAAACGCGCATTTTACGTATTTTACTGTGAAAAATCGCTCTTGCCTCTTGAATCTGCAGAACACAATTCAATTTTACATTGCCAGATAAATAATCATTAAAGATTTAAAAAAATTAAAAATTTATAGCAATTACATTAAAAATAAAAGATAACAAATTGAAAAATCAAGGAACGTTATAAATTTTCTAAAATGGAATATCAGAAGTTTAATATACGTATGTTTTTTATACTTGAATTCACAAATATTAAAAATGATAGTTGATATCGATAGTTGACCTTTTTCTTTATCTCTTCGGCTTGATTATAGGTCAATCTTTTCAGTTGATACTTTGTCATGTGCAATGATGGTTTCTCAATCTTCGGCATCTTTGTCATCTCTAATAATTGCCACATGCGAACAGTCGCTTGCATCAAATTTTCTAAAAAAATAGAAAATTTTAATAGATAAAGCAAATAAAAGGTAAGAAATTTAAGTGTCTTAAAAATAGCATTTTGTGAATAAATTACTTTTGTCGGTTTCCGAAAAAGTAACACATTGCCTGTACATAATCCAATCTTGAAGTTGTGGCATCAGATAACATTTCGGCAACTTGGCGAATATGTATCCTTCTGCAGCCATTTTTTTCAATTCAGCCTAATGTTTTGAATTTAAGATATATGAATTCATATACATAAAATGAATATCATTTAATCATGAGATGATTAATTGATAAAGATATGAATATATTTCAAAATTATTGGATTAAGAAGATTGAGATAAAAATACCTTTATTATTGCCATAAAATCTATTTTGCTGTCCATATGTTTCTTATTGTCATTTATCAGATGCATCTCGTCATCAATTTTCTTGTCTGTCTTATCAATTATTTGTTTATATGATACATCTTGTTGCGCAATCTCATCAGTAGCTTCTTCCAAATATTTTTTCTTTTCATAAAATACTTCATTAGTAACATTTGTATGGGATATATCTTTGCGATGTTTTATTTTGTTAATTTTTTTGCTTGGTGACTGTGATTCTATTATCTTTTTAGGCGTTTTGTCCTCCACATTCATATGATTTTCCTTCATCTCATGGCACAGCATTAATTTCTTTTCGTCACAAACTTCTTGGTAACTATGATGTAAACAAGATATATCTTGTTCATTGTTATCTCCATAAATCAACCTAAATGCTTCGTCTCTGGCTTTCTTCCTACGCTCTATTTCTTTCTTTAACGCAGTGTCTTTCCTCGGTAATGGACCTGGAGAAATATTTGTCGGTGACCAATGTCGATGCGGAGCAACAGCTTGTAAAATGTCTTCCCTGCTCGGCTCTGGTGTTTGGAAAGGTGTTGACATTTTCAAACCATCAATTATCTGCTGAGGAAGTGACAACATAGAAACATTTTCTGCCACATCCGATATACAATACTTGATATTCTCTTTATTGTCTTCCTGCGACAACGTCTTTACTCCTGAAATGATGAATTTTGTGTCTTCTATCATCGGCCTGGAAATGTCGACAATATACATGAAAGGCTGCTTTTTTAAGGTCTTTAATCTTTTTTGGCGTGTGCTCCATTTAGTTCTCTCTTCATCTCGTTCCACGATTTTTCTTTCATATTTACATTCGCACACAGGCTTCACAACTTTTAATTTGCGAGGCCTAAAACAATTATATTATGTTCTATAATATTAATATCAATAAATATTATTACTGTTATCAATCACATTTAAATAATATTGAAAATTCGATATTATTTATTATGTTGGAGATTGGATATAATTAGATATTAAGATTTTTTTTGCTAACCTGGAATTTCGAGCAAACTTCTTACAAGGTGTCCAGCAAGGAGCATTATTCTTGTGCTGTGTAAAGTAATCCATCAATGCTGCATCTTTCAATGCTATTTTCCATCTTTCCTCTGGCAATTTAGATTCTATCAATTTCCGTCGAGTTTCTGCAATATTTTTTTTCTGATGTATGAAATGATTTTCTTCCTTTATACCGTTGCTACAATTGCATGATTTTGATTTCTTCTGTATCTTCTTTATCAGACTTTTGGGACCAGAATATCTTTCTATTAGTTTCAATCTTTCATCTGTAACGTCATTAATGCACATATCATATGGCGATTCGAGAAGATCATATTCCGGGATGTATTCATCACTTCTTCGGGGACTGACAGGTGGTGTGAAATAAAGAACACCATCGATAATTCTATTCTCCTCCTCCATTTTCGTCTTCTTAGTTCCTCTCCCATCTTTTTTCTTCTCCACTAGACCACTCACGTTATACATAAGAATTTTCTTCTTGTTTCTGTTTTCCCTACACTGACACGGTCGTCCCCCAGGACGAACCGCTATCGTTTCCAAAGGATAATCTGGTTCGCAGAGATAAGTCAAGGTCTTTTTTGCTGGAAGTTCCTGTTCTGATTTTGTTCTCCAACCATAAGGTTCCTTACTGATAACACGGCTCTCTTCATCTACAGAAGAATCAACCATTATCTCTTTTGGATCACGTCGACTAGTTGCCAACAATTCTTCCGGGAGAATCGCCGGTTGAATATTATCTAAAATTGCAAAAGATTTGAACATATTCTTTAATCTCGCCATTTCTTGTTTGCGATTGTCGAGTTGTTTAGTTTCATCCATCACATTCTTTTTGTCTTTTTTTATAAAGCCATATTTAGATAATTTATCAATTTTATTGGATTGTTTAACTGGTTTGTGAAATAATAAAGATAATTTTGTTCGTTGCTTTTTTTTTGTTCCGCATATCGATTTAGAAATTTTACTTGAAAAATTTGAGCTATTCTTGGTAACTGTTACCTTCTTTGGTATCCATTCTTTTTTCTTTTCCATATTTTTTCGTTCTCTCTTTTTTGTATTTTTTTCTTTAAGCTTCTTTGATAATTCTAAGGAGATTTCAGACATTTCTTCATTATTTTCCTTATGTAAACTATTATCTTCAACTTTCTTTAATTCTTGTAAGAAAGAGATATCTTTTTCTCTTTTTTGCATATTTAATGATGAAGTCACAGGCAATGCTGGGGAAGTCAATTTCAAGGTTTTCTCATAATCTGTTTCTATTATTTTCGAGGGGGCAGTGCGTAATATGTTCCAAGGATCATCATAAGCACAATAATCACGATTGGGAGTGAATTTATCTTTCTTTTTCTCTTCTATCTTCGTTGCAGCTTGAATTTCCACTTCGACAGATTCTGCTTTTTCTTTTTCTGCTTTTCTTTTTTCTTTTTCTCTTTTGTCCCTCTCCATCCTTATTATCTCTTTCATAAAAGGATTATGTCTACATGATTTATCATCAGGATATGTTTTGCAGGAATATGCACCTATCTCGTATGGTCTATACTTCTTTCCAATGCACAATCTTGTGTCTTTTGTCCAAGGAATGTCATCTTCGCTAATAGAAGAATTTACATCCTTGGTCATTCGTTTAATAGCGCATGAACAAGATGGAACATTTCTGACTAATTGAGATGCTGTAAAATCGGATATTTGCGATAATACGTGCATGTTGTCCCTCTGAATACCTGATATATAGTATTGAGTTTGGTTGTTTTCTTTGGTAACACCATTGATAATGATATTTGTCTTGATCTCATTCTGCAAAGCAGTTAAGTTGATTGGCGACCCTGTTGTCGGCTCTGGAGAATGCATTGTCATGGATCTTGTGACGTACCTATCATAAATAATATCCTTATATTTTAAAACGTGACATTACTGAGTTTACTATAAGTTTTAAGTTTTTTTTTCAAAACTTTAAATTTTAGAAAATTTTAGAAAATTGTGAATATTATATAAAGATACATGAAAATTATATAATATTTTTATATAAAATATAAAAATATTCGAAAATGTCAAAAAATGTAGAGACAATCAAGAAATTAAAGATTTCAAAATTTGAATATTTATAAATAGAAGTTGTGGAATTAGTAATAATTGTTGGAAGCAGTAAATATTAAAATCCATAATTGTAAAAATTATAGTTTCAAAAATTTTAAGATTAATTGATAAAAACAAGCAACTGTACATTATAAAGCTATTCTTAAAAATCAGATACAATAAAATGTTATAAGACATCGCTTACTTGTTTTTTTCGTTATTCTGCACTCTATTGTCAATCGGCGTTCTGCTTTGTTGTAATTTCTCGTCAGTCTTTCGAGTCTGTCGACATGAGCAACAACTGTCACAAACAGGTCCAGGAAACACCAATTTCATGGTAGTCTGTATACTTTTCATCAATTCATCAGCTTTTTCCTCCATCTGCTTAAAATCCTCATCAGCATTTTGCAGCCAGTCCTGCCATTTTCTTGACAAATTTTCTCTACCAGTGGGAAAGATCTTTTTGGGTTTATCATCAAGATTCAGCATTGCAAAGAACTTTTCGTCGCTATTACTGGGTGTCACATTAGCCATGCCAGTGATCTCATAAGTTACAGGACAACTCGATGGACTTTTATCCTGTAAAGACGCACCAGCTATTATGTAGTGAGCATTCTTCTCGCCCAACCAGGATTTTTTTTGGTTTCCTCCTGGTAGTTTTGGTCCTAAAATATTTTAATTTGTTAAAAATAATCCAAATAAAATATTTTAATTTGTTGTAAAAAATTAAAATTTTTCTTTTAACTTGTAATTTGTTACAATATTTTATTACAATATGAATATAAATATAAATATATATATATATGTAATTTTTTATGATATTTTCGTCTCCAATTAAAATTAACAGTAATAAAAAAGTATGGTTGTAAAAGTTTATACCACAAATTTTGTATTCCATAGTTCCTGGTTTTCCAGTAAGTTTGTCGACTATAAAATCAAATTTTTTACTATCTTCTAACATTCCATAAATATTAGGAGAGGATTTTCCCGTTTTTAAATTTTCCTGTTTTGAGAAATTTTCATCTTCATATGTTATTTCTTCAATATTCATTGTATCTATTTATAAATCAATATTTCAGTAAATATAATATTATAATAGTTATTTATTATATATATATATATATATATATATATATATATTTACAGTGTTAAATGAGCTAAGTATACATATTTAGGGTTATCATCATTTTTTATTTAAATATTACCTTTTGCATCAAACTTAGTAGAGGAACTCTTTTGCAAATCCTTTGTACTGGTTTTTTCAAGATAGTTAGTACAAATGTCTTTTCTTTGCTTTCTAATTTCAGATAGTATTTCATCATTAATAAAAAACTGATTGTGTTGCTTGAATAAGATTATTTTCGGAATTATCAATAATTTGTACTGCTTCTGCCATTTCTGCAAAGCATTTCGATAACTGACCCAATCAGGACGTTTAAATAATTCTTCCTTATAAGGGCAACTATTTTTCTGCCTTACCAGACATACTGGTGGTTTCGCTGAAACAAAAATAGCTGTATTTATTTCATGATTTTAATTAAATACTGTTTATTAATAAAGTAATTAAAGAAATTTACGTTTTGGCGGCAAACTTGGCATGATCATTGCTGGCAATCTCTTATGCAATTCCTTTAATGTTTCTGGCAGTGTTAAAAATGCAATAGCCGATAATATTATTCTTTCATTACAGTCATAAAATTTTTCTACAAATTAAATATTTTGTAATTATTATAAACAATTCTGCTCAAGAATATTTATTTTTATCAATTTAAAATAGAAATAGAAATATACTATATTTCTCCTTGTAAAAATCATTTCCTGTCAATATTCTATAAATTTCTCGCAAAAAATCAACACTATTCAAATTGCATGATTTATGTAATTCACATATAATATTCGGCTTTAATTTAAAAAATGTTGAAATAATGCCAATAGCTATTAATGTTGTTTGTGTGCCATCTGTTTTTGTCTTTTCGTAATCGGCGCGTATCACATTTTCCAAATTTATTAAATTCTTCATCTACAAATTTTTATATAATTTTATGTAAAATTAAATTTTATGTGAAAATTTTTATGTAAAATTAAATTTTATGTGAAAATTTTCCGAAATTCGAAATATATATGATTCTTTTATATAATTATAATTTATTCTTAATAAAAAATTTCTTGAATATTGAAATAATATCTCATGAGAGTCCATTGTCATAATTTTTCAATTGATATAAGCATTAAAAATTATATTCTTCTAAAAAAAAATCTCTCTATTTAAGATCAATTACTCATTTTTACATCATACTTGAGCCAGAGAAAAGTCTTGATACCATCGTGGATACTTTAGATTCAATAATGTTTCCATGTTGATTTTAACTATAATAATTAAAAATAGTATATTCTAAAATAATATCATTATATTCTATTTAATATAAAATAATATGATATTCTATTTATAAATAATATACATACTTAAGAGATTATATAGTGGAAATAATCAAATTTTAATTAAAGTAAATTTACTTGTTCTCAAGCATTCGTATATAAAATGTGACTTAAGAGCACTGTTCTAATATTGAACAAGACTGTAATTATTTCAATATTTTATATATTTTTATTTGAAGAATTAATATAAAAGACTTACATTTTTTTTTTCCAATCTTCATTGTCTTGTCGCTTGTCTCATTATAAATTCTTTGTTTTTCTGTCCAAAACATATCTTTTGCCAATGCAATTTCATCTTCTAGATACCATTTTATAAAACGATCATTTTTATCTAATCGAGAATAAATCAATTTCCTATTCTTTGATTGTTGCCAATCTTCCACCTCTGATGCCTTTAACTTCCTCTTTTCTCGGGTGAATCGGGGTGTAAAAAATTTCATTTGCATCTTGGATACTGGACATTCGTGCACAGAAGTTATTGCAGGTAATGAAGATTTGTAGGGTGGTTTTTGTTGATCGTATCTCGAGAGAGGATCGAAGCGATCCAAGGAGCAACAAAATCCAAATGGTTTCATTCTTGAATCTTTTCTTGTCCATCTATAAAAAATTAAATTATATTTAGTAAATAATTTCATGTTATATATAAATAAATTAATGATTATAAGTTATAATGATGATAAGTAATATAAACTGAGAACAAATTGAGAACAAAAACTTACTATATAAAAATCTAATTTACATTATAACACTTTAACATGAATTACGTAAATTATAATAAAATAAGAAAGTATTTTTTCTAATCGAGAGAAAATTACAATGATATATCAATATTTTTTTCTATTAAAAATTCTATGTAATTATTTTATTTTCTATTAAAAATTCTATATAATTATTTTGTGTTTCTCTATCGAAAGAACATTTACTTGTTAGTGCGGTGAGACGAGGTTTGTATGCTAGAAGTTTTGAACATTTTTGAGACAGAAATCTGAATGACTCTCACTAATAAAATATCTTATTGAAGACTAAATTTATAATACTTGTAGATTTAACAGACATTACAAAAAATTATTTTAAATGATGACAGGTTATGTCTGAGTGTACATGAAATTTTTGAACTTTATTTTGTTTATAACATGTGAATGTTATTGTTAGCCAAATAAAATCAAATAATGATAAATATATATATTTTAAATTATTAATTATAGCATACCATTATTGTAATTATTATCATAATTATAGCATACCATTATTGTAATTATTATCATAATTATAATTATAATTATTGTAATAATTTAAAAATAATATATATATATGTACTTTTTATAAATATATATGTACTTTTTTTAAATTTTTTAATTAAAAATGAAAACACTCTTCAACTCACAAACATATTTACGATAGATTTATAGAATAAATAACTTTTCACCTAAAATACTCATAATTCTAAAAAAAATAAGGTAAAAATATATCGAAAAAGCTGTGCGTTCGAAAATCTACTTGTCGTAATAAAATAACCAAATATTTGATTGACCAATCGAAACAAAGGAAGCGAGAATTTTTTGTTCTCATTGGTTAATTAAACTCTATTTAGCTTTACAAATAAATTGTTTAATGAATCACGAGAACGAGACAATACGATCATGTGACTTTCCTTTTTCTTAATATTTGGCCAACGGTGATTCTGTTTTGAGCAGGATGTAAACATTCCGGTCATCGACTGGAAAATAAATCCAGATCAGACAAGGGACACGTGTGATGTGTTTAACATGTCCCGTCATATGATCATATATGTATATGTATATGTATATAAATGTACGTATATATAAAGTGACACCAGCCATCTATCCACGTGTAGTATGATGGTTTTGATGGTCCGTGATAAACGAAAGTCGAAATTAAATTTGTAACAATATTTTACAAGTAATCCTTTTTTAAAATAATTTATTATTTTCTGTTGTCCTTCGTCTATTTGTGTCCATCAATATATATCGTCTCACTATAAAAATTAGTAAGTATATTTCGTAATATCATTTTTTACGATTGTATCTTGAAGTTTCAGCTGAGAGAATCTAAAGTTTGAATATAAGATGTTGAATAAAAAATTGCAATAATATAATTCTTGCTAAAATAAAATTGCTTAATAAAATTGCTAAATAAAATTGCTTAAATTTATAATTCTAACAAATATAAATGAAAATACTCGAAATAATTATTAGAATTAAAAACATGATGTGAAATTACATTCGAATTTTATTTAAATATATAACTTAATTTTTTTTTAATTAAGCTTGAGATTATAAATTTTAATTTTATAAGAGTTATCTAAGAAGATTGCAATATCAATATTTTTCATCTAAAAATTCACCTTTGCTAATGTTAAGATAACAATATAATCTCTTATAGCCATTGGTTTAGCTATCTAATATGTTATCAGCTGATTGTGCTGACAATTTAAACTCATTCATGTTCCAATCATTCTGATACAGAGATATATATACAGAGATATATATATAGAGAGGCGTACATTTGTCGCTGCAGCTATTCAGTTCAATAAAATTATCAAGAGGCTGCAAAATGTCGAAAAAAACAAAGATTATAATTGTTGGAGCAGGTCCATCTGGCATTGCAGCTGCTTGTAAGCTATTGGAGAAAGGAATAAACGATTTTGTGATATTAGAAGCTAATAATAGAATTGGTGGCAGAATATGCACTCAAAATTTTGGTAAGTAATGTTTTTTTTAGACTTAATTAATCAGAAAATATTTAGCTTTTTATAATTATATTTTTAACTACTCTCTATTTTTTTAATTAAATTTTTCAATTTTCCCTTTTAAAATAATTTTTTAATTGCACTTTTAAAAATTTGAATTTATTTACTAAAATTTCGAATTTAACTACTCTTTAATTTTTTCAGGCGAGAATGTGGTGGATCTTGGAGCTCAATGGGTTCATGGTGAAATTGGAAATGTAGTATTTGAATTAGCTTCTAAGCATAATTTGTTGAGCTCATTTTCCATTCTGATTGATCCCGCCAAACATACTTTTATTACGGGCAATGGTGAAGTGGTACCTAAGGATGAAAGTAGCGAGGCTCTGACAATTTTTTTTAATATTGTAGATAATTCAAAGGAAAACCTCGAAAAGGAAACAGGATCTTTTGGAAATTATTTCGTAAGAGAGTGAGTAATTATTTATTTTTAATCAGAATAATTAACTGCAATATGATAAATTAGAAAAATCATTTAAAAAGTAAATATAATAATATATTTTTCGTTTTTCTTATTTTTTGTTAACAAAAATATCAATATCATAATGAACTATATGCAACAAAAATCATAAAAAGTTACTTGTTATTATATTCTAAACATTTTATTAAATCTCAAAAATATGCAAAAATGAGTCAGTTAAAACTAAATAGTGGATATAAATGTGAACGTGTTGTTAAGCAATATTACATTAAACCAAAAGGTTGGATTCAAAAACAACAATCAAACGATTTTAATACAATATTATTTAGCACAGTTAATACACACTCACACTTATTTACATCTTTACATTCGCTGTTTGACTTTAATGTTAGCCCATTTTTTTTATTATATTTTTTAAATTTATATCTTTGAGTCATGCGAAATTTATTTTAATTTATATCGATTCACAAAAATTTATGAAAAAGAATATTCATTAAACAACCTCGTACACGAGAACATCAAACCCGAGAAAATCATACCGAAGAAAAGAGCGATTAAGATTTCTCGGGTATGATTTTCTCGGGTTTGATGTTCTCGTGTACGAAGTTGTTTAATACATTATAGAGCCTAAAATTTCTTTATCTAGAATATTCATTAAAATTTATGAAAGAGAATATTCATTAAAATTTATGAAAGAGAATATTATTAACAAAAGCGTCGATATCACTTTCTCGAAACCATGCTTGTAACGTGGGATGTAGATTTGCGCGGACAACCGTACAAACATCCTTATCTGGCACGATACATCTGATAAGAGAAGCAAAAATCATAAAGACATTTATTTGTTCCATTACTTTCATATTAATCATAAACGAATAAAAAAACAATATTCTATCAAACATTATTTATTAAAAATTTATTATTCACTAGTTTATTATCTATATCTGATATATACACACCTTACACGATTGTTGCAGCATTGATTTTTCACGTATTCATATCTCAACAAAGAATATATATATTTCAAGTATTTCTCATCTAAATTATTATATATCTCATGTATCTTTGCAATATTATTTATTCTTTCAATGTATCCTCTTGTTAATATTGGTATAATATAATCGACCTAAAAGTAGATAAATTACGATAAATACAATATTTGATACAATAAATTGATACAATAAATTGATACAATAAATTTATTAATTGTTACAATTAATACTCTACAAATTTCTTTGAAAAAAATTACCTGTTTAAAGCAATCGTCTATAAATTCTTCAGCTCGACTGTAGACGCCTTTTTCTTGCTCTTGCAATATAAGCACGCCGATTCGGGGTTGCTTGGATCTAAATATTTTTGTAATACATTCCGCAGTTGGTAAACCATCGTCCGCAAAAGTTAGCATAACTATGCAGCCATATCTTTGTTTAGTATTCTGAAAAAATAAATTATAATTATATTTTATTATTTTATAATTATATTTTAATTATATTATATAATGGGTAGTCATGAAAAATATTTTCATTTCAAAGCTTGCTTTGTTACTGAATTTTTAAGAATTACAAGTAAAATAACCTTCTGTTGAATATCATATGGTGTGCATTTTAATTCATTTTGTTTCATTCCGGATTTGCATTCTCTAGTTAAAATAGGACTTAGAACTAATGGTGCTTTTGGTAGATACCCAGGTTGAATTATTTCAAATCCTAAATATATAACAACAATTAATATAATAAAATATAATTATATATTTTTTATATTCAAATTTGGCCAGACTTATAATTTATTTCTTAGTATCAGAATAAAAATCCATCCCTATTGTCTATTTTACCTTCATTCGTGGCACATTGTGATAGAACATTGATTAGATCACACACATAATCCTTAATTTGATTTATTATATCAAATCGTTGCATCTTTTGCAAAGCACTAAAAATTTTGTCCATTGTTGCTTCTGGAGATTGTATATAAGTCAGAAGCACGTAATATGTTGGATCTTGAAGACCCTTAAAGTCATAATCTATGCACTAAACAATAAAATAATTATACATCAAAATTATTATAATATCTACAGTACAATTATAGTAACACACACACTTTATATATATTTGTGCTTATTATAATTATCAAATTTCTGATAATCTTACACGTATCTGCTCCATTGTTAAACCCATGTATGCTGCAAACTCTTGCCAGCCATCGTACATTTTCCCTGCTGCTGTTGAGCTCAGCAACAAACATAGCTTCTGCAGTGTAGCTTTGCCAACATGTTCGAATAAATATCCAGCATGAATACGTGATGATATTTTCTGGATATTCAAAATGATAATATCTAAATTTGGTGGTCCTTGTACTTCATTCCTCAGCTTCTCCAGTTCTGGGTCGATTTTTCTGAAATTATATTCCTTATTTTATATATATATATATATATATATATATATATATATATATATATATATGTATCGGAATAAGGGTATTGGAATATATAATTTTCTCTCTTGAGATAATAAGGAAAAAATTTAAAATAAAATACCAAAATATTGAGAGTTTATTGTTTGAATTGTTTTGTTGTTACCTTTTTGTAAACATTTTGCCAGATCTTACTAAATGATAACGATTTGTCATGAATAATTAAAAAAATTTTGTTTTATTTTTACTACACTGTTTTGCAATGAATTATGAAAATCACAAATTCATTATATTTGTATAATTAAAATATGAATTTTAAAACTATCAAAAACGTATCACTTGTAATTGAAGGAGAAATTGTTTCTTTCACGTGACAAATTGCCAGATGTTGTTAGTGATAGTCAATGCTGATCAAAGCCTCCCCACCACAACTTAGTACAAGGTTGATGAATCACGCTTAATGCTTACCCGCCTATAATTTAAATCATGAAAAACATGATAAATTTTCTGCATTTGTCTAACAAAACTTGATAATATTTTTTCATCCAAATAATTTATGTTAGCAAAAATATCGGTACAGAGGAAAAAACAAATAATTATATAATATTAAATAGATTAGGGGAAAAGATATTTAACATCTTTAGAGTGAAATATTTCTATTGTGAATAAATTAGATATCAATATGTATTAATATTAATAATAATAATATAATTATTATTTCTGACAGATATTATAAAATTTTTGATGAGAATCATTTTACAAGTACTACTCGAGCTGCCGAATATTTATCTTGGATGGAAAAGACGGAAAATTCTGTAGAATGTAGTGACACATGGTTCGACGTTTCCGCGAAACGTTTGTCGGAATATTGGGAATGTGAAGGCGACCTTTTGTTAAATTGGAAAGACCGTGGTTACAAAACACTCTTTGATCTGTTATCGGTAATAAATTATTTGATATAAATTAAAAATATTATACGTCATATAAAAATAGTTTCTAAGTTTCTAATAATGCATCTAATTGCTTATAAGAAAAATAAAATTTAATGAAATAAAAAATACATTTTGCCAAAAATATAATATTAATTTTTTAAATTAAATTATAAGAAGATAAAATTAATTAAAAAATAAAATATTTAAGAGTGAAATTAATATTTAAATAAATCTTTAACGAAACACATTTTATATTAATTATTTCATTAAGTGTATTATTTTCCAGAAAAAGATTCCAAATCCAGAAGAATGTCTGCCAGTGATGGAGAAGATAGAGTTCGAAAAAGTTGTAACAACTATTGACTATAGTTCCAGTAAGGACGTTATGGTGACTACCAAAGATGGAAGCGAATATTCCGCGACGCATGTTATATTCACTGGATCTCTGGGTGTTTTGAAGGAGAAACATTCTACGATGTTCGTGCCTTCCCTGCCGCAAAAAAAACAAAATGCGATAAAGGTAATAAAAATGTTAAAAAAGATAATGTAAAATTATGTATGTTCTATGGCGGATGTTAATTAATGTCATTCTTTATCATAGGGATTAAATATTGGAACAGCAAATAAGATTTTCCTTGAATTCTCGTACATATGGTGGCCAGAAAATACCGCTAGCTTCGATATTATTTGGCCGGAAGAAGACAAAAAGGAATTCCTGAAAACTTGTGGTCAAGTAAATAGATATTTAAATATAATTTTATATTTAACTATAAATTTATAATAAACATTGATTTATCAATGAAAATAACTTTGAATTTTTCTTTGTTTTTACTGCACTAATGTATTAATCTTGTCAAATATTTGTAATATTTTAGAGCTGTGAATGGCTTTGCGACGTGTTTTCGCTTTTCACTGTAGCTTATCAGCCGAATCTTTTATGCGCTTGGATTGTCGGAAAAAATGCGAGGCACATGGAAACTTTATCGGACGTTGACGTGTTAGATGGATTATATCTATTGCTAAAAAGATCATTCGGAAAACGTTATGATGTTGTAAAGCCAACAAAAATATTAAGGTAATTTATCAAAATTAATTACAAAAAAATTTAAAGAAAAATATATCTCAGATACATCTTAATTATATCTTTCTAACGTTTAGATCCAAATGGTACACCAATGAATATTTTCGTGGCTCATATAGCTTTCAAAGCATGATTTCCGAACAAATGGATGTAAAACCAAAAGATTTAGCCGAGCCAATAATGATGGATGGAAATAAACCTGTATGTAATTTTATAAAAATTTAACATTTTTTATTATTAATATTTATGTATCTAGATATCTAATCTGATCTGAGATATTTAATCTAATCTGAGATATCCTTCTCTTCTTCTGTTAATTTTTTATTTTGTCAATATAACACTTGAGTTCTTTTATTTTAAGATTATTCTATGTATTTTTGCCTTATATAACTTACAATATAAAGAAACTTTATTGCCAATGACGAAACATAATCATTATATTATTAGGTAATCCTTTTCGCTGGAGAAGCCACACATGATCATTATTATTCTACTGTGCATGGTGCAGTGGAAACTGGTTTCCGCGAAGCGAATCGATTAATTGACTTTGAAAGGTAAAATATTATTAATTATTAAAATACAGTTTGCCTTTTCATATCTATCTTATTAGAGCTTTTCTAGCATTTTTTTTCACTAATTTGATCAAATTTTTCCATTTTGATAAAAAAGAAATTTTTATCTATCCAATAAAGTTTTACTTTCACTATTATTGCTTTATATGATTATGCATTAGTTTTGAATATTTTGCTATTTCATATTTGTATGATTTTATATTATGTTACCTTGTTTATCAATGTTTTAATTACATATTTTAATATTTTATTTTTAAATTTATTGTTAAATTGTGGAATGAATATTGCCTTGAATTTGTTTACCACTTGAGTTTTACAAGTATTACAAATATTTTGCAATTATTTTCATATTGACTGCATGCTCTTTTTTTAAAGGCAATTAAATTCACATCTCTAATTGCATCCTCTACTACACTCCCCTAGCAAATGCAAATGGATTGTGGAAATCTATAAGTATATAATAAATAATGTTTATACATAGACAAATATTTAATATAAAACCGTCATACTTAGGAAACTAAAATTGTGTATATATGTATATACATGTATAATGACATATAATGTATAAAAAAACTGTAAATTTTTAAAAAGATTAAGAAAATATAATGATATAAGATATGTCATTTTTTTCATCGCACAAAAATATTTTTAATTATTTATTATGCCTATTAATTATTATTTGTTATTGTCGCGTTTTTATCCAACTAATTATTAGAATATATTTGAATATGAATAATACTTATATTAATCATATATATAATAGAATATATTTATATATATAAATTAGAGAATTAAAATCATAGAGAAAAAGAATAAACGATGGTTCACCTGAGATTTGACGAATTGATTCGGATGACGTAGAATGCGCAATGACTTAGATCAACTGGTTAACAACTTCAACGAAGTTCGAATAGATGCGGGTGCAAGAACGGAAAGGACAAGAATTGTAATAGTAGGCGCGGGAATCGCAGGGTTGGCAGCGGCCAAGACTCTAGAGGATGCGAAATTTACAGATTATCTTCTCCTTGAAGGTATATTTATATTAAAAATTTCATATTTCATTTTAATTTATTTCACTTCTTTAATTCACTTCTAAAAATACAATTATTAAATAAATGAAATAAAAATTTAGATAAAATTACACATAAATTATATATATATATATATATATATATATATATATATATATATATATATATACAGGGTCTACCAAAAGTGTGGAAACCCCTAAATATCTCGGAAAATATACGTTTTACAGAAAAGTGTTTCCAACAAAAGTTGTAGGGTTTAAGAAGATCTATATACTGATTCTATCAGTTTGACCTTGGATGGCGTCGTCAAGGTCAGGTCAAGGTCACATTGACTTTTTTAAATGACACCCCCTACATTTGATTGCATATTCTTATAGCTTAATTCAAGAGCTTTCCAAAACACTATAATAATGTTCATTTTTATTAAGTACTTTGCGAGTTATGAGGGTTGAAATAATTTCTTAATTTTACATAAACCATAAAATATCTAGTAAACCATTCATTTTTCGATTATCTTACCTTCATACTTTTATGTACAAATTAATGAGAGGAATCAATTGGTGTAAAGAAAACACATAGTTGTTTCTAAGAAAAAATATGTAATTTGCAATTAACAATTCCATATTTTTTCTTAAAAACAACTGTATGTTTTCTTTACACCAATTGATTCCTTTCATTATTTTGTACATAAAAGTATGAAGGTAAGATAATCGAAAAATGAATGGTTTACTAGATATTTTATGGTTTATGTAAAATTAAGAAATTATTTCAACCCTCATAACTCGCAAAGTACTTAATAAAAATGAACATTATTATAGTGTTTTGGAAAGCTCTTGAATTAAGCTATAAGAATATGCAATCAAATGTAGGGGGTGTCATTTAAAAAAGTCAATGTGACCTTGACCTGACCTTGACGACGCCATCCAAGGTCAAACTGATAGAATCAGTATATAGATCTTCTTAAACCCTACAACTTTTGTTGGAAACACTTTTCTGTAAAACGTATATTTTCCGAGATATTTAGGGGTTTCCACACTTTTGGTAGACCCTGTATATATATATATATATATCAAAATGAAAATAAAACAAAATTTTCTAAATTATTTTGTCATATTTCATAGCTCAAGATGTAGTTGGAGGAAGAATTTATTCTGTTCCGTGGAATAACAATTGGATAGATTGCGGGGCGCAATTCTTGCACGGCGACAAGAGTAAATTGGCACAATATTGTCTCGACAATAATTTATTGTCAAACATTCAAGGTACAGACGGCGAAGGAATCTTCTTGCGTAATGACGGAACAATAATGAGTGAGAACTTGGTTCATGAGATTGATGATTTTTTACGAACTATCTTTGATGACCTCAGTGAACTTCGATGGCCTTTGAAGAAATACGAGACTATTGGTTCAATCATTAGATGTAGGTTCGAGGAATATTTACGCGATAGAAACGATTCTTCGATGCGAAAAAAGATGGAAGAGTTATTCGATTGGAACGTACGATTTCTTCTGGTGGATAACTGCTGCCATTCATTGGACGAATTATCAGCGAATTTGTGGGACAAATTTAAGGTAAAATTTGATCAATGTGTTAATAATAAAATTAATAATATATAAGCCCTCTATATAAGAATTATTTCTATACAGTATATTGGCGGACCGGAACATTTGCTCTTCAAGTGTGGCTATAGCTCTCTAACAAATCTTCTTATCGAGAATTTGAGTAAAGAAAAGGTGCGAGTGGCTACTCCCGTGGAGACCATTCACTGGCGGGATTCTATCGAATCTCAGGATTCTCCGATCATCGTGATGACTTCCAAAGGAACGCAAATTATCGCCGACGCCGTTATAGTCACCTGTTCACTCGGTTATTTAAAGGCAAACTATCAAAAGATGTTTCAACCATCATTACCGAGTCGTCTAAGCGTCGCCATTGAGGATCTCGGTTTCGGAACGATTAACAAAATCTTTTTGGACTTTGGCGACTTACCCTGGTGGCAAACCGACGTGAAAGGTTTCCAACTACTCTGGCACAGGGACGATCACCGATCCTTGCCAGAATGGACCAGAGACATCACGGGATTCGATGTTCTACCGACTCATTCGGCCACTCTTGTAGTATGGGTCGGCGGACGAGGAGCGCGCATCGTCGAGGAATTGCCGGAATGGACAGTCGCGCAAGATTGTATGAATCTATTGACGCATTATTTACGATGTTACAATATTCCACCGGTGAGAAAATGTGTCAGAACAAAATGGCATGGAAATGAATACGTGAGGGGTGGATATAGTCATATTACGAAGAGCTGTGAAGAGGACGATGTTTCGCCCAAGACGTTGGCTGAACCAGTTTGGACGACAATATTGCAGAATAACACGAGGAAGGTGAGACAAAGCACCACCAAAATGCGAAACTTTTTCAATCTTAAATCTGAAATTTTATACTTCTATTATTCCAAGATATCAAATTTTCATGTAATAGATTTTTTAAGATTTTACTGCTATCATTATACTGCATTAAAACGACAATATTGCACAATCAAATTTAAAAAGAAACTAAAATCTATATTATCTATAATATTAATTTATTAAATAATTTTTTTATAAATATGACAGAATTTACCAGTCATACTGTTTGCCGGCGAAGCTACGCACGATAATTTCTACTCGACAACACACGGAGCTTATGAAACAGGAATCCATCAAGCCAAAATATTCCTGCAATATCACGCGAGTGTCAACTGAAATATTTTGATATGTAAATATCTTAACATAATAAATTGTTTTAATTATGTTATCGAAGTATTTTTTTTTTATTTATAGCAAGTTATTTAATAATAACAGAAAGAAGTTTTTTTGCTAATAATATATATTTGCTATAATTTTAAATAATTTCGTACTATTAATTTAATTTTTTTTACTTGTTATTCAATTATTAATTAATTTAAAATTTTTTTTCTTTTGACTTTTATTTTCCAATTCTACTTCTACATCTTCAGCGTTATTTATATATTGAAAACTTTCGTTTTCTAGTTCATAAAAACGTCATTTTTGTATATTGATGGGTAATACCGGATTATTTTTTTTTCCTGTTGTTTAGAATATTTCTCTTATCGTTAATTTTTACGGTATAGACTGGTTTATCCGCTTTGATCGGTTACGTCAGAACCGAAGATTCCCAATAGAATAATTGTATATATAGTGATGAAAACGAATAGTATCTGCTTGACGCTTATCCTTGACGAACGCGTTTCTTCATATCCTTCCTTTTTTTTCTTTGTTTTATTTTGCGACGTTACGGCATGAACACAAATCTTTTTCAAAAGCATTCGAAAATTAAATTGCAATTCATAATCAGCAATTATTAATTAACAAAATAAATTATAACATTGTGAATACGAGAATTGTAAAAATAATTAAAAGTGACTTTATTAAAATAGTATATATATATATATATATATATATATATATTTATATATTTATATATTTATATATATATCATTAACAGTATAAAATTATTTTATCAAAAATAAATAGAAAATCTGTGTGCGCTTCGTACTTAATATCGTATTCTCCATTTGTGTTAAGAAAACTTATGATATCTGTAATTATGCTGATGGCTTAATCATTGATAATTATTGGAATAATCAGCTTGTTTTATTACAGTTGAATTGCTTATGTGTAAAATTGCAACGTTGACGTCTCGGTAGATCGCAATAGAGTCCGACCCGAGTACTGTTAGGACCCCTCCCCTTCCTAATCTTTCACGTATTCTCTTCTCCTTCTTATTCTTATCTCTCTCTGCATTTTTGTTTTTCTTTTATCGTCTCTTCTTCGCATTCTCCGTAAAATCAGAAAGGAGAGATGGAAGTCGCATGCGGATCCCGTAATCGTCTCATCGTTGCTTATCTTCGAATGTCTTGACATTAAATATTTGATATTCTCGCGTTTCTCTTCAGTGATGGATCTTCGCTTTAGGGTATTTGTTGTAATCTTCCTAATCGCAGCCTTCATCTGGCAGTCTACCAATGGGAAAGATTCAGGTGGATTATCATTGACAAGCGTTACTATCAAAAACAACTATAGATTATTTTGTGTTTTGAAAATTGTTGTGATGGTGATTGTATCATAAATTTAAAAAATTTTGAAGAAAATGCGGGATATATATATATATATATATATATATATATATATATATATGTCGTTTATGGATAATATATCTGTATTATTGATTCTAAAATCTGTAAATCTGATCTATGCATTTTTAAGCTTTTTTCTAAAATTCATATTGAAAAATTTAAAAATTCTAAGAATTTATATCTCAAAATATTATATAAGAAGCTACATTAGGTTTATATATACATAAAGTATACATATCCACATATACAATTTGCCTTTTATTTTTTAGGTAATAGTGGTTCTTCAAAAAAAAAGAAAAATGCAACCAAGATTCAACTTAGTGAAGACATTGCAATGAATCCTTTTCTTCAGCAATCCGTAATTCTTTCTGGTATTGAGGGCAATCCCTTTCTGTCGATTCATGTCAACAATAGCCAAAAACCATTCAGTACAGTACCAAATATATCTCTATCACAAGAGAATAATATTTTCAACAGTACAGTGCCAAATATATCTCTATCACAAGAGAGTAATGTTTCCAACATTGCAATATTTACTAACAACAATCCTTTCTTGAACTTTGGGACTGATACAAGGGTTGATACGGCACCAAAACCAGTTACACAAGCACCTGAACCAGTGACTAATATACCATCATCTTCAGCATCAGATAACCCTTTTTCAACATTTTATGCACATAATCCTATTACAATTAAACCTGCATCCTTAGGCACACCATCATTGTTGGATTTAATATCTATCACGAGTGGCTCAACGAAAACAATATCAGAACTTAGTAAGTAAAATTTAAATACACAAAAAATTTAGAAATGTAACAACAAAAATAAATATTTAAGAATCTCGTAAATGACCTGAAACAACATCAAAGATTTTTATATATTATGTGATATAATGTATATAATGTATATAAAATTATGATTATATATATACATATATAAATTTTAGAATGCGACGAATACGTGAGAGAAATCGTAGGCACGACTGAAATAATGTCGCTTGTCGGCACATCATCTGACGTGATTAAAGTGAACAATATCTGTCGGGATGCAAATCGCCTAGTTATCGGTGGTACCGAGGCGAAGATCGGCGAGTTCCCACACATGGTCGCCTTGGGACGCATCTCCGATAGGACGTTCACTTTAATGTGTGGAGCGACACTGATCTCACATACTTGGGTACTTTCTGCTGCGCATTGCACTTATGGGCCAAAGTACACACTTCTATTATATATATATATATATATATATGTATATTTTTTTCTTCCGCTTTTTGAGTTATTTAAAAATTTTGGTGGAATAGATTTGATTTTTTTCTATCAATCATCCCATTAATGACTGTAACTATGGATTAAATAGAAATTCAAAGATGTCTCTTAAGATTAATTCAGAATACATTACATTCATAGAAAAATTAAAGTATATTAAAAATACTAAGAAAATTTTACCAAAAGAGCTAAGAATCAGAAGATGATTTGTAATTATTTATGGGATGGTCACAATGAAATTAATTCTTAAAGATTTTCTTTCTTGCAGTGGCAGTCCGACTGATGCACGCATAGGCTTTCACAAATTGACAGATCAACAATCCACAGGTGTCACAGTTGCCATCAAAACCATGATCCGACATCCGAATTATAAACCACCCGCAATGTATGCGGACATAGCTCTGGTGGAACTCGCGAATGCCGTTACATTTAGCATGACAATACGACCTGCATGTCTTTATCAAAAATACGATAGTGTACCAGTGAGCGCCTGGATTAGCGGTTGGGGTGTTACCGAAATCGGTAAGTAATATAATTTTTTCAAGATTTGAAAGATACAAAATTCCTGGATCAAAACATTTTTAAAGAGAAAGAAATACAGAAATTTAAAGATTTAAAGAATTTTTTCTATCTATTAATAATCAAAAACTATTTCTAAATTTTGAAAATTCTAAGAAATGTGGAATACCAGTTTAGTGACGAAGTTTAATGATGTACTTTCAGCTGGAGATTCGACCGAGGAATTGCGGAAGGCTCAGCTGGATCTGATAGACAACTTAGCGTGCACGATACGGTACAACAGTTCCAAAGAAACTCCATATGGTGTCACACCGAGCATGATTTGCGCCGGTGATCCTAGTGAAGGCTGGATCAAAGATTCTTGCCAGGGCGATTCCGGAGGTCCTCTACAAGTTATTCATCCTAAAAATCTGTGCGTATTCCAAGTGATTGGCGTCACCAGTTTTGGTCAGGGCTGCGCGATCATCGACACGCCTGGTGTTTATACTAGAGTATCCCATTATATTTCCTGGATAGAGGGTATCGTTTGGCCGCAATAATTGTGATCTATTAGGTTTTTACGCGAAAAATATAAAAAAACATTATTTATTAAATTGTATTCGGTCAAATTAAATCTTACAATTAATTAATCAAATTGACTAGTTAGTCAAATTTAGAATTAAGAATTTTATAACATTTACAATTTTTTCAATTCTCTTATCAATTTATAATATAATATTTATTCATCATATATGAGAATAATTTTAAAATTTCAAAAAAGTTCACACATGCCATTTATATTTTAATTATCATTTAGCAAGAGAAAATTATCAATAATTGTGAAAGGCTAATTGTATATGTTATATTTCTATTAATTATGATAGTGCAATTAAACAGTTTGCAGTTATGACTAGAATATTAGAATGTATATAAGAAAAGTCACGAGAAGATATGAATTATAAAATGCAGAATTGATGATCAGTTTCATTGACTTTCTAAATCTTAGAAATTAAGAGATCTTGCTATCATGAATGGTTCGCCATGTGAGTCCATCACCATATGGCTTATGACTTGATGGGAATAGAACATGCCACCAGCTTCTATAATAACACACAAACAAAAACATGAAGATAATACTCATCAAATTGGACAGTAAAAATAATAACATGAAAACATTCGATATATTTAATGAAAAATATTTGTATGTGTTAAACACAATTTGTAGCAAAATTTCTAATTTTCTTTATAAAGATTTCATTTTATATAACTAACTTAAAATTGAAAGAATATAGTATAAGACACTTTGAAAAACAAAGATCTTAAGTACATTGAATGTTGCACTATTATTAATATAAGAATAAAATTATTTTACAAATATATTTATTGTGCTCATTTAATTAGCTTTCCTGATTATATAACTCACTAAATATTAATCAATTGTATTTTAATTAAAGATTCTCTCGTAAACATTTAATTTTAATATTTTAGTAAAACTTTGAAACCTGTTTTTTATTCCCAGGAACAATCTCCAATTTTCCCTTGGCCCGAAATCATAAGGATTTTGATAGAACTTGCCCTGGGCCCGATATTTTTGCGATTCCGTGCTATTGATACGCGCTTCGATGCTCGTCTCTCCCCGGGTGATTAGACTAGCGTGCCACCAGGCCAAAGCACCCAACGCTGTGAACGTGGCGATACAAATTAGACCCGCGAAAATTATCAGTCTTCGTTGCCATTCCTTGATCTCGGTTTCTGCTGCTTGCCTCGCTATTTCTGCTAGCTCTTCCTTGCTTAAATGATCTAGCGATTCCATCTGCATTAATTAAAATTGCAATGTTTATTATTTTTCGAAAACAATAGTTGGACAAAGTACATGTTCATTGTTCAAATAACATACCACAGGAATTATTTCCGAATTATTAAGGCGCACCGGATGACCGTCCAATTCCGGTTCCTGTTCAGGAAAAAACTCCTCGTATGCGAGTCGCACTCCAAATATCATAATAAACGTAATACCGACCACAGTGTAAACCATGTACAAAAAGAAATACCGATGATTATAGTGGCCGACACAATTGTTTAACCATGCTGCGTGCTGATTAAGGAAAGCCTATTGCAAGATACGCTGCAGAACGCTCAGATAAATTCTCACTCGTAATAATTAATCTATGGGAAATAATAAAAAATAATCAAAATATTTAAATTGATTTCTGAAATATATAAGGATACGACAATGATGATCCATCTTGAGAATGCATTTATTGCAGACAGAACAGTGATGTGTTCTGGGTGGCTTTGGCTTGATACACTTTTTGCAGATACTCACAGCTTCCGGAATAAGGCCACCCTGTGGTGGATAACCTGCTGGTACAGTCACACCCATGTAATAGTGAAAGCAAACATTAACCAGCAGCCAGTTTCCAACTAATAGTAGAATTATTGTCACTGAAGGACTTCGATCCCACCACCAGGGTAAACCCAAGTAATATGCAATGTATACAATACTGGCGGTTAGCAGGCTTACCATTATCACAAATACCTGTGGGCTGCAATGCTTAGTAAATATATTGTGAATACAATGATGTTTGCATTAGATTGAATTTATGAATTTATTTCTGTGGTTTATACATGTAAAGCATAAACTGTATGAATATTATTATATTAAATTTTAGAAGTAAAAAATATATAGCTATAATTTTTAAATATACTATAGAATGATATTTTAAAATATATGAAATATAAAAATGAATATTCTAATTAACATCTTACCGGACCCAAACAGGCAGTGAAATTTTCAACAAACCAAAACATAGGTTCCATAAGTATATCACAAGCGTAACTCCAGTTTAAAAAATCATTGTAGAATAAAGATTTGAAGACTATTTGTAACTGCCACCATTTCTGCTTCAAACTAATCCTATAAATAAAAATTAAATTAAATTATATTTATTAGGAGATTCTTAAATTATACGAAAAAGTAACAATTAAACCTGAAAATAATTTATCACAATGTTTAAAAAATTACATAGAAACAATGAAAAGAATTAAATGAATTAAATAGAGAAAGATGCGTAAGAGATAATTTTGATAAATAAATATAAGACTATTAATATAAGATTATTAATAAAATAGGAATATAAAAATGTATTGATTTACTTAAGAACATTTGGCGCCTTCGCTAAAGCCCATTGTATCTTTGCCATTTTCGCTTTTCTTTTCGAATACACTCAAATATATTCATAATTCTAGCATATTAAAATTATATTTCACGAATGTGTGTGTTAACACATGCGATCTTTTTCATCATATTAGTTGCATTTGATTAGGTAACGATTGGTAAACATTGTAATCACATCGAATTTATCAATAACCTCGATAATACGGCCGCCATATTTGCCTCCCAAAAAAAAAATTAACATACAGGGATACATGTATTACTAAACATATGATAATAATTATTATATAAATGATTTTTTTACAAATATAAAATTATTACTTATATATTTCTATCAAAAGCTGATCGTATGAAAAAAGAAAATTAGGATGCGTTCGGAAATCTTACTCATGAGGTAGCTTTTAATTGACCAATCACAAAACGAGCCAAGATTTCTTTGCAGGATAGGTAAGATTTTTGAACGCACCTTTTTCCCGCCATATTTCATATCAGCTGATATATTTGAAAAATAAGAACTATTCATTCAGAAATATTTATTGATGTATTCATAAACAAACGTGCAATTCACGATATGTTAATTGATGAAAATGCATCTTTAATATTCTGTTATTTTTAATAATTTAATAAACAAGGAGAACGTGTACATATAGAGAGTTTTTGAGGTACAAAGGTAGATTTATTTTCACAGGTATGCATGTTAAGTATACATGCATCTTAACAAAGATTATATGTATATGTATGTACATACTACACGCTAACTTGGTAAATACGCGAAGGATGTATTTTGCGTTCATAAACGCTGAAAAGTTCGCGATATATGCGAGAATAAATTTCGCGAAATATTCTTAACAAAGTCGATATAGTTCATTTCTGTGAGAGATTAAATTTTAAATCTCAACAATTTAAGAACAAGTGTAATAATAATGGTATCGATACGTTTTATATCTGCCACAAAGATCATACAATAAAAAGAATTCTACAGAAAAGCTTTCTTTTTTAGAATTAAAAAAGGACTCTGCAAATCAAAGTATTAAATAATTAAAAATTTCACGTGACTCAAACATGTTAGAAAATAAAAGTTTTGCATACAGTTGAAATCGCGAATACAAATTCAATGCAAGATTGCGGCAATCGAAGGATTTAAAACTTAAAAAAATTGCAAAGCAAACAATCTCTAATAATATTAAGATAAGTAATTTGAAAAAATTGCATTATCACTGACACATGGCAGACAATGAATTTTTAATCTTAAGTCTAATAATAATTCTATATTAATATTAGAGTAACATTATGTATAATAATAAGGTACAGGATAATCACATGAGGCATTGACCAGGTGATAACAGGATAATATTGATTTCCTTTCACTTGGTCCAAGAAGAGTATCGTTTCGTAATCGATGGCTAAAACGTCCAAATTTGGCATTCATAATGATACATTAAGATTGAAAGATTAAATTTGGAAATCTTAAAGAGAGAGGCAGATTTATAAGGCCAAAGGATCAATTGATTAATGTATATATAAATATACTATTGAAGATCCAGAGGCTCTGAAACATTTGATAATACTTTATGAATATCATAATAATTTTGTAAAAGGAAAATTTATAAAAATGTTTAAGAATATATTTTATGAAGTTAAATAAAAAATTCAAAAAATTTCAAATTGTGTAAATTATAAGCCTAATTGTATAAATTATAAATCTCCATTTTTTAAAATTCATATTCATTACTCGTATTTTTTTACACGAAACTGGATATTTTGAACAATTTACTTGTGTCATAATTAATTAATAATAATTAACAATTTTATAATAATATATAAATATAATATATAAATCTAATATTTTCATATAATTTTTTTCTTAAATTTCCAAAGCTGTGAAGCTTCAAGAAATTTCAAAGGCAATTTAAATTGTCGGTCTTTCAGATCTATCATTGAGTGACATATTGGAAGTGTTGTATATGAAAGACTGGGTAGATGTGTGTAAATTGGATACATACATATTTACAAAAGACACGTGCGAAAGGGTTCTTCAGCGTCTTTTCTTAAAGACAATGTCTCGAACAATAACACTCCGATTCTGATTTAAGTTTTCTTTGCAACAAACGATATCTTAAATTATTGCATTTTACCTGTAAATTATAAGTTCGATTCGCGAAGAATTTAGATCAATTTTCATTTTCTTCTTAAGATTCTTCAAACGTCTTCAATCAATTTTTATCGTTTTTCGTACGCGCAATTATTTATGATCCTTGATAATTTGCATAGCGTATTATTTGCGAGAAGAGAGACGGATAAATCGATGGAAAGATTCACGATACTTGGCGTGCCTCATAATCATTGCTCAAAGCGTAATTGATAATCCGATATTGGAATTTACGATAATAAATTAAGATCTCATAATACGGTGTCCAGAGTGTCGAGACTTCGTAACAGTTGTTCGTCCTTGGAACACCATTGCACCAACTCTTCGATGGTCACTACGCCGTCCTTATTCGCGTCCATCAACTAAAAATACATATAAGACATTATTAATATAACTAATTATACTTATTAGTAACAATTAATAATATAAGTAAACTACTGAGAATATTAAATATTGTGATTAAAAATATATAAAATTAAGAAAATCCTGTAAATTATTTATGTATTATTAAATTAATTATATAATACAATAATTAAATATTCAAAAGAAAATTTAAATTTATTTTCAGAATAAACGATAAATTTTTATAATTGAAAAAATGTTAAAGATTTGAAAAAAAATTCTGTATTGATAGTAATTCTTGTCTGACATTTAGATATTTTATTTCATTTTCAATTATTTTTAATTCAGATATTTTTCTTTCTCATCATGCACAGGGATATTGTGTTAATACTTACATGGAAAATGCGATCGACGTGTTCGCGAGCGGCCACGTGTGGCTCGAGAATTTGCGGTTGCGTATAACGACCCAACATCTCGTAGATGGACCCTACGACATCCAGCATTTCCTCTTTACTTATCAGACCATCGCCGTCCAAATCGTACAGTCCGAACACCCACTGTAGTTTCTCTTCCACCGATCCCCTCGATACCTTCGACAGTATAGTGAGGAATTCCTATTCGAAAAGTTTAAAAGTTAGTTCAAAACTGTTTTTTCAAGAATTAAAACATATCCATTCAGTAAGAATTTAAAGGGTTTGAAATCGTGAAAACACGTCCGAATCTCTCTAATGTTTCTCTTTCGCTTACCTCGAAACTTATCTTGCCCGATGGTTTTCTCTTCATGGTGTTGAAAACATAATGAGCATACTGACTTGCGTCTAAAACACATGGTAATTAGAGAAGAATGGTAATAATAATATGAATAACTTTTTTCTCAGAAATATATTCACTTAAAAAAATTAAAAAATTTATAAAAAAGACTAAAAAATTAAAAACTTATATATAAATAAACAACCATCACAGAAATTAACTATTTCAAAAGATTCATGTAAATTTTTTAATTTAAAATTAAAGCGATATTGTCTTTTCGAAAGACGTAAACAAAATCCTTACATTTTGCTACAAAAAGATTAATATATTTTCTTTATAATTAAAAATTGTGACAAAAACATTTGTATTTATCAATGTTAGCGATCAGCATCAGTAACCATCATCATCATTATTATCGTTATCACCATCCCTTCATTACCTCCCTGCGGAAAGAACTGTGAAAAGATTTGCTTGAAAGCATCCTCGTCAACCAGGCCGCTCGGGCATTCCTGCTTGAAGCCTCGGTAGATCAGCTGGATCTCCTTCCGCGAGAACCTGGTAGTAGCCGCGAGAGTGGCGAGCTCCTCCGGCTTATGTCGACCACCGAGAGCTACGGCACCCCCGGAGCTCCCTAAAACGTCCCCGAGTCCTTCAAGTTCTCCTTCTGCAAGTTCGCAAACCTTTCACTCCTAAGACTGCGCCGCGTCTTCGAGATGCTCCCTCTTACACCCTCCCTCTTGTCGAAGCGTGCGGGGAGAAGGCACTTTTTGCTCGAAGGACCAACTCTAGCAACTTCCCGTCGCACTTGACGAGGGAGGGCAATTTTATTTATTTCTTCTTTTCTACTTGAATGAGAAAGATACAGAGGGGGGTCTTTTCTTATTTTTTTTCTTTTTTTCAAGGAAATTATCGTGATCCTAATAGCTCTGAGAAAAGGGCAACTCTACTCTAGGGGACCTACACAGTGCAGATTTGCAGACGGAGAGAAGTCGTGAGAAGCGAGAGACAACAGGGGTGAAGAAAAATCGCGTAAGAGTGGTTTGCATTACACAAGGTCGCTCGTTTTTTTACAATTAAAAGAATCTGTAAATTATGTTTATTCCAAAAAAATGACAACTAATATTTTAAATGATTCAGATTTAGAAAAATTGAGAGAAATAAAATAATTTCATATTTTCATATAGCATAATATTTAATATTTCAATTAATTTTGTAAATATAATTTTTATGTAATTTTATAAATAATTTGACATTTGTAATTTGTAAAGTAATTTTTAACGGACGACCTTGTCTCTGCAGTGCGAATCGCTCAAGTTTGAGAAAGATTGTGAAAGAGCTCGAAGAAGATTGCAAAATTGTATTCTTCAAGTGAAGAGAATCCATACTATTTTACGGTGCTAGGTGAAGATTTTGCTCCATAAAATTTAAGATAAAATTTAGAGATACTTCTTGCAGCATAAGTGTATACTTTTAATGTTACTTGTACTAAGTGCGTATTTTCATAATTGCTAAAGAGAAATGATATATTATGCGAAAGTAAAGAACAATTTATGCATAATAATTTTGTAGATGCAGACTATAAAAAAACACAACATTTTACTTTCATTTTATTTTCATAAAAAACCTCTTTGCAATGATGTTAATGAACTACTATGTTAATTAACTACCATGTTCAACGCTATATCATTAACAAACAATAATAAAAGCTCACTATCAAAGAGCTTAATATAATTCTAGAAGAGAACTATGAACTTTCAAGCATAACACTCTCTCTACGATAATATATATAAGTTTTTTTTTTATAAAAAATAAAAAAACAAATATCTAAAAACAGAAAATATAATAACACAAAACCAAGAAATCTAAAAATGCAAAAGGTCTGGACATTCAAGTATTAAAAATCTACAAACTCAAATTGAGAATTCTTAAAAAAATCTAGATTTTAAAAATTAAAAATTGTAAAAAATAGACTAGTCTATCCATTAATTTGAAAAATCGAAAGATTCAAAGAAGATCCAGGGATATAGGTGAAGATTTGCATCGCAAATTTAAGTCACCTAATGATTAATGATCATATGTTAAGAATCACATTCTCCTTTTTCTGGTAATGATCGTATGTCAAGAGATAATCACTTTCTTTCTCTAAAGGATCGCGATGTTTCGATCATCCTTTAGGCATGCTGCGACCATTAGCTCTAGTCCCGGGTATCCGGGGTTGCTATGGTAACATTGCAGCTCCTACCCCGTACTTCCTAACCACCCCTTCTTTTTGCGAAAGCTGCGTGAATACGCAAAAAGATTTTGATGCCAAGATAAATTCTTCAAAGCACAGATTTTCTATCTATAAAAACAAGGTAATCTCTCACTAATATTTTACATATCAGTAATATTTTACATATTACTATTATTTATATGACGAAATAAATAAAAAGTTAAAGTTAAAAGTGTAGATAAAGTATAGATATATTAAAAGTTTAGCTAAAATGTTAAAAATATATAAAATTATAATACTTTCTTTTTAACTTCTTAATGTACTTAATATTATATAATTTTATATTTAATAATATATAATTTTTTAATTTACATTTTATAATATTTAATTTCCTTTCTAATTTCTTGATATTATTTAGTTTTATATTGAGTACTATATGAATGCTATATTGAATACTACATGAATACTATTATACTAATCATTTTAAATTTGCAAAATAATGCAGGAGTGCAGGAGAATTTAAGAATCTAAAAGTGTAAAGAAAGAAAGAGAGAGAGAAAGAGAGAAAAAGAGAGAGAGGGAGATCTAATCTCTCTCTGTCTTCTTCGATTTTTATTTCTTAAAAAAGATTTAAAGAAAGAGAGAGAGCTCTAATTTCTCTCTCTCTTTCTTGAAATCTTTTTTAGAAATAAAAATCGAAGAACCTAACAATCTAAAATTCTAAATTCTATAATATTTTAATGGAAAAAGGTTAAATTTTCTTTAATGTAGAAGAATTTCAAAAAGTAATATTAACAGATAGAAAAGAGATAGATAATTTAAGCAACTAGAAAATTTGAAAATCTAAAAAGGGGAAGACTAGGGAAGACTATGAAAATTCATCTCTAGGGAAGACTATGAAAATTCATAGATCCAAGGATTATTTAAAATATTTATATAGAATCTAAAAAGTGTTGAAAAGTTCAAAGATTTTGATTACAGAATCTGGAATACGATATCGCTCTAGAGAGATAGATACATCGATTAGCCGAAAAATATGAAAGAGAAGCGGACAATTCCACGAATTTCGAAAGCCAGGGTATTTAAACGCCAAAGAATCCCAAAATCGATAGCAACAAGATCTGAAAGATTAGAGAAAGAATGATATCCAAGCATATCACCCGAGAAGGCATCCAAAGACTCGTACCAAGTCGAAAGATATGACCTTTGACACATTAACAGTCCTGGTGCGACAAGGGTTGGACTCAGACCTACGCAAAAATTACCATTCACAGAACACGGGATTACTATGTACACACGGACAAGACAGACAGACAGACAGATAAACAGATCAGGCAATCTGTGTCCATGGGGCGAAAGGGAAAGAGGGGAAAAAAATTATTAATTTAAGAGAAGAAGAGAAGAGAGGATCCATCACTGATCATCGCACCTTGGTGCTGCATTCGGCAGTTATCACCCCCGGCTGTCGCTCCACTTGTCAACGACGCTCTCCGCTGAGTAGTCGATCGACTGGTCCAAGTATCAATGGCTGTGCAAACGTTGTACAAACGTGTTGAGTATATCGAACGGCCACGCACAAATACGGGGTGAGCAAGTAGGAAGGAGGAAAAGCTCGATATCACGCGCAGCAGCCTTTTCTCTCTTTTTTTTTACATTCACTCTTGCCTCCCGGACTTACTTTTATCGCGACTCTTACGCGCCTTCATCGGCCAGCAAGCGCGCACAACACTTCCTGCTCTGCCTGCCCTTGATATATTGGCGGCGGGATGGGATTATCGGGATTCAATTTCACTACCACTGATCTGCGCGACGCATTCCGAGACACGCTTCCCGACGAGGAGCTCCGCTCACGCACGCAAAGGGATGAGAGAGCGAGAATGAATCACAATGCAGTTGTGGATGCTGCGCAAGAGATACGCCGTTGGCTGCTGTTGCTGCTGGTGCTACTATTACTGGTGCTGCGGACGCGCCGATGTCACACTGAAGCATCGAAGGGTTCTTGGGAAAGCGTGTCGCACGTCGCTTTCTCAGCGCGCAAGTGCGACGATCTTCGACAGCTTACGGTGATGACAGTTCAATGAAAACTCCGAGTCACTTGGAACGAAAAGTTTCGAGTGATTTGTAATGTAAATTTGAAATGTAATTAACGAAAAATCTATATTACTCTCATTTCAAAATATCTGGAAAAATTTGTATCTTGCATGAAAAATGTAAATTTTCTAGCTTTCTCCAATGAGAGAAATTTAGTTAATTTAACAAGTTAGATATTGAAAAAATAATAAATCTTTGGAAAAAATGTTTGATTTAATAAAATTGAATTAAATCCTTCTTATAGAAAATTAAAAAATTTTTATCTATTTCAACTTATTTTCTAACTCTAGCCAATTAGACATAAAATAATTTTTTTTTAATTTTTGAATTTCTAATTTTCAATAAAAGAATCTAGTAAAAAAGGCAGATATCAAAAAATTAAAAGTACGATTAAAATTGAAATTGACGGAAAAAGATTCTCTAAGCAGTTAACAACTCTACGAAAGTCTTGAAAATAAAAGTCTTAAAACTCTTGAAAGCCTTTTTAAAAGTTGCGAAAGCTCCGACAAGTTAAAAGCTTTCGCGAAGCCCTAAACATTGAATCTCACAAAGCAGAACTGTATAGTATAACATAGTTGCTAACTATTTCATTTAAATTTAGGGTTTTATGAACATTTTTCTAATATTATTGAAATAATCTGTGGTGAAAGCAGCTGACAAGTTGAGCTATTTTAATTGTTAGCTGTCTCAATTTAAAAATAAATACTTGCTCATTAGCGAACGACATAATTCAAAACATAAATAAAAAAATATCAATACATCCGTCCGACAAATTATAAAGTTATTAAGCACAACTCTAATATGCGTATCGTGAGATAATAATAACAAAAGTTCTTTTTTCATCCCTCAAATTGAAACTCAAATATAATTTAGCTATTAAATTAGTGATTTTTGCAAAAGAAATAAATTTTATATTTTTCAAAAATTTACCGAAATCCGTTTGAAATGGTCTAGTCTGTGATGTTTCTTTCTGGATAATTAGTGCATCAATTCTCTAGATAAATCGACGAAGTAAGACAAATCAATCCGCATCGGATTTCTGCAAAAATAGTAGACAGAGTTATTAATTCACAATATTATCGCCTTTACGTCACACATCAGAGTATAAAACGTCGATATCACCTGGAATTCGTACAGTTAAAAGTTTCAATATATTTCGATTAGAAATAGATTTCTACGATGTAAATGTATATATATATATTTAATATATAAATATATAAATATATTTAAATTTCTCATTTTTTAAAATAATTTTGTCGGTTAATCAATCCACTTCTGCTCATCCCTTTTATCACGTTTATTTTTCTTCGTTTCTCAAACGTATCGTGAACTTCTGTCACACAGTGTATATACGTTTCAATCTCGACTATTTGCGTAAATTATTTACGAGCACTCGGCTCGAAAGTTCGCGACTTTTTCTATATAAACAAACGCGACGTGCCAGTCAATATGCAAAAGTAGCACGTGCGAGAACTCGTTCACTTGCGACGTAGTTTATCGAGACATGTTGCAAATATTATTATAATTAATCTTTATCATATAATTCATTCTTTTCTGTTTTAATCTATCTCTCACTCAATCTTAACATAACACAAACTTACCGATTTTACAAAAATACAGTAAAACTCAACCAAAATAATCGAGCTTAAACAAACTTTTTTCTCGCACGTGTGCATAATCACCATAAATATAATTATCATAAACTTTGTTTATAAGTTTACTACGAAAGAATTTTAAAATTTGATGAAGAAAAAGCAAAAAGAAAAATTAAGTAGCACGATATTCACCGTCATATCATATAATTATGGCGTGTAAAAGTTTCGCAGATAGTGGTGATAGGAAGAAAAGTGATACAAAACTATTCCAAATCAGCTTTATACCTTCGTACTTGCTCTATTACCTTTTCTAAATTACAATTCTAGAGGTATTTTCACAATCGGGATTGGCGCTCCGTTTCTCCCCCGATGATTGAAGCAAATTTACCAAGTTGTCGATCAATAAAATTTGGATTTTATGAACCAATCGATCGATAGCTCCGTCGATTGGCCCGGATAGTATCATACGATCGTGCCAATTTGATAGAGACGTAGTCCCACCCTGAGGGGGATACTTTATGGCGCTTCGCGCTAAAAGTCAGTCGGCTCGAATTCGAAATCCGCTTAGGTGAGTGACAAAGCAGACGAAATTCCGCCATACATAGCAGCATCATGAACGTCGGCGGTGATATCACGCAATTATCGTACAAGGAGCTGCAGGCTCTGGCTCTGAGGTATCACATACCGGGTAACGTCAAGGTGAGCTGTCATCGTCATCACCCGGTGATGACGCCGTTCCGATCGGCGCTGTTCCCTATATTTCTCCTTCGTTTTAATTCTACCGTCTGTCATTTCCCGCATGCTCCGGAAGCGGAGCAGGATTAATCCAAATCTTGACGATCGCGCTCCGATCATGGTGATTGTAATTCAAAGAGTTTGACATCCTCGTTGAAGTTAAAATGCGGTGAACGATTAGTCAAATCTCAGTCTAATTACGATTTAGGATGATTAGGGCAATTCTAACCAAGATCTTGACTGCTCTTCAAGCTGTCGATGCAATGTCAGAATCATCTTTGTCATCGAGTGGGCTAATCGCGATTAACGGATATTCGATCTGTAGCTGTTTGAATGCTTGTTTGCGTCTGTCTATTTGCTCCAAGTAGATATGATCGATGTAAAAAGGCTGCTTGCATTTGACAAACGGTTGAACAAATTTACTCCTTTCATCTATATATCTTCACAATGTGAGAAGGTATGCGAAATTTTAAGCAAGTTTAATTACATGCAAGGCCCTTAAACTTTCACATTTTCGAAATATAATTATCAGATTTTTTATTTCGACGATGTTTTTAACAAGCTTTTTAATTCTCGACCCTCTGAGAGCTCATCCTTTTATTATTCATTTAATTGTGTCAAGAATATGTCGGTATGCGTACAATTTGTAACTTACACTTTTCGAGGATTTTTCCATCACGTAAAAAAATTTATTCCTTTTCTATGTGCTTTTTTTATTTCCCTGTTTTTATATTTTCATTTTTCGAGAACTTGACATTTTTGCTTTATCAAGATTCTTCATTGCAGAAGAAAGCATTGATCAAAGTCTTGCAAGCCGCTAAAAGCGGAAATGAAGCGGAGTTCAGCCGACTATTGCAGGAATTGAGAAAGAGCCGTAAGAGGAAGACGAGGAAATCGAAAGATTCTAGACTCGGAATAACATCGACGCCATTGCATAGTCCAGACTATATGATGGCCGATGATGACTATTATTGTCAACAGCAGCAACAGCAGCCTCAGCAACAACCCTATCAGTGGGTGAGTTGCTATAAATTTTCATTTATAATTCAATCGTACATTTGATCGAATCATACATTAATCGATCCGCCAATATAATGTCATCGTATAAATCATGTTCTTGTTCTCTTTGCCTTGGTTTCTATGAAGAATTAACAAATATATTGCGTTTCCATACGTTTTCACGAAGTAGCGATCAAGTGGCGATGATTAACTTCGGACAAAGTGCTTTCCGTTTTTGCAGATCGGTGCCGAAGAAGAAATCGTGAGCAAGGATGACGATAACAAGATCCCGCACTACGAGGAGTTCAAGCAATTCCTGCTCAAGAGAATTCAACGGGAATTTCAAGCTTGCGACAACAACAACAATCAAGTGCAAGATCTGAGTATCATGGATCTGCGAACCACACCAATGCCGCCCAACCTGCAAACAGTCGCTCTCGACGAATCGAGTTATTCCAAAGCGAATTTAATCAATCATATGGATCCTTTAGCAATTACGTCAAATGATAGGCCGAGCTACGAAATGCTGAAAGAGCCCGAAGGTGGCTCGCAGGGCTCATTCCTGCTAAAGAGGATGTTACAGGCACCAGTGGGTGCCAATTTAGGCGAGATTGCTAGCTCGCTCTTTTGGGCTAGCAATCTATTGGATAATTCTGATACCTTGACCGCTGAATCGGAGAACAACGAGAACGAGGATCAGCTCGAAACTAACGTCAAAGAGTACTACGGTTTGCTGAAAAATACCAGAAGCGAATTTCTACTGAACGAGGAAAATCTGATGTCTCAGGTTCCGGAAACAATCACCGGCGATGATCAGTACAGATTTCCTAGCGATATAGACAATCGGCCGAACCCCTATCAGAACTGGACGATCACCAGTGTCATGGAGATGCCTGATACTGATCTTCAGTCTTCCAAAGTATATCACGCAATCTACTACAACAACACAGATCCTACCGTGGCTACCGCAAACGACAATAATCTAGCTCATCAGTATCAAACTGATATCGCATATAACAGTGGCCAAAACTTCTTCAATCTTGACGCGCAGGATGCGACTGGTACGGACATGATAGTTAACGATCCCAACGATATTTATTATCTGCAAAATTTCGGCAAACACAATAGTGAGATGGGGACAGGTTATTTCCGCAACGTGGATACTTTTGGACAAAACAATGCACAACAAAATACTTACGCGAATGATCAGCAATATCAGTATCATTATCCTCGATTTATTCAAGAAACAAATAATACGTTAAATGAGAGACTGGATCAGCAGCAAAACAATGTTGTGACAGGGATGGAAAATGGTGTTAATCACGATATTGATGCGATGAATATGCAGAGATCAGCGAATGGTGCGCGTTTGTTCTATTAATTTTTTTTCCTGTTATAAGTAAATAAATAATATAAACATAAAAAAGATATAATATAACAAATAAATCTAAAAATATAATAATAAAAATATATAAAATTATTATACATGAAGTTTTCATATATGTTAAAAAGAAGAATATATTAAAAAATTAAAGAATATATTAAAAAAATACATTTCCACATAAAATATTTCATAAAAATATTTTTCTTCATCAATCATTTCAATCATTTTTTCATAAAATATCTTTTCAAAAAAACAGACATTCTATTTTTCGGTTTTCTTCCTGACGTTTTAATTAAGCCATATTTCGTCAATCAGGAACAATAGAGTCATTTTGGCCGAAGTGGACTGGCGAGACCAACAACAATCTGGAGAACATTCTGAACTATCATGTGTCCAAGCAAGTGGATTATGCCAAGTTGAGTCAGACGTCCTGCGTTTATTGCTACGTGGCCCCGATCGTCTCGCAGCGATCTACCTTAATGAATAACGGTCACTGTTCGGTTGAACGAAGATACACGGCCGAGCAACGGCAACACTCTTTCTCGCCTTATTGGATGTTGTATAATGACGCATCGCAAGGTATGCGAATGACGAATGTATCCAGCGATTCGTTCGTGCAACATGACACGATGACAATGCACACAACCACCATTCCCAGCAACGACATACTGAAGGAGATCGTCGGCGATGTCCCCGAAGCCCCTATCAATGATGTGTGGATGAATCAATACGAGTCATCGTCTATCGGCGACGATATGACCGTCCCAATCTCAGATTCGCTCTTCTGTAATGACATTTCAAACGCGCCAACGAAGACGTAAGAGAGGCTCGCTCAAAGTATTTATGATAGTAAACAGATTAGTAACTAGATTGAATTTTTGTAATTGATACGAATAACGTTCTCTATAAGTCATAAAATCATGATAAACGATTATCATTTTATACGATCAAGATTCTTTCAAACTACGACAAATCTTTGATTATTATTCCGACTTGGAATTGAAACAATTAAAGTTCATTATTTTGCGTGATTGCGTATAAGACTTATTAACGCACTCTTCCGCGTCCGCATTACTTGCAATAAGTGCAATTATTTTGCTTAAAACGAGAACGATATTCGAACAGAGATCATTAGCAAACAGAGAAGAAGCTGAAATCATTCAGAAGATAGATAACTATATCTATCTTCGAATGTACATTTCTTCAGCTTCCAATCATTAGATACACTTTATTTTGAACGAATAAAAAAAAAACATTTCAAGGTTCTGTATCTTAAAAGGGAGAAAAGGGGGGAGGGACAAATGTGTTCCGTAGATTAGAGATAGATTAATAAAATGCTTATATTAATTAAATACTTGAAAAATATCACGCGAGATATCGCAACTTTGAAATATGAAAAGGATTAAAATTTTTTTCATGTTAACGAGGGAAAAAATTAGGAGATTTTTATATTATATATAGAACATATATATATATATATATATATATATATATACACATATACATTCTATATACATTATTCTATATATTATATAAAAAATAATAAGATAAAATAATTATTAGGAGAAATAAGAAAAAATTATATAGATAAAAATAATCAATAAATAAATAATAAAAGATTCTTATATATACATATATATATATTAATTAGAATATGTGCAACGAAACTGCAGAATATATTGTATTATATATTAATATATAATGAACAAATAAAATTCATGCATCAAAAAATACACCAAGCGTCTAATTTACATTTATAGGTTTAAGAATTATAAAATATATAAACAAATTAATTGGCAACCATTGACCATAAAAATCAATAAAAATTAATACAAGTCCGATTTAAAAAAAATTGAAAAGCACAATATTAATCTGATGCTAAATTTTTTCCGACTCACCCGATATGGCGTCAGGTTGAAACTGCGAACGGATGTAGTTTTTCAGCTTCATAGAAATCGATTCCTTTCTTCGTCCTCCGACCCCATACGCTCTGATTTCGCTGTCCACATCGCTCGAATGTTTCTTCCGCTCCGAAGATCTTCCTGGTGTCACGTGTACACTGTACATTTCCACTAATGTGGTTGATTTATAACAGTTGAAGTTTAATGATCCTTTAGGAAAATAATTACATTATTAAATAGATAACATTTTAATAAAAAAAATTGTCTTTTTAAAAACTTCAATTAATCTTAATAAAAAGATTAAAAGGTAAATAGAAATAGAATTGAAAAAGTTTTGAATAAAGCATACATCTAAGAAATTTTAAGAATTCACAATTTTATGATATAATCCTTATAAACTTCTTTTTAAAGCATATATCACAACACAGAATATTTGTACAGTGTACAAAATGCTTTACAATACATTTTCATAAAAATTTCGTTTTAATTCACTTATTTACCGCAAGAAATACTTTAGGTTTTCCAAATAAGCAATTGCTTATATATTGCGCTTTTCTTTACTGTATCACGTTTATTAGAAATTCGAACGAATTTTATGCGTCTTTGGAGATACAAATTTTTCTTCTCAACTCAAGAGTCGAGAAAGTGAAATCAGTGATACGAGTCGGCGCGTCGTTCGCGAAAGACTGCGCTTGAAATGCGTTAAAGGGAAGCAAGTAAATGCAGCAGCAGGCAGTCGCCTGTATGTATATGCATATACATGTCGAGATATGTACATACAACCGGCTTGCATTCGAGTCGCACGCTTTTAATGAGGTACTTCGTACATGCGGTACTAATTATTCAACGGACTTCAAATACTTTTCTAGTACTTTTCAACAGCGAAAACACGATAGCTTGATTAATTATCCTATATCTTAATTAATTGTGATCTCAATTCAATAGAAATCGATTATTTCCCTATAAGCACACAATATTTCTAGAATATTAATAATTATAAATATTATTAACAGTTATTAACAATATTTATACAATATTCTAGAAATATTGTGTCTTATAAGATTTGCACAAGGGAGAATTATTATGTAATCTATATATCTTGCAAATAAGTTTTTATAAAATAAAGCTTGTGCATGATTTTAATTTTATTTTGTATAGATATAATATATCAATCGAAAAATTATATTAATCTCAAAATATATCGGTTATCTATATATACGATTTCTTAAGAACATTAAATATTATGCAAAGATTAAGGAACAAGTATGGAGGATATATTAATACTTACTATAATACAAATAATAGCTTGTTTTTATTATGATTATCATAATAAATATCATAATTGTATTATGATTATCATAATTATATTTCAGCAAAGGTTTAAAATGCTTGAGAAAAAAGGTATAAGCTTATACTAAGCTTTTATTTTTTCAAGTAGCTGAACGTAAAATTTCTAAATTCATGTTTAATTCTTGACGACCGCTGGTTTCTGCGTTTCTTCAAGAGGTGGAACTGGAGAATAAGTCCCATCATGCCAGTTTCCCTGCAAATCTAACGCGCGATTATGATCGACGATATTCGCCAAACACTCCTCGATCGCCGCATCCACGTTTTCCGCAGTAATGAATGTGACAGCTTCCTCCTTAGCTTTCTTGATCTGTTTGTCGACATACTTCTTCCGTTTGATCTCATGCTTCTCTTTGTCTAACAATTTTCGCAGATTATACTTCTTGCGTTTTTCTCTTACATTCGCCAACCTAACTTCTCTTTGTTTTGCCACCTCTGCATTCCATTCATCATTTATTGCGCTACATGTCTGAAAATCTTCTTCTTCAGCTTGCTTGATACTTTCCTTGTCTAATTGCACTTTATTTTGCATTTCAAAGTGGCACAAATACGATCTAAAAAAGAAAGAAAACACATTGCCTGTTAATTTAAAATAAGCTGTATCTAGACTTGTAAATGTTTTATTAGACAAAAAACTAGAAATATAATAAAAGAAATAAACAGAATTATAGAACCAATTATACATGTATATATATATATATATATATATATATATATATATATATGTTTATGTATACATATGTATATATATAGATATGTATATATGTATAATATATATACAAGTATAAATACCTAAGTGATGTCATATATGTTCTGTAATTATTATTTAAACGCTGAAGCTCCAGAACTTCTTCCGTAGATATGACTGGTCTCTTTGGTATTCGGAACATTTTGGATTTTACTGGAGGTAACCAAATCGGCTTTCTTTTCCAACGTACACATTGCGTATAGACAGAATTTGGGATAAAGGTATCGCAAAATCTTGTGATACCTGTTGTCAGAGTGTTTGTGTTCATTATCCTCATGGCTTGCATTATATTTAGTACTGTAAAAAATTTATTTATTAAGATTTATTTATTAAGATAACCATTACCGAGCCAATTAATAGCCATATCACAATATATTATTTTTTTATATACATACTGAAATCAGTAATTAATTGTTATATGTAATTTTATATGCTATTCTATTAATAAATATTTCTTTGAACAAAATTTAACAAATATAATATTGCAATAACGCTCTTTATAAATAAATATTGAAATTAAAACAAAGAAGATGCAAAAACTACAGGAGCAGTCACAGATAAAAGAACTTAACATAATAATATTGTGGCAATAACACTTAAATAATAAGTTACCATTATATGTCACCGCAAATTAAAATAAATTCTTTCTCGTTTCGTCGTGTTTCGCTTATTTTTAATTATGTTATTCTTCAATGATTCCTTCCTCTGAGAAGGTTATGTCTCCTCCTGCGCGTTGATTCGCCGAATATCAATGGCGCGTTTAAGATGTTGTGTTTAAATGTTGAGATCGCGTCCTGTAATTTAAATAAGAGTAAAATGCTTTCCAACATAACAAATATACAATTAAATGTTCCAAGGAGAAATTTTTCAACAGATAAGAGATAAAATCCGAAATTTTTTCAACAGAAAAGAAATAAAATTCGAAATTTTTTCAACAGAAAAGAAATAAAATCTGCATAACAGAAGTCGCGATAGGGAGAAATAATTATAGTTTATAGAATATGTTTATTGAAAATGATCGTGTATAATGCGACGCGTATCTATAATATACAACAACAAAAAAATTTTCCGCAAAATACATTCGCTCAAGCTCTTTTTCTCTTTCTCTCTCTCTCTCTTTCTTGCGTTTTTTTTCTCTTATTTTCCTTTTCCTCTCGAAACAATAATAGTGTTCGCACTATATATTAATTACCCTAATTGTAATATTAATGCATATTTAATTATCCTCATCACCACGCAATACGACAATATGCATTCAACATAAACACGAATAAATCTTATCTCAACAATCGTTCTAAAAGTATTATCGCCGTACATGGTTATTATATATCGTTAGTGTTTTTTTTTCTTTTTTTTTGTTATTATTTTTTACAAATATGCCTGAACGCCGTAGAAATCACTTAAAATATATCTGCATCGACGATAATCACAGATATTAATTTGTATCTATACAATCTTGTTCTTTTTCCTGTTTTTTATTTATTACGCCATTCGTGGATCAAACTTAATTGATGTACGGTTAATTAAGATCCATTACAAATCAAGAATGGGATGTAATATAATTTTATTTACATATCCTAATTAAAACGGAAATAATTGCGTAAAAATAATTATATCTCATATTCGAGTGTTCCGAAAAATTCAGAGATTCTCTCCAAAAAAACTACTTCAACATTTATAATAATTTTATTAATTATTAGCATAAAAATTTTTATTAATGCATCTCATTCTCATTTCCTTCGGAACACCCACATTGAAATCTCATCATACTCATGTGTTATACATATTTTTAACGTTTCATCATAACATTATATCGTCGGGATATCTTTGGCTTAAACGCAGACAGTTTGTTCTATTTGTCTCTCGAAGAAACGTAAAGGAAGAAAAAATCCATTCATTTTGTAATAATGTTCAATCAAGATATCATTAAAGATAATAAACATATTTTATAATTTTCGCCTTCACAGATATTGAAGGGCTCTAGGCAGTATCATGCTAAACTTTGTACAGATGATAAAATGTATGGAAAACATGGAAAAATTATATTTAGCACAAAGATAAACCCCATTTATGATATTTTAACATCACATTTATAATGCAAAATCTTCTATTTAAAAAAAGATACATTCATCTGATAGATCTAAAATTTGCATTATAAGTTGGCAGTCTTTCAATGTACAAGAAGACTATTGGTGATCTAAACTACTATATCAATCGATTACTTATATTTAAATCTTCTTATCAATGTGAATATTTGATTATTAAATAATAAGTGAATTATTAATCCCGTATTTAGCATGTCAATGAGCCCTTCAATCATTAATTTAGAAAATTTGTTTCGATCCACTTGCATCAAATAGATTCATAGAAATATTTAATGCACATATAAAAAAATGTGTGGCTTGTTTCAAATCGTTTGCTTAAGAACTTTAATTTTGTTCTGTGCTATCAAGTCATATTTAAAACATTACAAAATGATCAGATTATTGTTACAAGTTGGATTATCATTTAGAACCATGAAATTAGTTCATAAAATCTTTGCAACCTTAGACTCTTAAAAATCTCTCTCTCTTTTTCTCTCGGAAATATATATATCGTAGAGCCTTGGTGCCTCGTTTCTGAATTTTTATATTCTTACACAATCGAAGTCTGAACTTTTTATTAGCTTCTTAGACCTATGGATAGCTCGAAATATTATATCGTGGTTGAATCTAAATTCTTAGATAAGCGGTAGGTTCTTGAGAATCCACGCGTTTAATCGCTCTGGAATTAAAAATACAGTCTTGTAAAAAGTCCTAAGTTTTATATCTGTTCTTATATGCATGAAAACGATGGCACATGTGTTCCTAGCTTGGCTGTAAGCAAGAATCTCTTGTCGATAATATACTTGAGCTGTGTGTACATTTCATTGGTCGATCAAAGGAAGGCATTATACACAGTGCATAGGATTTGTCCCGTAATTTGCGAATTATCTTTTTTTAATTATAGATTCCTCAACAAATATTCACAACCATTGTTGAAAAATCCATTGTTGAAAAATAATACGATAGTCAATTATTGGACAATTTCTATCAGACTGCAGATTTCTTCAAACTTAACTTAAACGGTAATGTTTATTCCTCGCCTGTCGCCTCAAATAATTCTTCTCAAATTGTGAAAAATTTATTCATTCGCAATATGAAGACTAAATTGTAACAAAGGAGTAGCAAATGTTATCATATTATAATCAAGTAAATCATTAAATATTTTTCTTTATCCTTCCTTTTTTCGCAAACATAATCAATTAAAATACATATATGCTGAATACACATACACGTACAAGATAAAACATTAATATCATCTCTAATAGTTAAATATCTTGTACATATATACTATCCAAATTCGTCAATTCTCTCTTCCTTTTTTCTCGATTTACTTAAATCAATTTCTCTGTATCTTATTATTAAATGTATATTATAAGAATATTTTGTACGACTATATATTTTAATAAAATAGTTGATAAACAGTAGGTACAATTATTCAACAGTACTACGTTGTAGTAACATCTGGTTGATAAGAAGAAATGCACAACTGAATTCATTCGTTTAAATTAAATTCAATTTCTGATAACTTTTTACCAATATAATATATATGTAACAGATTCTTAAAGTCTCATCCTTCTATCAGGAACCTTTTCAATTTTTTTCTCAAATTTCATTTTCAGATTCAGATCTTTAAAATTTTAGCTTTTGGATATATATATACACATATACATACATACATACATACATACATATATATATATATATATATATATATATATATATATATATACATACGTACATATACATACATATACATACTATAATATCCATTAAGTGTATGTTATTTTCCTGAAGTTCTCAATATTTCTCCTTCAACAATAATAGTAATAATATTATGATATTATAATTAATAATAACTAAGAAATTAAAAGATTTTATCTCACCAGAGATAAAAAAGAAGAACAAGAATGCTTATTAAAACTTCAAAATCTCTATGTAAAATAGTTTTTGGTTATAAACTGTAAAACAGACAATAAACAAATTATATTCATTCATAATAAACAAATAATTTTAACATTATTGTACCAATTTCTGCCAATGCTATATAATTATATCTCTAAATTGTGATAAATATACGATCTAAATCTATAATCTTCTCACAAATCAAAAAAATGTCACAATACATCCTCTATTTGTGAATTTAAATATAAAAAGTTATCATTACGAAGTATTATGACTGTGTGTGAATAATCCTTATGAATTATTTATATTTGCTACTTGGCAGAAATGTATTTAGAGAAAGTCTTCCTACTGTATACACGTGCATAAAGATAATTCTTATATCCTAGGATTCTTACATCATTGGATCTTTAGATCCTCAGATTTCAAGATTCCTGGATTCTGAGATCCCAGGAGTCCAAGATTTCTGGATTCCTAGATTCTTGGATTTCTATATCTGGGATTCTCAGATTTTAAAGCATGAAAATAAAAAATTTAAAATCAAAAATTTTTCTTCCAAATTGTATGATTATTAAATTTTAGAATTTGCGTTAAAAAAAAATTCATTTTTTTTCTTTAAATATAAAAATATTAAAACACTTTTATCTTATATTTACAAATCCAGGAACCCAGAAATGTAAGACTTTTTTCTTGCCTGATATAAATATTGAGCTTAACATTTGCGATAAGTAATAATAAGTGTAATATAGATAATAGTTTTCACTTATATCTTATAAAGCTAATCTCAAAGAACAGGGTCGTGACTATGTAACGGTTCCGAAACTGGTATCACTGAGCTTAACGGACTGCGCTTCGCCAGAGGAATTTCCCCATTTCGCGTACCTAGCAAAATAGAAGACCGTCAATCTATTTTATTCTGTTCCTTTGTCGGTGAGACGTGTCGTATCACCTCTCTCCGTACAAAATTACATCTCGTAAATAAAAATAACGTTTCTTTCGCTTTTGTACGTTGATGGTAGTGCAAGGCCGTGGCACATGTTTTATTCTACAGCAGGGGTTCTCAAACTTGAAACACTTTCAAAATTAAAAGAAAAAGAATAAGAGAACAGAGAATAAGAAAAACGACAATGTTTTCAGAGCAGCAGAATTTTTAGTATATTGTTATTAAATGGCACTATGGAATAATTCAATATTATTAAACTTTTGAAAAATCTAGCATAATTAAAATTTTTTTCATTGTACACAAGGTAAACCAATTTTTAATATTTTCCATTAAAACGGAGCGTGTGATAAATCATTAAATTGTACTATAAAAAATTTTACATTATTGTTTGATAAAAAAATTCAAAATTTATATTTTTAAATACATATATGCAATAAAAGTTTCATTTCAGAAATAAAGATCTCATACATTAAAATCAAATGTATTAATGCAAACGCATCATCATGCATTATATAAATCTAAATAAATCTAATACTAGATAAATCTTAAAATTTTAATCATTTAGTGTAATTAAAAGTCTTCAATTTGACATATATATAAAATTAAATTTTTGCATACAAAAAGTTAAATAAAATAATATTTATATGAATTAATATTTGCAATAATTTACATTGATTTCTCTCTTCTTCTCTTTAACAAGAGTTACTAGCAAATAAGAAATAATTAATAAAGATGAGAACGACTAAGCTTTACTTTGTACATTCTACGATAAAATATACAATATGTAAAATATATACATTTTCAGAATACATACAAGTATTCTATCTGTGAGAGGGACCATCTGCAATGTAAACTAGAAAGTTTGGGAACCCCTGTCCTACACAGATTATTATATATCACGAGTTGTTAAATATATAAATAACTTCCGCAAGTTCTCTCTGAGCTTCCTATGGCCGCGCGCGCGCGCGAATTTTCTTGTCTCAATTATTTGATCATTCCCATCTGATAAATTTGGTTCGTCCGGTTTGTTCACTCGCATTTCAAGGATGAAATTATTTGAATGATCATTTATAAAATGTTTATTACACTTGCGCACTTCATTCGAACATTATGATGTTCTTTTTACTTTTCGTAATTTAAATTGATGGAATTATTCGATCGCTCGTGGCCCATCGATCGGCATCGTATGTAGCACCTCGTCCAGTAATTGAAGCGCTCTATGTAAATGTACCTACCGGAAATAAATGTGAAATATTAAAATATCAAAAATAGAATTTTAAAATAGATGTATAAAAAAATTTGATGAGTAAAAAATCAGAATAACAAATTCAATACGTAATTAAATTCCTTCTAATTTTAATATTTCATTCTTTGCATCTCTTTATTCTACAAAATGATAATAATCTAAATAAAAGAAATATTTGTATATTGCTGATCTTTAGAATTTATTATTAAATTGTATTGAGATTTTCTTTTTGTCATGTATTTAAAAATATCATTTACAAAAATAGATTCGTGAAGTAAAATTATAAAACAAACCTCAATCCAGCATGGTGTTTCTTTTATACTTTGTCGCGGATAATCTGGACCCCATCCCTTAACAAAACTCAAACGCAGGATACAAAGTCTTCGTAAATCATCGACTCCAATTCCCGCAGCTGCGCTGATACCTGAATATTTTATTTATATGTCTTATATTGTAAACATATATTTAACTATACGTTATAAAAATTGTATCATTAATAGATTGCATTATTAATTCTATCATTAATAAATATTTGCGTTTATAGATTTCCTAAAGAAGCTATTACTTTTGGCGATAGGCCCTCCATGCGTCAGATGACCGGCAACAGCTGCAGCTTGCGCTGCTGCGGCAGCCTGGGCAGTGGCGGCTTGACCTCGCATTTGTTTGTGACATTGTCTCAGATCAAAAACTTTAATATACGCCGATGGATAAATTTTATGTACCGCATCACCAGGTGCGCGACCTGCCTCTCTGTCCAGATAGTAAGACTGTACAAAGACGCTGTGCTCGCTTTGACATTTTAACCAAACATCGCCTTCACCTCTTAAATCCAGCACAACGCCTTTGCCTAAAATATTTATTTTAATTGAGAATCTTTACGATATTTGTCTGAAAATATTATTACTAAAAGAGATAATTACCTATGTGAAGACGCGCTCTCTCGCTTTGTTCTGTCCTATGCACATTGCTCAAGGCACCTAAACAGAATCTATTTCCGCCGCTCGGATCTACGTAGCCATCTACGGTGACTGTGGGACAACTGCTGCTGACTTTAAATGTCTCTCCGACTTGGATGTCCAACTCGAAGTAACCCACGGAGCACCAATATTCCGGCGCTGGTTGCGTGGAAAGCAATCCTCCGATATTTCCACCAACATCATTTCCATGGCCTCCCCCTTCATTCAAATATTAGATTTGATTCTTAATCAAAATTAATAAAAGAAAAGGCTAAGGACCATAGCGCAGGTTGTTAGTACGTAATTAAAATCAAAACATAAATCTAAGACAGAAAATTTGTGTATTCTTTAACAAATTTGATGGCAAAAAAAAGAACATTATCCGTCGAAGAAATAATTCGAATACAATAGGCGCGCACAGTATAAAATAACCGAAAATCAAACAAATATGTTAAAACGGTCGAAATATCTAATAAAACGCAAAGACAATAGAAGAGAATAAAGACATTCAAAAAACAAAAAATGCTTGTATAAAAATAATAAAATAAAATAAAAAATATATGCAAGGCAATGACATGACCACGGTCCTTAGCCTTTTTTTTTTTTATCAATTTTAATTTATTATCTTACGTTAGGACCGTTATTCCTCTTTTGTTTTTGATTCTTAATGTTATATTATTTAACTCCAAAGCAGAAAACGTTTCCTAACACACTCAACTTACAGTACGATGCTGTATGAAGATGTCGAGGATCTGGAGGTTGCATACTTTGAGTGTATGTGAGAGTATTGGCACCGGTCCATTGCGGTGTCCCGGAATTGTATGGTGCTGTGCCCACGGGGAATCCATTTGGATGATGAAGATGTACAGGTGATACGGGTGAACTTTGTCCTTCACCTATTTAATTAGACAAACAAATAATCCAATATAATGTGCAAAAATGTTAAAAACACTGAAAAATTCAGACTCGGTATCCTTGTGGAATCTGTGTTTAAAAGGATATAGTGATTCTCTGTATTGATGTTTAATTGGCGAGTGCGCTATACACGTTTTATATACCTAAAGAGGCTGCTAGCGCGTCGACGGTAGGAGGTTGATTGATGTCTTGCGGGGGTGTGTTGGTACCGTAGAACGTATCGGCGGTCGATTGTCCCTGTGCGGGACTCAGGATCTGCGCACCGGACGTTCCGCTGGACGCGGCGTTCAGCGATTGTTGTTGGCTACCTACGGTGTGACTCATTGGATGTACTACTGCTGCAAAATCAAAATTCATACACGATGCAGGCAACATAAAATATTAAAAAGGCACAAACGTGGTCCTCACTGTAACTGTTTTCCAATTACTCGTTCGCGTGCAAACCAGTGTTTCCCAAGGAGGCGACGTTCTAATAATTTGATTTTTAGATTCCAGGATATTAAATGACTGATCTCTGGTCTTACAAAAATCTTAAATTCTCCAAAAATCATAATTTTATTATCATTTTGAATATATCATATATGTGTACATGTATATTTGCAATTACAATAATAATCAAAACATCGATTATTATTATTATACATATGTCATTGATCTTTTTATTTTTCTTTACTTTGATTCAATACTAAAACATCATTTCAGATAGCCCTTGCTTCAGAAATCTAAATTCAAAGTTCACTTTATGCATTCACAATACAGACATTCTATAATTTAGGAAACTCTGATCCCATAAATTTAAGAATCACAAAAAATGCATACTGGCAACATACTAGCAAAGGCTAATCAGCGACATGTAATTGAAAGCTTTTTGAATAATACGGCTGTGTACAATGAAATACGTACGATGATGCATATTACGGCCTGCCGAGTGATGAGATGTGGGAATCCAGGTTTGCCTGGGGCAATTATTGTCGTCCAGTTTAGCGTGGGGATTACCATTATTGCCACTCCCACCGGCATTAAACATACCCTCAGTACTGGCTGTGCCGAACAATCAGAAGGAAAAAAAAAACAATGAAGCCAAAAACAAAAATTGAATTACGCAACAAAAGGAAGAAGATTGCGAAGCAAATTCTTGCCTGCTACAACAGTCTACATTCGGTAGCAGTACATTCGAAAGCTGGCTCGTTAACAATCAATTTAATAATTAACAATCGCATATCGAGAACGACAAATTTGTAGCACGTATGTTTTAGCACAGTTGGAAGTATGGTCCACATCTAAATTTTTCTAAAATATAATCATCACACGTCGAATTTTTCTCTTAGATTAATTTAAAAAATTTATTAACATCTCCTTTCAGATAAAGATGTGTTTACACATGTCAACGTTGCATTGCTTCATTAAGGTGTACTACCATCTATTATGACCAAACATTAATTGCACACAAATTTACGCCGTGTAAAGCCAATTGATAAAAATTTTGATAAAGTAAAAGCTTCAGAAGAGATGAGAAGATAAAATCACCTAACATTCAACTTACTTGGATTGGGAGTTGATAAGCCCGGTATAAACCCTTGTTGGGCTTGTTGAGCATTGTTCGAAGCGGTCGATTGGGGAGTCGGTGGATGATGCTGAATCGTTTGATTCATTTCACCGTCCACGTCCATCGCGGATCCAACGGCGGCCGCGGCCGCTGCGGCAGCGGTACCTCCACCGCCAACTGTGTACTCATCCTTGACCAATCTGCCACCAGGTCCCACACCCACACCGGATTGAAGAGTCAGTCCGGACAGGTCTGTAAAGAACGGGTCTGTGCGGGGGAAACCAACCCATTCCATCAAGACATCAAGAAGACCACAATAATCAATAATTTGCTCTCTAGCATTCCGTAACTTCTCTAGCATTTCCGTAAATTCGTTAACCAATCCTAGGATGCTAGGATACGATTTACTTTTATCTCGTTGGATAATTATAATTAGATAATTATAATTGGATAATTATAATTGTAAACGAACTCAAAATGAATTAAACGGAATGATAGTGATTAAAGAAAAAAACGAACAACAATAAAAAAAAATAATATTGCAGAAAAGAATCAAAAAGGAGATAAAAGAGGTATGAATAGTATCACATATATAAGAGATATGAATACTAGACATAAAAATAAATTGTTATATGCGAAATATCGCACATACCTATTCCGGGCGACACCACTCGTTCATAATGATAGGGATTCACACATACGGAATCGCACTTCAAATCGAAAGCGAACTGGCAGTATTTTACATGTTTCAGTTCGTTCTTGTGCAAATCCGGCCATCTCCAAATGCGAGCATAAATTACATGCGGAAAACCTTTGCGTCCTGCCACTTGTAATCTGCCATCGAGAGTTCTTTGGATGGTAACACATTTGCTGGGATGTGCTCCATTAGTGGTTATTGCAGTTATCAAGCTGTCCAACTCGTCGCGTTTCTCCTGTTGATTAAATTTTATTGTATATTAATCACACTACAATTTCAAATTGAAAAATTATTGAATATTACTATAATATTATTATAAAGTATGTGCAAACATAATTTTTATAGTATAACAATATCATTTTTTGTAAACTTTGTATGAATTGTGTTATACAACATATATGTATATGAAATTTACTTTGAGCTTCTTCACTAGCGATTCAATTGCGCGTTTGCTGAAGCTTTCACTTTCACCACCTTGACGATGACACATCAATGAATGTACAATGCTCAGGCAAGCGTCTGCACTGGTCGGTGCACTGGGTGCAATTCCGGTCATTTCTCTTACTGTATTTCAAATTACATGTATATATAACACACATATATATAAATTAATTGTAGTAAATGATAAAATATAATTTTTTTAAATAACTTCAAGTATACAATGATTTTATTTTAAAACTTTATTCTTTGTGAACAGTATATTTATATAAGAATATCAAAGAATCCATCATAAAATCACTTAAATTTCTTAAATGAAATGATTAGATAAATGAATATTGAAAATAAATTATCAAATAAAATAAGGAGAATAATAAACAGAAATATATATATAATAAATATATTTCTGAGATACACTTACATTCTGGATTGGGTTGCATGGGGGGCGAGGGATACAAATGACCTCCCCCGCCCGCCAATCCAACCATCTCCGTAAAAGCCGTGGTGGATACTGCCACTCTTTTTCCCTCAAATGGATAGCCTTTTCTTTGGACTTGACACAGTCCAATCTTTCACACTCTATCATCTAGCGATAATATTTCACCCATGCGACACAGTCCACTTTCCTGTAAGTAAATCTATTTATTTTTTATCACGTATAACTATCTAATCTATATCGCTCTAGAACTAAAGTGTAAAGGAAATTATTGCATTACATAATATCAAAGAAACGAAAAATCCAACATCACAATATTTACACAAAATTTATTTCTGACTATATCATCCTGGTTTCAATTGATTCCACTTGCCTTTGTTATATTATCTCCAACAATCACTTTATAATCATTGTCAATAATATCAATAATAATCAAACGTGGCAGAAGCAAAACCTGCCTTTGTTTACCTAACATTAGGAGACACCTTATATCGTTCAATCAATCATCATGCTCGACAGTCTATGTCAATAAACTATTAAAGTAGCAAAAATAACGCAATGAAACGACTTACATTCCAGGAGAAGCACGCATGCGAGAGCAGAAGGAGCGAAGGTGAGTTCACGACGTCTGCGGGAAACTTGTACAAGAATACTCGCGAGACATCGGTGACTTCGCCGAGTCACAGGGTGCGAGACAGCCTCCCACGGCGGCGAGTACGCACGATGACAGTTGAGCACGAGGAGACGCTCGCGCACGAGCGCTTGTCAAGCGTCGTCGGGCGTCGGCGGCTTTGCAACAAGCAGCAGAGCGCAGAGATCCAGCGATCGCACCACGTGCACCACGTTCGAGGACGCGATACGCGCGACAGATCACTACACGCTGCACAATTCGAGACGAGTCGTTGCACCGTTTCGCATAGGTTAGCGCATCAATAATATATATCCCGGGGCGCGGATGGTGTCGCTGCGAGCAGCATGGCTAATCTAGCGCCAATGACAGCATTCAACGAACAGTTGGGCAACATTTCGCTAGATTTTCCAGTGTAATTTCACGCTGATTGGTTGGAACTGAGAGTGGAAACCAATCACGTTCGATTGCTACTTTTGCGGCCAATAATATCCGTCATACTTTAAGGCGGATTTGCATGATTTTCGCAAATACGTTGGTAGCATTGCTCGCTTCTTTCGCTTCTCATTGGACGATGTGTTTGGAAATTGCAGATTTTAAGGTAAAGCAGCGTTTAATTGACCAATCAAGACGAGGAGTGAAGATTTCTTGTTTTGATCGGTTCATTAGAAATTCATCCAAAGAGGATCAGGATATCGGAGAATTTGCAATGATTCTGTAGAATTAAGATTTGAATTATAAATAGTAAATTGACATTATATAATTAGTATTTTTTCCTATTTATAGTTAAAATTATAGATGAGCTAAATGAAAAAAGACGAACTAAAATAAAAATATAGCGAATTGCTAGTATAAATTTGCTTAATCGAGATTATGTACTTGTAATTTATTGCTCTAGTGTACAACATTTATCATTCTATCACGTAATTCATCATCATAATTTTACATAATTACGAGAGAATTATTTAAAAAATATGACTCGTTTAATGTCTTTCCGTTTAAGCGTGTATTCTACAAGTGGGGGTGTAACTCAGTGGTAGAGTGTCTGCTTCGCATGCTGAAAGTCCTGGGTTCAAATCCCAGCTCCTCCAAAACTTTCTTTTTGCCTTTCATTATATACTTTATAATTTACATAAATACTTTTTTTTATTAGAAAAGTTTCGGATGATGAATCTCTCATCTTTTTTCTCTTTCTAATCGATTTAAATATTATGATTTCAGATATTTATATAAATTAATTTTCAAATCACACAAAAATAAAAATCACACTTAAATATAACATACATTACCAAATTTTACATTGTTATTTTGGCAATGCTCACGTTGTAAATTATCAAAAATAAAAAAGTATTGAATAATTCAAACCTGTGTGAATTATACACAAATAATAATAATAATAAATATTATATTATACAAGCTGCATAGAGACATAATAAAATGTATAACTGGTATTAGCTTTCTGATAATCAAGGAGAGAATTTATACTTTATTATTATTTTTTATATATTATTTTTATTATCATTATTTCTATTTTATATCAACGATATTCATATAATATCTCAGATAATATTTCAATCTGCGCGCGATAATTACAATATACAACATTACGCAATCAAATGAATGCACCAATAGGTGCAGCTAAATGCATCACGTGACCTTGGATTTGGTAACTTGCGATCAGTCTGCACGAAGCGTCCCGGATGTCGCGATCGTTTCGTGTTCGCGCGATCTTTTCACCCGTTGGATGAGTATCGTGGACGGACAAGTGTCGAAAGTGTCAAATTTATGCAAATTTAGCAAATCGTGATATCGTTTCGTGGCATTAATCGCGATTGCGACGCGTGTGACTCAATAATTCCCTCGGTAAAATTCGCAGTGTCAAGTACTCGTCGCGTCCCGTGGCCGGGACTCCACTTTTGGAATCCGCAGATTTCGCGCGAATTTCGTTATCATTAATTCCGATGAGTGCTGCAACTGTCACTTAGCATCCTTAGCGAAATATTTATCGAGGAATATTGGGAGCATCGCGACGATCTATTCAACCTGCCGCTTGAGATATTTCCGCCATGACACTTGAATTTTCGACGCGATCCCGGCGAATCGCGCCCTCGCCTAATTCGCCTACATTTTGGCCGAATTTCGGGTGCGAACGACCATCGCAAGTGTCATCCAGCATCCGAGGCGTCGAGGAGCCTCGGGAAGCATCGATGGAGCCATCGAATTAATTACTGCAACGAATCTATCGACGCGGGTAACAGTTTGGGATATTGAGATATTGAGATATTTCCGCCATGACACTTTTCAAATGTCTGATACTGGTCACTTCGCGCCTTCTCTACCCGTTTCAGTCAAATTCCGCGCGCGAACGAGTGTCGGGAGTGTCACGTGTCTGATGACGGACTGTCATCTCGTTAATCGATCGCGCGATTGCGATCTTCGGTCTTCGGAATCCAGAGTGCTTTATTCGTGGAGGCGAACGATATAGAGTGAATCCCTTGAAATATTGTGATTTTGCGTTCGTCAAGACACTTTAAATTCCTGCTAAATCACTCCTTGCTCCGCCTCTTCCTCTGGATCGAAGTTTGCGTACGAATTTCATGTCGAGAGTGCCGAATCAATTATTCAGTGTTAATTAAATCCGCGTGATCAAACATTCGTGAGTGATATCGATCGAGTTCTATTGTGAACAGCTGTCTTCGAATGTGCGCGTGTGATCCAATGTGATAGTCGTAGGATTATCATAATTATATCGAGAACAAAAAATAATCATCAACGGAGGCAGGAGATTGTTTCTCGTCTACAATATTTAGCTGATGTAGTGAGATGGTGAGTGTTTACATTTTCTTAACTAATATAATTAAATAAATAAATGAATAAATAAATAAAAAAAATATATATATATACATATTGTTCGGTATTTTGAAAAAGATTAATTTTAAAATTCAAATATAATATTAAAATTAATATTTTAAAAATATTTTTAAACAATTTGTAAAACTATTTTCAAGTTTCTTATATATATATATATATGTTCGAATATACTAACGTGATCCTCAAGTAACATAAATCTGACGTAATTGCGAGACTTTGGGCGAGTTCTCCTTTTCTAGAAAACGTAGTATATTTTCCAGAGCTATAAAATAAAAAAGTAGATCTATTTATATTTATTAATTAAATAGATTGAATCAGAAATTTTTGCAAAAATATATGTGTATTTTATTTTACATATTATTTAAAATAGAAACGATATATATGTTATTTTTATTATCTTTATATTACCTTTTTTATCTGTAGAATCCATAAACATACTAATGATAGAAAATCGATTTAATCGACTTAAAGAGTACAGTAGATGTGTGAGTAATTCTCTGTCTTTAGAAGTGCAAAATTCTTGTTCACAGCAACGTATAATGAGACTGAACATTGTGGCATCCAATTTATTGCCTATCACTGTGAATTGAATATTTTTAGAATATATTAAATAATTATTTGTAACGAAGCATAATAAGCAATTATTTGCTATTTTAATGTATAAAACATTAGATTGTTCTATGTAAACTTGGAATTTTATTTTTAATAAATTTAAATAAGATGTCAAAATATTCACACAAATTAGAATCAATAGAAATAAAATTAAAACAATTATTAATAGAGATAAATATAAGAAATCCTTGAATTTTAAAAGCAAATAATATTTATAAAATATTGAGATACTATAAAATCGCATTATGAAACTTACTTTTACTCATGTCTTCGTGTGCTACACATCTTAAAAGTTTCGCGTGTAATTTCAAATTAGTATCGTCCTTTAGAGATTGCCATAGACGTAAAAATTCGTAAGGTGATTCGATATTTTCCAATTTCTAAAAAAAAATATATTATATACAAAGTATTATATACAAGTATTATATACAAAGTATAAAATATATAAATAATATAAAAATTATATATTTGTTTCATCTTTTAATTTTCTAAGATCTTAAATCATACCTCAAGTTCCATTTCCAATTTTTCGCTATCTTTTTGATATTTATTAGATGTAATTTTATTCGTTACACTCGTTTTAATCTTGCTTTCATTTTCAGGAGAAATTATTTTTTTACTTTTATTTAAATCTGATCTTGTTATTGGCGCATCTTTCTCTTCTTTTGATTTCGTTTTCCTCTTCATTTCCATTTTGGTTTCATTAGAATCGATACTTTTTCTCGGTTTCTCACATTCGTTAAGTATCTGAATTTTATTCGACGTTAAACTCGATTGAGTTCTACTCTCCTTTCCAAGAGAGATTAATTCCTTGTTTTTATTTAGACACGATTTCTTTGTCGATATACTTTTCTCTTCAACCGAGCTTGTTTTCTTCTTCGGTTTCATCCTCGTCTCGTCAGGATCGACAATTTTCCTCGGTATCTCGCTTACTTCGTCGCTCGAAAGTTCCTCGATTATGACAGTGGAGGGTTTCGTTTGACGTGACACGCACGAAAAAATGGACTTCTCCGGCCTACCTTCTGCGCCACGTTGTCCGGGAAATAACTCGCGTGAAATCGCAAAAATATCGTCGCTGTTGATAGCGTCCAGATGCGATTTCGGCGTTTTATTTCTGCCGCCGAAATCCTTTGCAACAGGTGATAATTTATTGCCGCGCGAAGAGCCGCGCGTTGTTTTCCCGTTGCTTTTATTTGCCGCGACATCCGCCGCTGCAGCTTTGTTACTCCCGGTTTCCACGCAATAACTCGCCTTTAAGTGCGGCTTCGTCGCAACACTTTGCGACGAGCCTGGCGCTCGGTCGCAATAACATATATCGTTGTTAACACGCTGTTTCGGACACTTGATGCCGTTCGTTTCCACGGTTCTCTCCGACTTTACTCCTCGCACGACCTTGTCTTCGTCGCCGCTGATATTCTCCTCTTCGATGCTCATCCTGGGGAAATGTGGCGGAGAGAAAAAAATTAACGACGGCAATATAATATCCCGGCTTTGAAGTTTATTATTCTAAATTCGCTCGACAAAGTGTTGAATCTAAAAATTGCATTTCTACCTTATTTTTCTCGACTCGCACGGTTTTCTCAGCTTGTTTACGCCGGATATCGCCGTTTTGTTGGTCGGCTCCAATTTTAAAACGGCTTCATAATCCGGCAAAGCCTGTACACGAAATTAAACATCAGCTGTTTATATAGAAATTGCGAAACGTATTAGTTACAAGGAATCTGAATACAAATTTCGATTAAAATTTCCTTTGCTCACCGGACAACCTTGTATCGTATTTATCGCGTCGTAAAATTTCTATTTCTCGACGTTAAATATTACGAATTATAAATTAATATGAACGTTTATGCGTATAATTTTTATACCTCGTACGCCTTCTCGAGATGCTCCAAGGATAATGCTCGACGAAGTAGCGCTTTAACATTTTTGTAATCCATGGTAAGCACCGTGTTGCAGTCGTTAAGCGCCTCCTCGTAACGTTGCAACTTTATAACTAAATGCAGTATAAATTCAATGATCTTATTATATAATACAGAGTTAGATAATATTTTTAAGAAGTATTAAAATCGCGAAATAATCTATTTCTCGTAATGATTTTCTTTTAATCTAATTGTTTTATTAATTTTTAATCTAATAGTTTTATCTAATAATTTTAGGAATATTATATAATTTTATTCAAAAATAAATTCGAAAGAAATATGTACACAATAAAAAATTGTGCATCCATCATATGTCAGTTATTTCCTTGTGTTACCATGTTTTGATTAATATATACTTTAATGTAAAATTAACATACGATTTATATGTTATTATTTTTTATAACGTTTTCATGTGTTAACTTCATAACTTAACACTTTTTATGTCTCTTAGAAATAGAATATTATTTTGAGTATTTTTAACATAATCATTTTAAACAATCAACATGTCTCAAAGTCAGTTTATTTCCAAGAAAAGTTAAAGTAAATCTTTAAATAATCTTGAATTTTGACATACAAAATAATCAAATTGACTAAAATGTTTCTATTACAAATAATTTAGGTTAAAATAATTATTATTACATGTTAATGTCCTACCAACATTTCTTACGAATTATTGTAACTATTTTTTCATGTAATTTTTAATTAATTTGTATGTTATTTTTACATTACACTTAAACTCACAATAACAATAATAAAATAAATAAAGTATTGTGTCAATTATTTAACACTTTCAGTTTGTCAATAAGTAACATACGATGAATGATTATTTATTTTAACTTAAAATTTAGAGTGGACTTTTGGGACACGTGAAAAATGTTATAATTAATTTATTTTATTTTTTAGTGTGTAGATAACGTCCTTTTTCGATGTAATTATTAATTATTATTAGTGAAATGCATCTCATAGCTTACATGTCATAGCACGATTGTTGTACGCATTTAGATTCGATTCTATCTCGATGCTAGCGTTATAATGCCGAAGGGCTTCCTCGTAATCAGCTGCTCTGAAGGCTTCGTTTCCCTTTTCTCTCTCTTGTTCCGCCATTATATTTATTTCCGTGCCAGTCAAAGAAACTATCAATAGATTAAAAGATTTAATACACGAGATCTAGAGATTTAATTCTATTAAAATTAACAGGAGAGATCGATGAGAGATGAAATTCCATCAACTTTAATTAGAGAAACGAAAGTATTTGAAACACCCTGTAGATTCGGTGAATCTATTATCGTATCATTTAAATGCTCACTGAAACATAGTTTTTCGTTCTTTTAATAATCCCATCGTGAATTTAAATAAGTTATAAGCTTACGTTTATTGACGGTCGCTTTATGTGCCATCTTATTTATTTTATTCCGCTCCTTTTGCCGTTCTTGTATTCTCTTCATTTCGGTCTGTCGCTGCTCGTCCTGCAGGTCTATTCTGTTTATTTCCGTGTCGACATCGTATTTATCCCAAGCCGCATAATCGCACGAAGATATTCGTTTGGGCTTATCGCGCTTTTTCTCGTTGCTTTTCGTTTTTTTATTCTGCAAATGTGGCATAAATTATTATATAATAACTTTTTTTTATTTATTCTATGACTTATTTATTTAGTCATCTAGTTTTATATCGATTAATAATTTATGATTTAGCTAACACTTTAAGAATGAATAAATAAACTAACTAATTATTTAATAATAAAATATAATAAAATATGTAACTAATTAATTAATAATAAAATATAAATTTTGATATATTATATTTTGAAGGGAGACAATATCTCGGTACATTATGTTTGTATAGTTTAACAACTATGTATAATAACATACTGCGGCAGTATCCAATTTAATCTCTCGAATAGCCGGTTGTATAGCGCAGAAATCATTGGCAAGGACAGCTCTTCCTTTGTCCAAGTCCTTCTCGCGAGATTGCATCTCACACGTCCAATTGCTCATGTCGTCGTCGATTTCCTGCCGTTCGTCCGAATTCAACATATTTCGCCTCAAAACTGGCTCCGCTTTCCTCAAAATAGCGCTTGTCGGATTAATGCTAATGAGACGTTTCTCCGCGTGCTTTGTCAAATCTGGATACACACCTTCTTCGCCAGAACTGGTATTAACCCGCGCACACACAGAGAGATGTTTATGACAAATCGTTAATAAACGCGTGCCGGAAAATAACGGGTTTAATGACGTTTTAAGCAGCAGGATTGCAAGGCTCGTAAAGATTAAAAAAATTACCGATATGTACAATTATCATTATATATCGAGGACCACAATATAAATTGCACGTTTCAGATGAAAGTATAATGATATATTTACGTAAAAGATATATCTTATTTAAAAAAAGATTATTATGTAAAAGAAATTTGACATCCACTAATCGGATTTACAAGATTAATCTCTCGAAACTTTTTCACGCGCGAGCAAAATATCATTTTATTCTCGGGAGATAAAAATAGCAGCAATTAATTATCACCGATATTATCGCATGCATTTTAAAAATTGCTCACCGTAATACGAGAACAATTCGTTCCAGTGTTTTTCCATCGGTGCACCTGGATATGAATTCGTACGAGAGATGCTCGATCGGTATGTTGTACCTCTCCAACAGAGTCTTCTTGTCGGATTTTTGCGCCACGTTAATTACATCTACCTCCTCGTTGCCCATGATAACGAATGCGGGGAACGATCGACCAAGATTACACGGCAAATCGTGCGCGCGGTTTACCTTCGTTGCCCTATGCGTTCGGCGGAGACAACAGCTGATTAGCAATCGAACCGGATTTGTTGGATCTCTGAAGGCGGATGCCAATCACGTTCAATTACTATGTATTCCTATACGGTTGTCTCTGCTCGGACGCGATCTTTGATTCGTCAGGTTGCCATGGATACGCGAGTTGTTGATTTTCTACACGTCAAGTCATACCTGTAACACTTTGCCTCGATCGATGAAACCTGAAATGTGTACCTCGTCCGTTCAATTTTCACCGGAAAGAGAACCGAATATTAATAATATACCGTTGACAAAAATTAATTCCAATTTCTTCTTTCGTCGACGTTGCATCTTGCATCAATCCTATAATTCATAAAATTGTTAAATCAATGTTATTATATAATTATGTTTCAAATATAATTTATTTTATATATATATATATATATATATATATATTTTTTTTTTTTAAACTTGTGTTATATTCAAAGAGTATGAGTAACTTGAAATTGGTTTAAAATATAATTAATAATTTTTAATAAGTGACACAGAGGACACAGTGTAACACAGTAAATCATTTCATCCTTGTTTACATTCGATAATTATTCTTTATTATATATTTATATATTTATTCTTTATTATATATTTATTATTTATTATATATAATATATTTCGAATAATTGTCTATTATATAACGTGTCCAAAATTACGTTTTATCAATTTACGTTTTATCAATTTACGTTTTATCAAATTTACGTTTTATCAAATCAATTTCAAGTTATTCATACTCTTTGAACATAACACAAGTTCTTAAAGACATCAAAGAAGGAAAATTAGAATAAAAAAATGTATAATCCCTCTTGTATAATCTGATGTTAAAATTGTATATATCCCGCGCTTTACATTTTTTCGCGAAGAAAAGCAGAATAAATAATAAACTCGAGACGCTAGTCGTAATACAAACACTGAGAAAAAATCTGGTTGCATTAATTAGAATTCTGGTAGATTCAACCAGTATGTCTGTTGGAAAATGGACGAACCAAAATTCTTGTAGGAATTACCAGATGAATCTGATTAATTTCTTCCTGTTAAATTTACCAAATTTTCTGGTTAATAATACTAAACTCATCACCAAGTCGTTTAAAATTTTTTCCATCTAATCTCAAAAGTCTGTTTAATATTCTGAATTCCAACAAGATTATTGAATAAATTCAATCCAGATTATTGAATAAATTATTTTAAATTCAGTTTGTTAGAAATTAAACTGATAAACAGTGATGCAAGAAGAGGATGCAGCTCAAACACAAACAATCAGAGAGCCAGCGTCCTCTTTCTGGCACTACTGCTCGTAAGAGAAAAAAAATATACTTTGGATTTAATACTATTTTTTTATATACATTTTATGGCAAATATTGAATACAAATTAAGTTAAGAGTGGCAAGCAAGGAAATTAATGTAACAAGAAATTTTATAGATCCAACCAAAAAATACTAACCAAATCCTTATAATAAAATTTATTAAACGTTCTAGTTATAAAAAATCGAGTCATACATCGAGTCATAAATTTAACATCAAGAAATTAATCAGATTCACCTGGTAATTCCTACAAGAATTCTGGTTCGTCCATTTTCCAACAGACATACTGGTTGAATCTACCAGAATTCTAATTAATGCAACCAGATTTTTATGTCAGTGTTTATATTATGACTAGCGTCTCGAGTTTATCATGATAACTAGAAATTCTTGTTTGATTTAACCAAAATGCCTTCAATCATATCTTGTCTCATCATATCACGTCTTGTTGGTACAATCAAACAATTTTTCTCAGTGTATATATATCCGAAAGAAATAAATTCGCACCTCCACCTCCCCGCGCGCACAGACCGTACGCGAGAGTGTAATAGATGCATCTTTCTCCCTTCTGTCAGATAGTTCCTCTCTCCCTGTCCCTCGCGCAACACGCGCTCGTGCACGCTTACCTGTTAACACGGCAGTCGGCTTGTATAGCGCGCCGCAACGCGAACGCGCAACAGTGCGCGGCGCACGAAAGAAGCGTGCAGTCGTCGTTGTCGTCGTCCTCCTCCTCGTCGTCCTCGCCGCCGCCGTCGCCGCTGTCCGGAGCGAGCGCAGCCAAGTGCATATTAGACGAGGCGGCCGCGAGCGTCGCGCATTCGCCGGCGAGCGCTCGACGAGAGTGGTAGGCGGTCGCTTATCTCGCTCTCTCTCCGTCTTTTTCGCGCGCGCGACCCGTTTGTTCGCCACCCGTGCGCTCGTCGAGTACGCACTCGGTACGGAAAGTACACACCGCGATAACGCGAACGACTCTCCGAAGTGTGACTTCTCCGAAAACACCCTTCTTGTGTGTGGGATTTCGAAATTCTACTACTCTTCTTCACTCGTGTGCTCTTTAAAGTCGAGCTTAGCCAGAGTGCGAACTTGGATCGACGTTGTGATCGTCGAATCTCGGAATTGTGAAGCAGTGCTTGAGAGAGAGAGAGCTCTGGCTTTCAGTGGATTTGTTGAATCTCCAAACATTTTACTTCGATCTCATGTGATATGGCAACTGAATTATCTTTGTTTCTTGTCGAACTAGGATTGTTAGATTCCAATCATAGTCGCGCAAGTGTCGATAATCGTTGATCTACCAGGTAATTATTCTGAAAAATTCGCCAAGAGATTTCAGTGCTGCCTTTGATTAAGGATTATAAAGTTCTCGCCAGCCGTTCTTTCGAGTCGATTACAAAAGTTAATTTTCTTTATTAATTCGCGCGCGGCTTAATTAATCTAATAATGCCGGCATGTTCGATTAGTTGAAGTGTCTTGGCGAATATTCGACCAGTAAAATTGTATTATTTCATCCACGAGTCGTGGGTCGGCCTTCCTCGACGCGATTGTTGTTAATCGACAAAATTAATTTATGCAAAACTCCCGACACGTTCATTAAAATCGCATGCATATAAATGCATAGAGATTTCGGTGCGCAATTATGGATCGATTCTTCCGCAACGTTGATTAATCTCTACCGTACTTTTAATTGATTCTCCGTGTTTTTCTAGATTACCGCATTCGCTCCAATATACAAATTGATAGACATTTGAGTTGATAAATATTCGCTAATCGATATATCGAAATATAATCGGAATTAATTGATGAAGATTCTCTGAAAATGATTCATCGCGATTATATTCATCGGAGAAGATCAATTTCGTTGAATAAACATCCGGCACATTTGCGTGTCATCTAATATTTACATATCGTGAAGTGGCTAAAGAAACTGATACACGGTTTCCGATTGCTCTTCTATCGTGAGCAACGAGTCAATTTCCACTTGCAGTCGACGACTAGAAACGATTGCGATACATGCTCAAATTTAGATACGTAGGTGTCAAGATGAAATTTAAAATATGTGAGTGAACATATGACGCGAAATTTTCTTCTCTTAGAAACGTCATTTTGTTCGAGAAATATATATTTTCGTTCCATTTGACGTTACTTAACGTAACGTGATTTGATTTGGCATAATTTAAAACGACTCGGTATATTTTAAGAACGAAACGAAAACGAGATAATTTTATGGAAAGAACGTTGCATGTTCAAAATAAAATTTTAAACTGTGAAATATAACATTATTTTGTAATCGAATATTCTTAATGCACTTCATTAATGACTTCGTATTTATTGTTTTTTCGGAAACGCGCTGAATCGCGATTTTTTTATGAATACGCTATCGCAATAAATATTGATATTGTTGAAAAGTGTCATAATCACGTAACATTGTTTTGGAAATCTTACATTTACCGGATTCTTGAATGAAAAAAAAAATACGCGAGATTTTTTGTCTCTTTTTATTTGAATTGTTTTACAACGTAAAGTTATAATTATAATTTATCGCTATAAAATTATATCAAAAATATAAAATTATAATTTATAAAAATATAAAATTATAATTTATCACCACAAGTATACAATGAATTTAAGTACGAGTTTATTTAATTTTTAGATTCCATTTATACGATTTACGATTCGTATTTAATTCAATTTGACACGTGTCACAATTTTAAAATCGCGCTTTGTTCAACATTATGACGAGTTTCGCGATAAGCCTGCTTTTTGTACAAATCTCGCGTGAATAACAACGTCGTGGTGCGCGCCTTGAACGATAATGAGATTTAATACGTGATACGGGACAGCGTTATCTAATCTAGGAATTATTTAAAGCGTAGCAGAGAGACGCGAGAATGAGAAATAAACGACAAAGTTTGCGACGAAGAAAAATTCAGGTGATTCTCGAGCGTTTTTTTTTATCATCCCGCGTATTGATTATTCCTCCGTTAATTTTCGTTCCTCCTTTATTATGTTAAATGTTTCTTCTCATTACGTCAATCATTTCTCCGCTATGTTAATTGCTTTTCTCTCAATTACTTTCCCGTTACGCTATTTGCTTGTTTGTCACGTTAATTTATGCTCAAGCTCCTAACTTTAATTAAATAACTGTGTCATTACCAATGGAAAAAATTGCAATTACGAAATTTATAAAAGTGTCATTTGCGCAATGGTTTCTTTACTCGACGCAAGTTTTCTTACTCATTAAATTCAGGCAAAGAGAAGAAAAATAAAATACTCAGATTTTGCGGTGGCAGACACTCGCGCTCCGAGATGATTCAATCTTTTAATTAAGCTCGCCGTGTCTCGAAACGTTAAAATTAGCCCGTAACATCGTCGCAAAAAGACAAAAACACGGAGGAGAAAAAATGAAATTAAAACTCGCACGTTGCCGCGGGGGATGAACGCACTGAGAAAAATCGTTTGATTGTATCAACAAGACGTATATGATTGAAGACATTTTGGTTAAATCAAACAAAAATTTCTAGTTATCATAATAAGACTCAATTTTTTATAACTAGAAGGTTCAATAGATTTTACTATAAAGATTTGGTTAATATTTTCTGGTTGGATCTATAAAATTTCTTGTTACACATTAATTTCTTTGCTTGTGCCACTCTTAACCAAAGTATTTTTTTTTTTTCTTACGAGCAGTAGTGACAAAAAGAGGACGCTAGCTCTTTGATTGTATGTGTTTGAGCTGCATCCTCTTCTTGCATCACTGTTTATCAGTTTAATTTCTAACAAACTGAAATTAAAATAATTTATTCAATAATATCTGGATTGAATTTATCCAATAATCTTGTTGAAATTCAGAATATTAAATAGACCTTTGAGATTAGATGGAAAAAATTTTAGACAACTTGGTGCTAGTGAGTTTAGTATTATTAATCAGAAAATTTGGTAAATTTAACAGGAAGAAATTAATCAGATTCATCTGGTAATTCCTACAAGAATTCTGGTTCGTCCATTTTCCAACAGACATACTGATTGAATCTACCAGAATTCTAATTAATGCAACCAGATTTTTGCTCAGTGCACTGTTTATCAGTTTAATTTCTAACAAACTGAATTTAAAATAATTTATTCAATAATCTGGATTGAATTTATCCAATAATCTTGTTGAAATTCAGAATATTAAACAGACTTTTGAGATTAGATGGAAAAAATTTTAGACGACTTGGGCTAGTAAGTTTAGTATTATTAACAAGAAAATTTGGTAAATTTAACAGAAAGAAATTAATCAGATTCATCTGGTAATTCCTACAAGAATTCTGGTTCGTTCATTTTCCAACAGACATACTGGTTGAATCTACCAGAATTCTAATTAATGCAACCAGATTTTTTTCTCAGTGCACTGTTTATCAGTTTAATTTCTAACAAACTGAATTTAAAATAATTTATTCAATAATCTGGATTGAATTTATCCAATAATCTTGTTGAAATTCAGAATATTAAACAGACTTTTGAGATTAGATGGAAAAAATTTTAGATGACTTGGTGCTAGTGAGTTTAGTATTATTAACAAGAAAATTTGGTAAATTTAACAGGAAGAAATTAATCAGATTCATCTGGTAATTCTTACAAGAATTCTGGTTCGTCCATTTTCCAACAGACATACTGAATCTTACATACTTGAATCTACCAGAATCCTAATGAATGCAATCAGATTTTTTTCTTAGTGTGCGCATCCTACTTTTCTCGCGATCGTCTGCCATCCATCGCGCGCGCGCGCGAGCGAGGACACGCGTGCGCGATCCGGGCGCGTGTGCGTATGCGTGCGTGTCTGTCGTTTTTTCGTAATCGCCGACGTGTCGGCGGCGCCAAGCTAGAAGACGCGGAGGAAGGCCGACGACCCGTTATAAATGGAACCAGAGAGACGGCATTTCTCGAATCGCTGCTTGTGTTGTTATTCGCAGCGTAACGTCGGGACGAGCGAGCACGTTCGAGAGCCTCGCGCTTTCGAGGTGCGAACGAGGGGAGCCAGCATCGTAATTCCGAGTCGCGAGCGTGCCGTCAGGTTCGACGTCCGGAATAAGCGGAGCAGCGGAAATATAAGGAAACGGAGGAATTCGGGGAGAAAAGAAGAAACCGGGGAGAAAACAAGAGAAAAGAAATGCGCTCTCGTGATGAACTTGCCAACGCTCGATTAGCGTTTAAAGCAGCGAAGCGTATTATTGTCGCCCGCTGAGAGAAAGTTGACAGTTGCAAATCAGCTGAAATCCTCGGCTTCCACTTGTAAAAATAAATACCTCGAGAAGCAGCGTTAGTCTTTCGAAAATACCGAATGATTTCATGTTATCGTCGAGTAGTCGGTAAACAGAGTCAAGTGCGCAAAGATTTTCCGTAAAAGCTGGCCGAGAGAATCTCATTCTTCGTAGAAAGGAAAGAAGAGAGGGATGAAACTGCGTCTCGTGCGTCTCGTCAGCGTCAAAATACCAGGGAATCGTGATAAGATAGCGACGGCCTCGTTCCCGGTTAATAAATAGTCATCGAAACTCGACGAGACAGGTTGCGATCTCTAGACGAAGGACGATTGCGACACCGGCTGCCGTTTCTGTCTCGATCCAACCCGAATCGGAGTCGCGAGTGTCAACTTGATTCACGGGGTTTCGCAAGAATCAACGTCGCGCACGACCGGAAAAGGGATTGTGTTACTCAATGAGCTTTTATAGCGTCATTAAAGATCACGTGCGAGGAAGAATCGCGCTCGAATGTGTCGGGATTCGCGTAATCGCAGTTACGTTCGTTCACCGGTTGGAAAACGACGAGAGCGAGAGCATCGGCTGTCTATTCATCAACCATTCAGCCACCATTTCTTCCTAGTCGTCGGGGATTAACGGGGAAGGTTCCAATTACCGTTGCCATTAATAGTTCCGTATCTAACCGCCGACGACTTCTCGAATGATTAATTGATAACTGCAATTAAATACCTAGTCGAAGCGAAGAACGAGAACGGCTTTAAACATCTTTACTTATCGAGCATCAGACTGACATCTTCTCTCCTTACATCTTTTGCAATTCTTTGTTTATCTCCCACATCGACAGAAGATTCCAAGTTGACGTCGCGATCGAAACATTTTCGATAATTTGGAATTTCATCGCCGAGGAATTAATCTGAATCGATAATTGATCGATGTATTATCAATCGAACAATATATTATCGAAATAAGTAACATCGATCATTTTATTAAAAATGAAATGAATAACGAAGTTCTGAAAATTAACTAGTGATTGATCATTTCTGTAACTCTCATAATCGAACTGACGACTGACCGATCGCTAGAATAATTAATTAAACAGTGCCGTCGCGATTATCGTGAATGCCCGGTGCACGTGCGATCACATAAGTAAGTGTCCCGACGAGGACCTGAATGTGAGTGCGGCGGTAAAGTGCAAAGTGATGTAATTGGTGCATCCGCTGCGGAGGCGATGTGTGATACCAGTTCGAATGACACTTAATCTACGCAGCTGATGACAAACGTAAATAGGATCAAGGTGGTCGTCCTCGGCGGCCCCAGAGTCGGCAAGTCAGGTGAATCTCTCTCTTTTATCTCATTTTTGTTCCCGCTCGAAAAGATAACCCCTCGTTCGTTTCATAAACCATTAGTGCCTCATTTTTAATAATAAAATTATAATTGCATCCATCAAATTAATCTTGCGCAAAGTTTTCTTTATTCTTTATTCAGTTAAGGTATAAATAAATAAATATTATATAATATTATAAATATTTTGTATTTTTTTATTTTATATTTTTTATTTTATTTTATTTTATTTTATTATATTTTTTATTTTATTTTATTTTATATTTTTTATAAATATTTTGTATTTTATATATTTTATATTTTTATAAATATTATATAATATAATATTAAATATTATAATATTATAAATATTTTATTTAGGATTATATTTTGTTTACGAGTTGTAAATGAGGAAAAATTCACTTGGCGCGGAATTTTAAAAATATAGGTTTACAAAAGCGATTTGCACGTCGAAACTTATTAATTCGCGCGCTCGTTGACGAACAATAAATAACGTCCGGCGAAAAAGGAGAGAGTAGCGCAGGTCGATTATGGCGCAACGTCGTGAAATATTGAATCACGTCGGAAGGACGTTCATTATGGTGGACGATACTAATATCGCGTCGCCGTAGAGCGTGTAATTTCTACGCGTTGTCTAATAGCGCACCGACGCAACGCATTGAATGAAAGTGCCGTTAAGATGGATACGCATAGTCCGCGGAATAATACGTTGCATTAGTTAACCCGACAGTCGCGCGATGCATACAAAGCGAGCAAACCAACGGCGATAAGGCGGTTCGCCGACCTCGAATATAAATCCTATTAATAACCGCTAGGACCGGCCCCATCCCTTAATAAAGAAGAAGCGCATTCTCCATTTTATTCCATTCTCATCTCCGATTCTCTCTCTACAATTTTATATCTTTAACAAACTATAATTGTTCTTTCAAGTGCATTCTCAGAGCTGTTTTTGATAATGTTGATTGTGAAGATTCTCTTTAAGATTGTTTAGAAGGTGTCTATTCCAGGAAAAACTTGGAAGGATTTTTTTTTAATCAGGGAATTTGTAAGGAATTTTATTGAGAGATTTAAAGAATTTTTTTTTTAAATTCTCTAATAATTTTGCTCTTATAATGTAATCAGCTGATGATCTAATTAAAAAAATTACGCGCGCGAATATTAAAATATAATATATTATAAATCTATATTATATCTATTTTTCTACTTATTTATTTCTGTTATATTTAATATCTTAACAGAGACTTAGAATAGACAATTTATTTTTTATTGTTTTTATTTTCTTATTAATTTTAAATAAGAAAAAAATTAAAGATGTTATGAAAAATATCTTACAGAATCTTATTTTGCGGAAGTTATTCAGTATATTTTCAAAGCACTTGAAATTTAAGTGGCTCTTTATATTTCTTTGGAATGAAAAATAAGAAAACGATACAAATACCTTATTTTAGAAAATTGCATCCAAAAAATTCTCTTGGTATTTTGAACAACAGAAAAACTTTAAGGATCAGGTAATTTACAGGGATTTTTTAATAAAATTTAAGCAGATACTCTGTTAGAAATTAATGATATTTTTTAGATCCTTCTTAAATTCTTTAGCCATTTTCATCTTTGAATGCTGTCTATTATATCCTCGAAATATCATAATCATTCCTTTAAAGGATAATTTGTCCGTGTTAATATTCCATATTCAATCGCAATTTGCTTCTGTATCCGCACATTATATTATCAGGCTCGATCGCTGCAAAACACGCGACATGTCCCACTTTTTGCGACGAAAACGACGTATTCTCACGCCGGGGCGGATGCGAGAGGATGAGAGCGCTATCTCGACGGGAGAGAATCCTTAAAAGTCCTTCGTGGGACCCCGCTGGGTATAATAAGGACCTCCGTGAACGCGCGTTATCGGATATCGCCCCGCGTGAATGGATGGGGGAGGGAGGGAGGGTGCGTCGCGCCACGAAAAATCTCACAGAGTTGCAGCAGCAGGTTGCGCGAGATCCGACATCCGATACATCCGTCCTGTTACTCGTGGTGTTCGATCCTGGATTCCGAGTTTACGCAGTAACATACCTTCCTCCGTTATCGCGTCTGATATATACGCGGTGAACCGAAAGAACGTGTGTGCGAAGTAATTTGAACCTCGTAAAGAGGCCGAAAATCTTCAAAAACTATCTGAAAATTTGAATTTTATTTTTCTTTACGATACTTGATCTATTCGGAATTGTTAGAAAAATATGTATCAATATTTATAGTCTTCAAATTACATATTTTCGAGCTTGAAATATCTTGATAAAGTGTCACAAAAAGTCGATTCTTTGTCCCTTAAAAATAACTAATGACAAAGAATTATAAAAAGAATCGTACTCTCTTGCGAGAAACGCAAGATTGTTATCCACAGTCATTTATCTGCATTAACGCTTATTGAGGAGACAATTGGAGGTCCGCTATCAAGAGCCGAGACGTGTTCATAAATTCATTTGGTCTCGACGACTTACCGTGTCGCAAGAAAAGCAGACAGACGAAAAAAGAATAGTGGCTCGTGGAAGCTGCACTTTAATGAGTTTCTTTTCTGCACGATCAATCCGAGACTTTTATTAGACTCTTTAATGTATTAACATTATAATTTACAGAGATATAAAAAATTTAACGCGATAATTTAGAGAGATATATGCAACTTTTTCATCTGATACAATCAAATTATAATTTAGAGTTTCGTTTTTGTAAATTATATATTCCGTTATTTTTTGTTTCGAAACACTAGTATTTTTTTATTTTTTTAAATATATATTAATATTTGTTTAATAAATAAATTAATATAAATAAATAAATTAATTAATTAATATTTATTTAATAAATTATATAATTAATATATACTAATATTTATTTAATAAATAAAAAGTTTTATTATATTATTTTTATTATACCATAAAATTGATGCTGCTTAAAATAATCATATCAGAAGTGATTAAAAAGATTAAATGGAGAAATGAGATATTTTATAGCGCGAAATATAGGACTAATTTGGCCGAAATATAAAGTAAATTATTCGATCATTTCGATAAATTAAAATGTAGATAAATAAAAGTTACGCTTCAATCAAAGATAGTGTTATCTTCGGAAAGGAAATTTCTACGAAACAAGAGGATGCGCTCGGTTGATTGCATCCTGATCGTTTTTTTTATCCTCTATTCTCTCTCTCTCTCTCTCTCTTTCTCTTTATTCCCCTTCTTATCCACGGCGATCGTGGTCGTAATTACTATTTTCTTACGTTCACCAAGCGGCTTATCCTCCAACGATCTATCTATAGAATCCCGCGTTGGCAACCATCGCACGTCGGCGAATGGCACCGCGAATGACTGCGTTTTGCTCGTACCGTTGAATCTTCCACATTACACACAATTCTTCGCAGGTGACTTAATCGGCTTCCCTCTTCTTATTCCTCTTTTTCATTCTCTTCTTCCTGTTCATTCTCTCCTTCGCGCATTTTTTTTCCATCTTTTGCACACGTCTTTACTTACATAATCGATCGAAGAATTCCTTTCTCTTTTGGACATTGATAGATATATATATATATATATTTAAAATTTTGCCACACGACTTCGTCGGTCGATTCTTCCTTCGATTATTTATACTCTTGATAATTTCCTTTCGCGTTATCGTTGCTCGCGAGTTTCATCAACATCGATATCTGACACTCCGCGCGGACCCTTCATTATTCTTTATAAATACGGGTCCGCCATATTGTCGCATTCGTCCGAGTTAGCCCTACGAAGAGATAAGAACTTTATAAACGTCCTGCATCTGGCACGAGTGTCGGGTTTCTCTCACGTTTGTGCTTCAGTGCGACGGGGAGCGTGCTTTCATTAGACTCGGACGCTTGGCACAGATCACTGTTGGGACCATTAGGCATTACGAGCAACATTCTCGTGTCCACATCAATTATTCCGGTTCGCGCGGCGTGTATAGGATTACGCGTGACGTCGCCTCGGTTTGATGACAGTCGTCTTTAAGGGAGAATGGGTCCCCGCTCGATTACGTGGGTCTTTCTGCATAGGACTGATGATTCACGATGTCTTTGCATGGACCGTTGAAAATTCAACCCGTCACAAGATTCGTATTTCTTATTACGTAATTAATTTGATGTACAGCTAATTGCGATAGCGTGTCGATTAATCTTCTATTGTAATGACAATTCAATGTACAAAGTATATTAAAAGAAATTTGCAGAATTATTTTCAAGAATTTAATAAAACTTTTTCCATGTCGTTAATACTATATTTATGCAAATATTTTTTTTCTTACCTAAGCATATGAGATATATATATCTCATGTTTATTTTTATTTTTAAAATAAATGTTTTAACTTGTTAAAAATAATATTAATTCATAAATTTCATTCAGAAAAATATTTTAATTAATTTTTAAATAATTTAATTTAAAAAAATATTCATTAAAATATTAATTCATTAGAAAAATATTCATTCATTAAAATATTAATTTATTAAAAAATATATATATACATAAAATATATATGTACATAAAATATTTTTAATGAGTTAAAAATAAGAATATTTTTCTGGAATCAAATTTCATTGGTTCATCGACTTGTTGCGATCGCGTGTTGAGCGTAAAGAGCTGAAATATCGTCCAGCTGCGCGGAAATATTTTGAAGATGTGTAGTCTATCTCTCATCTCGACAAATAGTTCACGAATGAAGTTCTACATTCCGTTGCTGTTCGTGTTTCTACCTTTCCTCTCCTCTCTTCGTGATATTTTCCTCTTCTCCCTCTCCTGATCAACGTTGTCGTTGTCATCGTCGTCGTCGTCGTCGAGCTAAACTCGACGACAGATTTATAAATGGTGTATCTAGCGGTAGGGGACGGCACGAATCTATGTACTCGATAAGTCTTGCGAGGATCGAACGGCGACGACGACGATGCGAGAAACGTCGTCGACACGCTGAATCCTAGAGCACGTTTCGCGTGCAACGAAATTTATGAAGCAAGAAATTTATCGGCGTTCTACGAGAGAACCCGTTCCGATGTTTATGGTTTCTTTATTAACGGACGTAGGAGATGAGTTAATAGCGTTTCAACACCTGCGCGCAAACATGCGTCTGTTGCTTAGAGAGACGTGTCTAAAAATAAATACACCCTTTAATATCGTTACTTGTAATTACGATTCGATAAAACGTTCTCCCCAAGCTCGCTCCGATTATTCGCGCACTGAGAAAAATCGTTTGATTGTATCAACAAGACGTGTATGATTGAAGGCATTTTGGTTAAATCAAACAAGAATTTCTAGTTATCATGATGAGACTCGATTTTTTATAACTAGAACGTTTAATAGATTTTATTATAAGGATTTGGGTATTATTTTCTGATTGGATCTATAAAATTTCTTGTTACATTAATTTCTTTGCTTGCCACTCTTAACTTAACTCGTATTCAATATTTACCATGAAATGTATATAAAGAACTAATATTAACGTTAAATCCAAAGTGTATTTTTTTTCTCTTACGAGCAGTAGTGCCAGAAAAAGGACGCTCTTTGATTGTGTGTGTTTGAGCTGCATCCTCTTCTTACATCACTGTTTATCAGTTTAATATCAGTTTACCGAATTGAATTTAAAATAATTTATTCAATAATCTGGATTGAATTTATCCAATAATCTTGTTGGAATTCAAAATATTAAACAGACTTTTGAGATTAGATGGAAAAAAATAGATGACTTTGGTGCTGGCTTTAGTATTATTAAGGATGTTTTGTACTTATTTTCAAAATATTGAGAATTTAATGAAAATTGTACATAATGCCCTTACATATGTTTAGAATCTTCAGTACAGTTTTTCAATCGATTCACTAAAGCGTTCACAAGTTATAAGGATTTTAATTTGCATCGAATTAACATGTGTTCTTATGGGAAACGTATAACCACGTCGTCATTCAAATGACAAAAACACATGGAAATAATATTCAAAATTTGTTTAAAATTTGCAAAAGTTATATACAGAGGAAATGTTTGGTCACATAATATTATACGAGTACTAACTGGTTAAAAAAATATTAAATATAATTTAATGAAGTTTCTCTGCCTAAAGTTAATCATTTCGATCAACAAAATTCGGAATATTTCAGTAAAAACGCAATAAATATTAAAAAATACATCTCTGCACTGTAGCTAAGATCAAATTGTAATTGTTCCACACAATTTCTTATTCAAGATACACCAAAAGTGTATATATTCGTCAATATTGATTTTCAGCTACTTTTTGCTGGGATTGTACATACAAAACATCCTTAACCAGAAAATTTGGTAAATTTAACAGGAAGAAATTAATCAGATTCATCTGATAATTCCTACAAGAATTTCTGGTTCGTCCATTTTCCAACAGACATACTTGTTGAATCTACCAGAATTCTAATTAATGCAACCAGATTTTTTTCTCAGTGCGAGATCATTTCCGAAACTAATCAATATTTTTTTTCCTTTGTTGCAGCCGTGGTTGTGCGGTACTTGACGAGGCGATACATCGGCGAGTACAGCTCGACCAGTGGTAAGTGTTTTTATCTCCTTTCTCGTTTCTTTTTCAGAATAATTGCCAATATTAAGCGTGAGTAATTACGTCCATTTGTTGCTAATTTCGAGGCATCGCTATTCAGAACAAATGACCCATCCGAGTTCCCTTCTCGCTCGCGCTATCGACTTATCTCTCGAGGGGCGGCGCCGATTCGCGCGCGAAACGCTCACCCCAGAGTACAAAACGCGAATCTAAATCTTGATCGGTTCTCTCCTCGCGTGCTCCGGCGGATGGCGACGGAAAAATCCGCCGTGAAATATTCTCGCGCTTAAAACCGGACTCTAATTCAAGGGTATCCGTGAAAAATCTTAATCATGGCGCCTCGCAACCGTCCCGAGGGCATTCTAGCGGTCACAGAAATACACGAGCTATAAAGGGAGGAAAGAGGGAGGGAAGAGGACAACGGGGTTTAAAAGGAGAGAGAGAGAAAGAGAGAAAGAAGAACGAGAGAGGCAACAAACAGCGCTGGACCCGTGGAGGGCGGAGATTTAAACACTCGATATGAAATAGAGCCTATGGGGAGGGTCCGCAGAATGCAGATCTCTCCCATAACTCATGCAGGCTACTTCGCCGTAATAATTGCCGTGCATGCCCGCGGACGTATAAGCTACGGCGAGTTTTGCGGATATCCGAGCCTCTCGGAAAAATTCGCCGTGAAGTATTGTCCCTTTAACCCTGAACCGCCGGCCACTCGTATTTTTCTAACACCTAAGGCTGCGCCGGTTGTACATCCCCGGTGTCTGTTATTCGAGTACCACGTCATTTTATCGCGCTAGTTATGGGGATATTATATTTCATTTAAATAATTTCAATTTTATAGTTTTTTCCAATCAAATAAATATATTTTACACGTAATTATATTTGCTTATAATAATAAGCAAATACAATTATGTGTAAAATATATTTATTTGATTATAAAAAACTATAAAATTGAAATTATTGCTTATAAATAATTATATTTGCTTATTACTATAAGCAAATATAATTATAATTATGTGTAAAATATATTTATTTGATTAGAAAAAACTATCAAATTGAAATTATTTGAATGAAAATTCGTCGAGTTAAATTTTTTTTTCTAAAGGATGCTAACCCCTTTTCTAACAAAAAATAAAAAAGTGAAAATTATCGAATATTTTTTACTGTACATTTTCAGACATTTTTTGACATTTTGAACGAATAAATTTTTTATATCGGTATTTCTCTTTTTTAAATAAAATTTGATTATTGATAATCTAAATATGTGTAATTTCTAGCAGTTTGAATGAAAAAATATAAAACATTTTAGATTGAAATTTATAAATCAATTTGCAGGAAGTTTCTCTTTACTTTTCTCACAACTGCATTAACGTAATGTGCCGAAAGCTTTTCAGTACAATAGCGCCAATCATCGATTTATCGAATTTCTCTCGTGTATAACTGGCAGTCAGAATCAATCTTGATCTTGATCGATTTAACCGCGATCGATAAAGCCGAACGAAAGTGGATGAGTGTCGGCGCGAGTACTCTCTCCTAACATTGGTATTAATTAATTTCCTGGGAAAATGATGGATAATCACTGTTGAACATAACCAGGAAGCGGATAATCTCGCGTGTCCCCCTTGACCGAGAAGGGGGATAATCGCTCAATCGATCCAAAGATGACGCTGTGGGCGCCACGATTCGATCGCCGTTAATCGAGAATTGATAAAAAATATAATAAGAATGATGACGGATAAAAAAACTGCGACGCATACGTGACAGCCGTCTCGAGACATAAAACTGCCTTGTATAAAATAAACCTCGAGTAAAGTGTCAGGAGCCACGAACGAATATTGGAACAAGTGCCTCAATTATAAAATTGAAAGTATTTTTTATGTATCCTTTTTGAGTTTCTCTTGAAGCACATTTTATAGAATTGGTACAAATCGTGTGAAATTTGTAGAATTTTTATGCCGTTTAAATTTCGAAAATTCGAGAGGAAAAATAAATTTGGAGAGGAAAAAAGAGTTTTTGAATTTTTGAAACTTAAAAATTTTGAAAAAATCGCTTGGGACTTGGACCACACAAACGGTACGCGATGCAGTGGCACATTTTGTTTCTCTCTCGGCGCATCTCGTGTGAAACGAATCGAAAATGCGTCGACACTTCGTGCGACTCGTGCGCGGATTATCGCGTACACTTTCGTTCCCGGTCGTTGGAGAATTACTTTTCCGAAGAAAACGCCCTCAAACGGTGAAAGCGGGGCCATTGATTTCCTTTGGCTAGACCGCGTAGGTGATGTGACGAGCAAGATTATGGAAAAAAATTCTTTGACATTTTAATACAATTGGTCTATTTCATCGCACACATATATATATTTGGATATATTAACACATAAACAATTATTCTCAATAATTAAAAGATCCAACGAAATATATTTTAATTAATTATTATCAATTGATTCTACAATAAATTTGTTTGCACAAATTTAAGAATAACTGTTCAGGATAAGAAATTTTGAAAATATAAAAATTTGAAATAACACAATTGAAAAATATCTAGATATGTATGTAGGTGGAAAAATCCGAGACCTATAAATTTAAACATTCAACGATGACGAGTACTTTCAAAGTACCACTTATTACTGGCTTCCATCGCACGACTTAAATTTGATCTCTCGAAGAAAGATCGAGGATGATCTTCCTCGATCTTTCCTCGGCAATTTCGATTACAAGGCATTTGTACGAGCACACCATCATCGTTTTGCGGGACTCGGAAATAATCGGTCCTTTTCATCTCTCGCCACGATACAGTGAGCGCGCGCGCGCGCGGGCTTGTTTATTATTTCGATCTCGATTAACAATGCAAATCTCTTCTTGCGTGGAATAATTCTAGGCAATGATTTTAGAAAGCGAATCTCGTTGCATTGTCGATCCACTCGCGCGCGCGGATGGGAACGTTTTGTCCCAAGATTGCATCGTGCATCCCGATAGATCGACGATCGATAGATCACGTAGCGAAGATGAATCTCTGGTAAAAGTCAAATCCGCGCGATCGGTGACAGTCGTACCTCCAGTTACATATTCCACGAAAGTGTGTCACAATCTTTTTTTTTATCCGCATCAGTTTTTACGGCTTTTTGCATGTTTAATTTTTCAGGGATATTAAAAATTTCTTTGACTCTTATCAAAGATTTCTCGTCCAAGATATAACTTTCTATATCATCCGATATGCAAATTTGTCTTGTATTTAGATTCGATATCTAGATTCTCGCATCTCCGCTTTTATCTGAATATCCATTTGTTAAGTTCCATTTTGCAGATTATCTCTAATATACCTTGATCGTTGATTTCTTTCTACAAGCATGCACAGAAAAAAGGACATTCTTGTTTTGAAAATATATTTAGTTTTAACATGGAAATCTTGAAACGAGATTATATCGCGTTAATTAAAGAAAAATATAATTGCTTGAATAATTGCTTACTTGAATGAAGCCATTTTATACAGTTCAATCGAGAAAAATATATTCTTATGATTTAAGATTTAATTTTCTTGAATGGAAAAGAAACAATGTTGGATAGAAAATAACATTTTTAAATCTAAGATTATAATTTTCTTCAAGTAGAATTAAATAATTATATATTCTTAAGGTGACAATTACAATATTCAAATAAGACTATAATATTGTTGAAATTTAAAATTATTAAATTCCTCTAAGAAGACTATAAATTGTTGCGTATATACGAAACAATGAACGCGTTAGTTTAAGTATGTGAGTTTTGATTTGACACTTCTTTTTTTTTCTGTGTGGAAGAGATCTTTGCGCGTCTGATGTGCAAGATTCAAATTATATCTCAGGATCTTGCAGGCCTTTTTCCGCACATGTCGATGTGTCTTTCACGAAAGGATGCGATGAATTTTCCGTCGCAACGCTTGATCAAATCGTTTCTCCATCAGCATTGTCCGGCAATAAAACTTTCTCGAGCGTAACGGCCACTAATATAACGAGCATCCTTATTTGCTTGTTTCTGCGCTTCTCCAGCTCTTCGTTACCGACACTACGAGGTGTTTATGAGTTTATTTATCGTTTATTTATTACGTTTACCCTGTTAGGGCTACTGTGTTCAACGTGCTTCCGCGTCTTCTCTTCTTGTTATTCTTCTTCTTCTTCTTCTTCTTCTTGGTGCACGTGCTCCACAGCTCCTAGCATTCTAATCAGCTCCGAGGAATACGAGCTTTCCCTTTTTCGCTCGTCCTACCAAAGATGTGAAGCTAAGAATCGGAAAATTTCAAAAATATAAAGAACAAATACATCGCGAAAGATCTTTCTTTCTCTTTCCACAGATTAAATATCTAAAGAGTAAGTTTTAAAAAAATATTGAAAAATATTCTAAAAATTTTGAAAACTTAATTATCTCTTAAAATCATCTGAGTATTTAAAATTTTAAGTACCTAAAAAAAATAACATATAAAACTGAATAATGTATATTATAAATAAAATGTACAACAAATCGCGTGACAGTCTTAAAACATTCAGTTATCCCTCTATTTTTTGGTCGCAAATTTCCAACAAAAACCAAGTGTCATTGTCAATAATAGTAATGACACAGCGGTGAATAGCAGCGTAACTAATTAGAATTGTCGTTACTAACTAGTCCGGCACTTTCGCGCATTAGCCGCGTTTTCTATTCTTGGGAAAATATCGCTCAAACTTTTCCAGAGGAGATCGACCGTCTATAAATGAAAGAAAAATTAAAAGAAATTGTCGTTGTTTTCGATTTATTTCGCAAAACTTGTAAGATATTTTCAGCGATAATATCTAATGAAAGATAATATCGAATTAATATAAGATAAAATGTTCAAAATTGTGTTTTTTGTTGCAGATTTCCTCTACCGACACAGTGTTACTATCGACAATGTTACAACGGAAGTCGAGATACTTGATACTTCCAGGTGCGAGGTAAGTTTCTATAACAATCTACATTTATCAATTATGACCCCAATTAAATCCCCAAGAATATCTATTGTATAATTTTATCAAAGAATAAAACATCAGGATATAAAATCATCTAAACTTTTTCAAAATCACCTAAACATTTCAAAATTTTCACATATAATATCATGTGAGAATTTAATTATTTTTTATTAAATTATTTTTTTAGACTTTTGAAATTTTTCTTTCTCGGATATAATTAACTTAAGAGTATAAAAATATAACTATAATCTTAATAAAGAATTATATATTTAAAGATTCTCGAACTTTGCTGTCTCACAGTATTCGAGATAAAAAAGATTTTCATTTTTTTCATTAAATTTTCATGGACAATAGTAAGCTGATTTGACAGACTGATTCACTCAGCTAAATTATGTTTGCGTGTGCTCTCGTGGCAAGAATAATAATGCATCGGTGCAACGGTATTCTGTGCAAATATGTATGCTGTATCCTTTCGTGGGCCATTTTTTGCAAAAAGTCCTGCGTGCTCTCTCGAGACGAATCCTCGCGACGCGTTCCAAGACAGGATCTTTCAAAAGCCCAGTCTAAATATATCTTCTTTCAACGGAAGCTCCCGTAGGCCTCTGTAGCCCTTAAGGCCCACGTCCATCATATGTTGGCGAAATAACAAGAGACTCGCGAATTGCAAAGATGATATTTTGATATTACAAATGAATTTTGAATTTTTGTATAATCAGTAAAAATTGACGATTTTTATCTAAATAAATTCAAACAATTTCGCGGCTTATAAATCCTAAAAAAATTTAATGATAATCGATAATAATTATTTTATGTTGTGCCGATTGTATAATATATATAAAATATTTTAATATAAGATAGAAATGTTTTACCGTATTTATTATTGAAAAACCTACTAATATTTACAACACGTGTAATCATACATAATATGTAAACTTTTTAATACATATTATAAATTTTGAAAATATATATTTTTATACGTATTTTGTCCGATAAAAATGATGTTTAACTTAGAACAGATCTTCTTCCGCGGACTATCAGTTACAGATCTACCTGACTTGACCTTTCTTAACTCGATTCTCCTAGAATAAAGTAACGAACGTTGAGCCGAGGCGGAAATCCTGCGAGTTGACCCGTTAGTCGTATATTTGAATTGAATAACGATCGTCTTTAAATTCGAATCTAGGCGACTACAACCGCGACTGCACGAACAGCACGTGGCTTCACCTGTCGTGGCTTTAATACTCGTTGAAATTCCAGCGGAGTCGCCTTATAGCATGTAGGATGAGGTATTGTTCTCCTTTTTCGAGGAATCACCGTCGCTAAACTCGAACATAAATTGCGTAAACTCGCGCAATGATAAATTGATCTTGACTCTTGACCTTTAACATTTTTCCACCTATGTTCTATAGATTTAAGGATCTATCTATTTTATAAAACTTTAAGACTACCAAGTTTTTAGATTCGAAATTTAAAGTTCTCGTATGGCCAATCGAGCTTTTAAAATCTTATCTATCTTGTCAATATTTTAAAACTTTAAAAATTTTAAATTATGCAATGTTTTTTCAGTTATTTAAAAGAATCGAATTTCTAAAAGTTTAATTGTAATTTGTTAATTTAAAATTTTGAAAAATTCTCAGTTAAAAAAATTCTCAGTTTCCAAGACTTAAATTGCAAGAAGATAAATTATATTCTTTAAACGATAATTACTTTATAATTTAATAATAATGCAGCGAAAGAATAAATTGCAATTTGTTTTCGCGAGTCCCTTTCCGGCTCCGATTTTGTCATTTAATTATTCCCTTAATAAACGGTGAAAAAATTTATAAAATATGTTTCCTGGATAAATATTCCAGTATTGCGATTTTCTGGCATTTTTTCAAAGTAGTAAAATAATTGCATGTGTTTATTACATTAAACATATATCATACTTAAAGAGCAGACTTTCATTAATTTATATTTTACTATTACATCGGAGAAACACATAAACAATAAGTATACATGTATCAAATCCGTTTTTAATGACATATAATTTGTGGAATTATCGTATTTAATTCCTTGCTCTAGAAATTGAAATATTTCATATTTAGGAGTGATCTCTTCATCTTGACAGCACTTCTTTAGACGCATAATTCTCGACAGGATGCAGATTTTATATAAAAGACACTTTAAAGTGAATTTTCAAAAATCGCGCTTCTCATGAACTGGTTACACGCACGTTTACTACACCGACACGTTGGTTGTTCGGTAGCCCCGCAACGAGACTCGATCAGGCCCGGGTTGTTTTTAGCAAACTGGTTTTTCTACCCGGGGCTCACAATTACCGGCTTCCTTTTTTGCACTGCTCCCCAAATGTTTGCACCTGTCGCTTAAAAGACCGCAATCCGCAGGATGGCACGCTAGATCTTTGAATTCTACGATTCGTTGGATCCTTCATTGAATCCTTTTCATTAAATTTCCTTCATTCCTAAATTTTTCACGTTGTTAGATTTTTGAGATATTAGATCTTTCCGATTTTTCAATCTTTTTGTTTGTGTTTTACATATTTATATTTACACAATTAGAAACTTGTATTTTTGCATCGATAAATTTTAGACGTATACTTTATTATTTTTCGAGAAATTCAACAAATTTTTAAACTTGGTTTTTTTTTTTAAGATTTGATTCCACATGTTTTTTTATTTCATCTCCACATGCATGTTCGCAATAATTTATATATTATTTAAATTATATATAGAAATATATGCTCGACACCATGCGCGTTGCCCCATTAACCGATATTACACGATTCGCTAGCAAACAAAGCTTGTCCATTTAAAGACTTGTATGTAAAACGTGTAAGAATGCATGCACCGTTACCGTACGGATAAAATAAGCAATCTATAACAGGAAGTGATACTAATAATTTGTACGTACATAAAGTTATATTTTAAGACTCTTAAAAAGAATGCCTGGCAATATATTTTTGTGTTTATATAAATTTGAATTTTTTGGGATTTTTTATTGTTTCAAATGAATACGAATATCTCGAATTTTATTGTTCAGAAAAATTATGATAGGAATGTTGTTAACGAGCAAGATCTAGAAAGATTGATATCGATGTGGATCAGTATGGCAGTGATCCAGGAAGTCGACACAACTTCGTGTAGAAGAAGCGGATCGTTAAGTACGCTGTCAACGGTCATTCTTATCTAATTCTTCTGTACCAATATATCACGTCCGATATGTAAGATTCCATTGTGAACGAGACTTTTAGGTCGATCCCCTTTACTCTCGGTAAATCTCCACGAAACAGCTCGGTATACGCTAGGATTAATCAATCCTCGACAAGACGCTGTTTATCATGAGTACAACATTTACGAGCGATATATCGTTTTCATCTCGACGATTTTTGATACCAGATTACCACGATTATCAGTCACGTCTAACCTGAATAAATCCGAGACGTCTATTAACGATTAAAATTTTTTTTTTATATAAAAATTGTGAAAAAATTATGCTTTTACTTGCATGTGTTTCAACAATTCAAATAATTTTATTTCACGTTTAAAATCTCTCAAATTTTTAAGCTATGAAATTGTTATATTTTTAAGCTATCAAGATTCCGATTTTTTAAAACATTCGCGTGTTTTTAAATTTTCTAAAGAGATTCTTCTAGCCTCAAGTTTTGATATTCCTCAAGTTGCTCAAGCTCTTAAATTATCGAGCCAAATTCTCAAGTTCCTCGAGAAAGAGAGAGAAATATTGAACTATCTGAACTATCTGAAAGTCGTGCAAAGGATATTAGAACAAAGTCTATAATTCCTCGCTAAACTAAAGCTTCGATCGCGCTACTAAAATGCATAACGCATTGGATGTTCGCGGTGTAATCTTTCCAATTATCCACATTCCTCTCACTTTTACCGATATCCAATCGCGATATTACATTCACCCAACATATTTAACGCAAAGAGAAGCGACGTAAATTCACAGACAAGAGTTCCTGTATTTTGACGACACGATACGTCGAATATTATCGAGGCTGCTTTACAGACGTCTCGTTACCAAATTAAACTCATCTTTCTATCTATTTTATAATCGATATATAAAAGTTATAATATATAAAAGTATATATAAAAGTTTGAATACATGTCACTTTATTAAATTATACAATTTTTTTATTACAATATATAATAACACTGGTCAACAAAAAAAATAATTTTAACTTTTTCCTTTTATAATTTTGCAGTTTTGGGCTTATTTAAGTGTACTGATTTTGAATACGACAGTAGTTTTTTTTTAACAGCTCTTGTTTTTTAATATTTTTAGATTACCCCCTTTAGACATCACATGCAGTTTTTTTAAGTTTTACTCGACTCAAAATTATTATTTTTTTTAACTTTCGATTCGGAGACGTTTGTTTACATAATCCAGATATTTTTTGTTATATTTGTAGCGAATACATCTTTCAAAAATATCGAAAACCTATTTCAGAATTTGTTAATTGTAATATCTTATAAATAAAAAAAGTAGAGCTGATACAATTAAACTATTATTTTTTTCGTAATCAGTGCCTTAGATATAACCTATAATACATGTTAAATATCAGGAAAAAATTTGAGTGTTGACCAGTGTAATTGATAAGAAAATTGTTAGACGTACTTAATTTATAAAAACATTTGAAATTTTTGAAATTCAGTTTGCAATTTACTTTTCCCATCAACTTGAAATCTTAACTGGGCAAAACGATGCTTCCTTTAATAACGAAAGCTCCCCATCTCGACAATAATTAATCGCGTTGCACCGGACGTGTTAGGAAGATGCGGTTTAAAGGGCACATAAAGCCCCGCATTTAAACGCGCTCTAATCTACGGAATTATCCGTTTCCGACATTACTACGTAACGTGCATCCCTGATATTCCGATACGAGCGGACCGCACGAATGCGCAACGATACTGGGTGCGATCTACCGGCACTTTAAAGTGCACGAACCCATTGAGCGCACGTGG